TAACAGGACGTATGCCAGAGGAGGTGAAGCCAGAGTTTGACAAGGCCCAAAAAAGTATGCAATATTTCATTCCCGTGTTGCGAAAGCATATGCGATCTCGCTCTTTTCCCATTATTTACCGCAAAAATCTGATGGACTTACTAGCAAAGCTAGTTTCCATTCCGCTAGCACGGCAGAGGTGGAGAAAGAAATTTTCTATCTACTCTGTTATCGGAACACAACGCAGAAGTCGTACAACGATGGAACATCTAAGCAATTACTTAGGGTTTGTCAACCTTCTACTGAACATATCGTTATTTGAAAACTTCATTTAAAGGATTGGTATAAGTGGTCCAGACAGGCTGTTACCGTATGACTTTATGAAATATCCTAAAAGATAGTATGAAGAAACTGGTCACTTACCTGCTGACTTTCCTGGTGCTACCAGAGGGCCAGGAAAAACACAAAAGCGCTTAGAAAAAGAAGAAAGTTTCAAATCCATTTTCGACTTAGAACGCAATTCTACTTCTACTCCGATGACCTTTTGGAGGAAGAAGAAGATTTTTCAGGCAGCGAACTTGCTGTCTCTGACGTTAGCGATAGTAGTATTGTTGATGATGATGTGCAGGAATTGAAGTTGTTCCTAACTTGTACATCTTTTGGGATAAACCTAGCAATAAGTTATCAACAAACTTTCGCTTTTTGTTGATGCGATGAGACAGGAGCACAGATCTCCATAAAGTCAATTTTTTTAAAAATTTTTGATTTCTTTCAAAGTTTTCAAAATGTGCAAATAAGAGCTCTTCATATCACGCTTTTTTACCTTTTCTCTCTTCCTTCCCCCCCCCCCCTAGACTCACATACCCCCTTCACCCTGGAAGGTCGGGAACAGCCGAGACCCCCTTCACCTGGGGAGAGCCCGGCTCCCCCTATCGCACCTATGCTTGGCAGTATTCAACTGTTTATAACTCACTGTAAGCACATTTCAAAGGTGCAGAAGATATGGCATTTTATTAATCCACGTAAGTTATACACACTGTGCATATGTAGTTTGCTAGTGTTGGATCTGAAGACTTCTGGCCAAATCGCGTCGCGACTAAAATCGCGTGAAGCATGCCCGGCCCTTAAGTCAAGTGTTACGAGTTCATTGCATGCCGACCTTCTTGTATTTTGTTGTGATAGTTAGTCACGTTTACAGTCCATGTTACTTACCTGTTCCCTTTTCCGCAAGCGCAAGAGCTTCGCGCCGCGTTCGCGCGCGTATGGCTCGGGCACTCAAATTGGCCTCATCGATTGGTGGCCCGCGCGCGGGCTCTTGCGTCGTGCATGCGTAGTTCCCATGCGAAAGGGAGTACGTAATTGACATCGACTGTAGTCGTGTTGGAAAACTATCAACCAAAATGCAAGAAGATCGGCATGCAATAAACTCGCAACACTTGTCTTGTAGCGATGGAATCGCGACGATCAAATCGCGTGAACTCTGTCCGAGGCCTAATGAAAATAATTTTTGCTGAAGCATTTTCAACATCGTTTATCTGCAAAAATGATTCTTTGTCCAGAGCGAAAATGATTCAGGCTTTACTGTCGCTTCTCTTCTGAAGTGCGTTGATTTTTTTTTTCTTTCGGAGAAGGACACTTGCGTATGCCACTATTTTCTATTTAGTAGCGATTCATTGCACGCAGAGGTTGGACGCGCTTGTTTGCAGAAAAGACAATTCTCGTTTAGAAGAGAAAGCAGATGGTAAGAAAATTGAGAGTGCGTAATCAAAGAGACGCCGACAGCGTCCGCAATGGCGCTCTGTCTCTGCGTGCACTGACCAGTCTATAATTCTTCAAAGTCGCCCATAGTCGTGTGGACATATTGCGAAATTGCGGGTTGTTATACCCTCATATTTCCACACCAATAGCATAGATGCACGGATACACTGGAAATTATTTGGTCTCGAATTTGTCGGTTTTTTGATCGGTCACCAGTACTTCTGAAACAATAACGCGACAACCTAGGTATCACTCAAGTCATTTTACTATTTTTGAAAGCTCCATATCCCTGTTCTATGCGGTTGCTATTTTAGAAACTTTCCCATAATGCGTATTCCCACTCCCAGAAATCTTTATCCCACCATTTCGAAAAAAATCTGGTCTTGTTACTTAACTTAGGAAGAGTTCTGAAACTTTCAAAAATCCGTTACTTGGGCGAAACCTCAGTGGGAAATTTTACGAGGGGAAGTTTTCGAGCAATACAAAGTTTATTTTACACAAAATGATCAATGGCAATCGAGCTTCACTTCCGCAAAATTCCGAAAAATATTGGGTCTTTGCGCAGTCTATGGTACCAAAAATGGAATTCCAAAACGATGATTTTGTACAACTAAAACTATACGGAAGAATAGAATATCAAAGTGCTTGTTCGATATCTTTTCTCTAGTAATCTTAATATCTTTTCTCTAGTAATCTTAAGCAGTAGCAGACCGAAGGGGGAAATCGCGAAATTTTTAGGATACTAACGTGCGTTATAGAAATGCTTGTTAAGAAATTTCGGCCCCTTCTTTGAAATTTTGGAGTCATGGGTCCACAAAGATTTTGGGAAGCATCTCAAAAAATTTTTCGGAGTACGTGGCTGACGCCACGCACCTTTATTCGAATAATTTTTTTTGTCGCACCCCCCCCCCCCCTTCCCGAGCGAAAGTCCTAACATCGCCACTGGTCTGGTCTCAAACGATCACATAATTCAGCCAGATTTTGAGCCGATGAAAATGACGTGCGTGCAATGTATATATTTTGCCTGATATGTGGAAGTAGTCGCAAAGAGTTTGCTCGCGAACTTAAGCTTCAGAAAGAGAAGGGAAAGATGAGTTAAATCATTTTCCCTTTTTGATCATTTGCAAAATTTTATGACTGTAGGAAACTGCAAAACCCTGAGACAACCTTTTACTAGCCAATTTGATCATTCATTCGGCTTTTGTTTTGTCTTGAGAAACAATTGCATCTGTGTGATTTAAGGTGACAAGAGTACACAACACAAAGTACAGCGGATTATTGTTTCTTTCTGCTTGTGCGTCCTTTCCAAAATATATTCAGAATCATCTTTTCGAAATTGCCTGGATTTACGAAATGTTCATTATTGTGTGATAGTGCATCCGCAGCATGCATTATAGACAAAAATCTCTCTGCTAGATCAAACATCATTTGGATTCCCCTTTCGCTATCAATTTGATGTCTATGTTCGCCGATACGTCACTGCTGTGACTCACTTGCGCCGAAAAACGGCAGCCCCCTTCGTCATCTGTCTCATTGTTCGCGATCGCATTTCAAAATTTTTCCGCAGATTCTTTCACTCATTTTCCAGATGCTGTAACCTATACGTTGAACAGATTTCCCATTCGTAACATTTATTAGATATAGCTTATAACCAAACACATTCCCCATTAGTTATAGAAGCGCGGAGCAGGGGTAGTAGAAGCAAACAGAAGATATTTGCATTTGTATAAAGAAGTTTAGTCACGAACCCAATCCAGACAACTCACCCACCCATGAATCACTGACTTTTTCATGCTCAAAAGAGCATTATAGCACTGGTCATGCAAACACGCTGATTATTGCCGTTACTGCCCTCTCGTTCCATTTTCTTCTAGAAGTGAGTCATAATCATGTCGCAGTTTTCTCTTCATTTCAGCATTTTCATGAAGGTCATTCGCATCTCAAAATGTCACACAATCGACGTTCCCAGACAATGCTTATGCGCTTTTTAGTCATGTCATTTGTGTTTCTTTTTCATATAGCATCTCACTGTGTCCTTATGCGGAGCAAGCGCTGCTTACGCTAAATTAGGACGTAAAGGCGATTCATAGCGCGCAAAGTGTGGACGTATCAGAGTCTCTCTGATCCAGTGCTCTTTCGTTTCTCTTAGCATCTGCTGTCTCTCGCATGCACGAACTATCTTGCTCGGACGCAACGGCGCCCAGTCTTTGCGTATCATGAATCGAGAATACTATTAAAAACTGCTCGTCAACCACCGTTTTCTGCAGTCGCTCTGCACAATTCCTCTGAATCTATTGAGCGCGGTTGCGATTAGCTGACATATCCATTCGTTCATGCTTTTTCTCTTTTGCTTTCGAATTTTGCTCTGTCGCGTTCATAAGATGATAGAAGAAATCGTTGCTGCTTACTATTTCTGGTTAAATATAGACACTTCCGGAGAAAATGATCTATAAACTTGTGAGGGCTCACTAGGTTACAGGATTCATCCTGAGGCACCCGCCATACTTGATCCGCTTAATCCACTTGATCCACTTCATCCACATCACTATTGGTCAGTTCACTGAATTGACCAATGATGAAGCGGATCAAGCGGATCAAGTGGATTAAGCGGATCAAGTATGGCGGGTGCCTGATAGGTGCTTGTGCAATTGCGGTTTGTGAGCGAGAAGACGACTATGAGCCTTAGTGCAACACTTTTGTCGCTTTCAATCTTCAGCGAATTTCGTCTTACTTTTTCGTCAAAAGTTTCAAAAACCAGCTCCTCCTGATGCGTAAGTGGGAAACGACGATACACAATTCTGCTATCAAAAATAATGAATTTCTGTACAAATTTGAGAGATATCAATGTGCTACAAATTCCGGTATCCGAGCGCCTTATACGACATCAGGACAGCATTCAATTCGCTTAAAATCGACCACTACATACTGAAAGTCTCTGCGTCGTGTTTAGACAACAAAGCAAATTGACTTGCATTAATAGTAGTTGACCTTCCTACTTGACAAACATTTCATAGTCCACTGTAAATGATTCGTTTCGACTATGTAGTCTAGACCCATGCAATTGATTCGGTGCGAACAGCATCTATTTACTTCTGGTTCACCTAGTGATGTTTGAGAGATTCGCGGTCGCAGCAAAATGGGCGGCCCTATGTAGCGCTCAATCTTGCTAGCATCTGACTCATTCTGGGGGCTTTTCCCATCTTAAAATTTTATGCCCACCTTTGAAAGTCTTTTATAGCTTGACTCACCGCTGATCCAGACTATTTCCAGGTGTTGCGGTTATGAGACGACGGTCTCCCTTATTGGGACTGTTTCTAATCGCAGATGTGGTTATCTCCGTACTCGCCATGGGTTTTTATTCCTCTAGCTGGAACTTCGACTCCGACCTCATATTCAAACACCTATTATTTCTCGACGGTTACGACTTTCTCTCAAATCCGATCGATTTCTTATTGCTAGCGATTCTCCGACTAACGCTAGTAGTGGTTGCTGTGGTACTCATCACATTCCACTATGATAATGTTGCCACCACGATGTTTATGCCCATGTTGGGTGTAGCTACGTTCTGCTATTCCTACACATTGATAAAATTCCTTGCATTTTCCGAGAATTCGGAAATGTTATACTATCCGGGAGTTTGGTTCTCTGTTACATGGTCGGTTCTGGCGGCTGTGCTGTTTGCGCTTGTTTGGTACTTCATACTAACCGCACATGAATTCGACTATCAGCGTTTGGTCTCTCAACGATTCGCCGCAGCAAATGCGAATTCTTCTGTCGAATCAGCTGCAGAGAGAGGCTCCTCAGACAGTGAGTTTTTTACATCAAGATATGCTTTTGTTTGCTTGATGTTCATTGTGCTTATAACAGTTTATTAATTCTTTTCTATACTTACCAGGAAATGATCCCAAGTTGCAATGCAATCCAGAACGAAATGCATATCATAAGGTGCATTTTATTGGGTTGTTTGCAAAATTTACCCATGTCGCTTTAGCGGTTCGCTAGAAGAAATTATGAGCGGGTTTGGAAGTAAATATGGTGAACATTCACCGAATTTATTTTAGAATTGGTTGTTCAAAAACAGTAATTTCTGTTTTTGGTGAATTTTGCATTCTTTGAAGTCAGTACACTCACACCATGTGATATTTATTATCTTTATCTTTACGCTCAAGGTGTACCATTCAGAACGCCCATAATCGGCCGCGGAACTGGTGGGGAAACTGAGTCGCGCCCCAGTGCCAATCGATTAGAGCACGTTATTTTCTCGATTCGCGCACGTAGCAAGTGAAGTGACCCTAGCGACTCCTATAGGACATCATCTTTACTTTCAATCCACTTAAATCATTAGTACTATCTCAGTTTTTGACTGTACTTAAGATTAGAAAAGTTTTGTACCGAGTCATACAGCTTGCCGAGCTCGAGCGAATCATGACGCTTTGCTTTTTATTCGAGTTTGTGCTGCCTTTGACGTTAGGAAGTTCTTGTAGAGCTAGCTACTTTTCTACATACCTTGCACGCAAAACAGTATAATGGCAAAATGAGAAGAGCCAGCGATTGTACGTGAGTCAAAACCGCTGTAATTCGTGAGCCTGGATTTCTCAAAGGGTAGGTCCTTTTTGGTATTGGCATTGCCAATGCACAATCCGCAAATGGCTTGAACATCCAGTTCCAGTTCGGCATCAGTCCCACAGTTGATACGAGAAATCAAGATGGAACAGATCCTGCAGTACTGTAGAAATAAGGTTCTAGTGCATGTTTATCTTGCAAAACATCTGTATTTTGTGACTTCATAAATGCCCACCGAGTTTAGAGACACTTTTGAAGATCATTGCTCATCTAGTATGGAATGGCATCTTCAAAAACATTGCGAACCTAGTGAATCGGACACAAACATCTAGGAATCCGACCTAGTTTCCATGTACTATAGCTCTAAACACCTTTTCAAGAACTGTATGTGTTGGCGTTTCTGACTTTTTTAGTAATTAGCCAGCCACTTCAGTACTTATACTAGCTACCCATATCAGTAAGCGAGACCCCCATCAGAACTTTTTAACATTAAGATTCATACATCATCAGATCTGTGTGTGACTATTGCCAGCACATGCTGTTGCTGTTTTCGAGGTATTATATTGGGACTCGATCACAGTCATAAAATAGTGACGTTCGCAGTTGACGCTTTCGAATTCAGATTCTCCGTTTTGTTCCTAGTGACAACTGCTTTCAGGCCTGCATACCGGCGTGCTTGATTCTTTCGCCTTTGGAGATCTTATTTTCCGAATCTCGAAGAAAATGTGGAAGTGAATAAAAATATGATGTTGCACACTACTAAGTTATGAAATCTTAAAGTGGCAACTGCCATCGACTGGGCTAAAAGGGTAGGTCATATGTATGGTAGAAACTATCCTCTAGGAAAACATGATGACAAACCGTCCTTCTTTGAAGGAGGTAATTCATGCACCGACTTAACGCAAGACCTGAAGCGATGCCATATGAGACTGCGACAAATGAAACCATTCTGCTTCTATGATCATTGAAAAGCGAGATGTCAAGACCGTTGAAGCGCATGTCATCATTCTAGACAGTATTTCGAAGCATTCAACTACACAAAATGATCAAAACACGCTGAAATTGCGCTGCAGTGTGCCTATTCCAAAGGATTAATCGGTCATCAAATGCTGTACAACAATACAGCAGAGTAAGAAAGATTCCCTATGAAGGACTTATACCGATATTCCAAGTGCGCGAAGGATAGCATGCTCTGATCGATTGGCACTGGGGCGCGACTCAGTTTCCCCACCAGTTCCGCGGCCGATTATGGGCGTTCGTACCATTCAAAGTATGAAAACTGTTAGCGTGGGGCCAGTCGTCCTAGACATTCAAAGAACAACAAAGAAAGCTCGTACTTCAATGAGTTAAGCAAAAGAAAGTACGGGATAATGTATACCCACAACAACGAAAAAAGATGCATTCAAATGCGAGTAAATTATACGACTATGAAATGGAATTTTGCACTCTTAAGCTGGATTTTGCATATTATTCACTAGAACTCCAATAACTTCACAATGTTGAGCGCTCATAACTTCGTCTAAGGAATTACTCAGAAAAAATGGTAAGTAGATTTGGAAACAACTCATCAAGACGCACCCAATGATATGCTTTTTATTCTAGTTCGCCACTGAGACTTGAGATCCTTTCCTTATTACTGGACTTTCTTGTTGACGATCATCTCACGAGTATTGAGCCTTTTCCCATTGAAATTCTGTTGGATCACCGAGTTATGAGCATTCTCAGTTTTAGGCATATCCGAGCACCTCGTCGATGCTAGCCCCAAACGAATAAGCACTCTCGACCACATTTTTGCGCTTTTGAGATATTGTCAGTATCATTGGTTCTGGTTTGCTCTAGGCTTTGTTTTTCTAGTCATCTATGCAGTTGGTGAGTTTTACGGTTGCTTTTGCGTTCTTTTCATATATTTCACACTTCAGCACGAGTATTTATACCAAAATATACTGGCCTTGTGATCACAAATATTGTGAAAAAAGCCGGTGTCGAATCTTTAGTACATTCGGTGTTGATAATGGCCGCTTTGACTATGGTCAGGTGGGTCTTAACATTGAAACCTTTCTTACTTTCTTTCCTTTATTTTGTTTTGTCCTTGACCAGTTCATCGGGTTTAAGTAGACAATTTTAATTTCCGTCGCGTTTATAGTGAAATTTTCTTTGAATTGCGTATCTGATAAGCGAAGTTCAGCACTTTCTTTGGTGGTCTCCGTGGCGGCTGCTTTGACTATGCGACTGCCCTTGTCAATCGTCAAGTGCGACTGGATCTCTTCCGTTCTTTAGTTCATCAAGAAATTGGCTTCTTTGACACCACCAAATCTGGTATGCTCTCCTTTCTTCTCTATTTCTTCTAATCCTAATTTTCTCCATTCAATCTTCTTAGGCGAAATGGTATCTCGCTTGACATCTGACTGCCAAACAATGTCTTCGACAGTTTCAACTAATTTGAATGTATTCATGAGGAATGGTGTCATGCTCGTCGGCGCTATGGCATTCATGTTTGTAATGTCATGGCGATTATCCCTGGTAAATTTGCATAAGGTTACGTTCAGCATTCAAAAGTTTATAATGCGTTTAAGGTGACATTCATTGCAATTCCTCTAGTTGGCTTTATAACTAAGTGGTATGGTGCGTATTACGATGTGAGCTTTTATATTTGTGCGAGGCTAGATCTGTTATGTTGTGAATCATTGTTCTCGACGTTTATCATTGCAGAAACTGTCGGAAAAGACTCAGACAACCATTGCTGATGCAAATCAGATTGCTGAAGAGGTTTTGTCCACTATGCGAACAGTGAGGTGAGGTCCTGCATATGTATCAGAATTATGAGAGAAATTTTTCTCTCAGATCGTTTGCATGTGAGCGAAGAGAGGCGGATCGATTTGAGAATAAACTTGGGGACACCTTGAGAATGAATAGGAAGAAGTAGGTTTGCTTGAATTCTTCTGGATCGCATGTTGACTTTGTTCTTTGGTTGGAATATGCGTTGTTTGAGGGCTATCGCTTACATGGGTTACTCGTGGAATACTGAATTTTGCGACAATGCCATTTTGGTAGCCGTACTGTTCTACGGAGGACATCTAGTCATGTCAAGTAAGCAATTTATAACTCTCTCCCAACTTGCTGGCCCGCGCCTTATTTTCACCATCAGCATGAGCGAGCGGTTGCCGCAAAGAATTAGGGCTCTGTTTCGATTTACAAGATATTTTCTGTCAATTTTCATATTTTTTTCATTGCTGTGTTTCAACTAAAAGGACTTGTAAAGATCATAATAAATATGTTCGAGCCAGATGCGCGATTGTAGTCGCTTGTTAGAAGCGCTGTAGCGCTTGAAGCCCAAGGTTTTCAGCCATCCTTCGCATTGTTCAAGCTAGGCGCGGCAGTGAGATTTCACACAGCCTGTATTTTTGATTGAGCTGTCAGTGAATCTGTGCTGAGTTAAACTACGTAGGCAAGGTTACTTTACTGGATGAGAAGTGTTGGGTCCATTTAAGACCGTATGTGTTCTCCTTTTCTTATGTTCATTCATTAACTTTCAGATATGATGACTACTGAGCAGCTAATCACGTTTCTTCTGTACCAGTTGCAACTTGGCGAAAATTTATATGTAAGTTATTTGATATATCAGGCTGTCCCATAAGTTCCGTCCGTTGGTTTTCAATCGCAATAAATTATGAATTTCTTGTTTCTAGATAGGTTCCAAGGTACCCTTCGATAGAGCAAAGCAAGCATCACAAGAAGGCTATCTTGCTTTTGCACCAGCTCTAATCCATCTCCAATTTCAAGGCGAAAACTAAAGGGATTCAACTGCACGAAAAATCGAGAAAAAATCATAACTTCGTTCAAAAAAATCCTACAAAAATTCTAACTTGCTCGCGTAAACACTATCCACCTAAGACATTTACATACGCTGTTGCCGTATTTTTTCCATGGTTAGAAATTGAGAAAACGAAGATCTTCATGTTTTTGTTAAAGCGATGCTGTGCTGTCTTTACATAGATAGTTGTATACTACTAGCCCGTAAAAGTACAAATGTAAATTTTCAGCTCTCTACAGCCACTAGTTTTCGAGAAATATGGATTTTAGCGTAAGGCACCCAACTAAGGCAAGCTGTATTCGATATTTCTCGAGAACCTAAGCTTGTAGGGAGCTGAAAAGTTACATTTGTACTTCTACAGGCTAGTAGTATACAACTACCTATGTAGGAACAGCACAGCATCGCTTTAGCAAAAACATGAAAATTTTCGTTTTCTCAAATTATGACCAAGGAAAAAATATGGCAACAGCGTACATAAAAGTCTTAGATGGATAATGTTTACGCGAGCAAGTTAGAATTTTTGTAGGATTTTTTAAACGGAGTCATGATTTTTTCTCGATTTTTCAGGCAGTTGAATCTTTTTAGTTTTCGCCTTGAAACTCGAGATGGATTAGAGCTGGTGCAAAAGCGAGATAGCCTTCTTGTAGAGCTTGCTTTGCTCTATCGAAGGGTTCCTTGGAGCCTACTCAGACAGTCGAAGGGATATCTCCGGCGGGCATATGGCTCGAGTCTGCCACTTCGCGCTCCGGAGCCCTGCCATTTCACGCATTTTTGTGCTCCGGGGCTCTCCCAAAAGTGGCGCACCTCCGGAGCAGAGATTTGCGCGTCGCAGAGAGGGGTCCCATTCATTCACCGTGACGTCACGGTGACGTCACAAACAGGACGAATGGGACCCCTCTCCGGGACGCGCAAATCTCTGCTCCGGAGGTGCGCCAGTTTTGGGAGAGCCCCGGAGCAGCAAAATGCGTGAAATGGCAGGGCTCCGGAGCGCGAAGTGGCAATCCTCCGCTGGGGAAAGCCCGCGACCTTGCCATTTCTGCTCCGGAGGTATCCCATCGACTGTCTGAGTATCTAGAAAAAAGAAGTTCATAATTTATGGTGATTGAAAACTAAAACGGACGAAACTTGTGGGACAGCCTAATATGTGGAATTTGTTATCTCTTTGTATCTGATTACTTTACATTTGCTGGCTTTTAAAGCAGCTGAATTCATTTGTCTCTTCAGAACATCGGGTACGTTATGACTGGTCTGATGGAGTGTGTTGGAGCTTCCAGAAAGGTAAATGTTTAATCTGTCATGCCTGCTGGTTAAATCGGAAACGAATCTATAGGTGTTCGAATACATGCTGCGTGATCCGGAAATTGCCAATGACGGAAAGAGAGAACCGCCCCTTGAGGGTGAAATCAAATTTGAAAACGTCTACTTCACTTATCCTTCAAGACCGAACAACATTGTGTTGAAGGTTTGTTTCTTCATTGTTAGCAGTGATGGCATTCTGCCATGAACTATGTTTCAAGGGCTTGGATCTGACTATACAAGCAGGCCAAACGACGGCTTTGGTAGGACCAAGTGGTGGAGGAAAGTCTTCTATTGTAGCGCTAATCCAACATTTCTACGAACCTGATAAAGGAACGATTACCATAGATGGTGTGAACGTGAAAGACATTTCACATATGTATTACCATCACAAGGTAAGCATTATCGGGTTTTCATTCGTTTCTAGAATGTTATCAGTCAAATCTTGTTTGAGATCGCGATGGTGGCCCAAGAACCAGTGCTGTACAACGGTTCCGTCCGTTACAACATATTGTATGGATGCGACTGGGCCACTGAAGCGGATATGCTCCGTGCGGCTCAAACCGCCAATGTTCATAATTTTGTGATGGAGCTGGAAAAGGGATACGATACGGATTGTGGCGAGAAGGGTGTACAAATGTCTGGTAAGTTCTCTTTATGTCTTTTTTTACTTTTATTGTTTGCTTTGCTTCAGGAGGACAAAAACAACGTATTGCCATTGCTAGAGCATTAGTGAGAAATCCTGTGGTACTAATTCTTGATGAAGCCACATCAGCCCTCGATGCTGAGTCTGAGGCATTGGTTCAAGAAGCTTTGAACAGGTGGGACTTTGGAGGTTCATAATTTTTACTAGAGGTGATATATGATTTTTCTGTGTTTGATCATTGTTTGTTCAACCAGCCGTTGAACAAAAATTCTGTTGATATTTGATCTCAATCATTATTAACTCGTTGCGAATGCAGCAGTAAATCCAAATGCAGTCAAAATAATAAATTTGGTAGTTATTCTTTTTGTTTTTCAAAAAGCACCACGAAATATTGCAAGACTCATAGTCGTTACTGAAAGTTTTCAAAGTTTTCTGAAAAGAAACCGACTTTTGTTATGAAAGATTTTGTTTGGATAGGCACGCACCATACTTGATCGCTTGATCCACTTGATCTACTTTATCCGCTCCACTATTATTTTAATCAGAAAACTGACTAATGGCGAAGTTGATCAAGCGGATCAAGTGAAATATCCGCTTCGCTATTGGCCAATTCACTGATTTGACCAATAGCGAAGTGGGTGAAGCTGACCAAGTGGATTAAGTATGGCGCGTGCCATGGATTCCTGACTCAGTTCTGATCGGAACTGGGATATTGATTTGAATGATTGATTGACATATGTCAGCTTTCGTTGTTTAGCTTGAAAATCGTGAAGAAGACCCCTCCAAACATTACTTTAGCCGTGTGCTTACGATTATTCATTGCTTATTATTACGAGGTTTTTAGGTGCGCACGTGAACGTACAGTATTAATAGTAGCCCATAGATTGTCTACGATAGAAAAGGCGGATCAGATAGCAGTGATAAATAAAGGATCGTTAGTGCAGGTATGTGCAGAACCATAATTTCTTTCTGGTCGTTCCGAGTTGTTTCTTCGGTGGCTTTTCTACTCAAATTGTTACTTCGAGATTGCTTGTTACCCTATTCAGACTGGAAATCATGCGGAGTTGATGAAGGATGAAAATGGGCTATACTACTCGTTAGTATCCAAACAATTACTTGCATCAAAAATCAAAGGAGGATCGAAATAGCATAAATCCTATCTCATTCATTGAGATCTCAATCAAATCGCATTAGGATTTTGACGGTTGTTCATCGAACTTAATTTGGCAGCAGTATGGAATGCAATGCTACTATGGCTTAACTACTATGTAGTTTACTGTGATCACTTTACCTCTGTAATAAGTACCCTTTCATCCGATTCTATGAAGATTACCAGCTTTTACAAATTTTACGATCCTCAGATCGTTTTAGGTTAAAAAATTATTCTTAGTTTTGTTTCATAAGTTGGTGATGTTTGAGGTCTGGTAACTATAAATAATTGCATTGTCATAAATGCTAACCATTAAGCACTGGTTATTGTAATGTACACTAGTCGGCTCAGTCGAACTGAATGGGTAATATTGTACAATGGTAGGCTGCTCTTTTGCTTGTAATATGTTTAAGTTAATAAATCTCTGACTATTTCTCGTTTTTATTCCTAGTAATAAAGCCAATTGTTGCAAATTTTTTTCTGCTTTCGAGCAAGTTTCTCACTGCCAAGCTTATTTAACCTTTATTTGTCTATCTGCTTTTGTTGCGTTCTGTGCTATTTTTTCCTATCAATGTGCGTACGTCCGAAAAAATATCGACTTTTATATGTGAGATATACTACGAGCTTTGTTAAGAATGAAGAAAGACAGAAGAAGGAGGAGTATGGGCTGATTAGTCCTTGAGAGGATGGAAAGCTTACAAATCTTTGGTAGTTCTCAAAGAATTAGTAACCTTAGTTTTTTGATTCCATGAGTCGGACGCCCCCCCCCCCCCCCCCGAGAATGAGTCGCGAAATTTTTGAAAGTTGCTCAGATGTGTTATAATTGTAAATAATTAAAATAATCTTAAAAAATTTTTTAAAAATTCAAATCAACTCTATGAAAGTTTTTTCGAGAGCATGGCTGCCGCCACGCCTTCTTTTTTTGAAGTTTCGGGATCAGGGGGGTCGCAAAAATTTCGGAATGCACCGCAAAAAATTCTGGGAGCGCGTGCCTAACAACACGCACCTTCATCCGAGGAAAATTTTTTGTCGCGCCTCCCCCGCCCTTCCCTGCCCGAATGGAAATCCTGGGTACGTCACTGCTGTCTTTCTACTATCCTGTTCCGTTCCCCATACTTGAAAAAAAATGCATTTCTGGCAGTTCTACTTTGTTGAAGGGCATAGTTCTCGAACTTATAAGGTAAATAAAAAAGGCAGCCGAGGGGGAATACAGCCTTTAATTCTCACTTTTCGGAAACATCGCATGTAAGAAAAGACATACAGCTGCAGAGATTTTGAAACTCAATAATTACCCCACCCCCTCCCTCTCCCACTTCCCGGTAATCAGGTCTTTTCTCCATCACAAATACCTGTGTTGTTTGGCTTATACATATTTTATGGAACGTTTCTTGCTCAACACATTTTTCTTATTCTTATGCAAATGGAGCACTAAACAGGCGTATAGATATGCTAAAGACAATGCGTGCTGCGCTCTGTGCATATTTATCGCTCATGAATATGCGAATTTCCTGCCTTCTTACAAAAAAAGCTAAAAATGGTTCGAAGATACAGTCTGAGAGCAAATGTTTTTTCTTTCCTTCCAGCTTTGCAAAAATCTATTGAGTAGAAGTTCCCGAATTTTTTAGGCGTCCTAAAAAGTCCAAGCTAGCAAATTTTGAAAGACTTCAACTTACTCCTACAATAGGAGTTCAAATTACGTTTTCTGCATCATCGTTCTAACATCTCTCTTGTAGCTCATTTTGAATAGAAAAATTATAAAGCCTGCAACAGAGTCCCCCAGTCTCTACCAAAAAGTTAGGTACTCGAGCATTATAGGATAGTTGCATATAATTAGATATTCGATTACTTCAAAATTTTTCTGATCATGCCTGAGGATTCTGAAGGAAAGAAAAAATTCAGCAGTTGATTTTGTTCCAATCTTCTTTTTAAGGACTAATGTCAAAACCATTATCTTTCACTGGCGTCCAAATAACTGCGAAAATTTGTTCTCATTCTCATCTATATTTGTTTTTGCCTGATTTTCCCTTGCTTATAGTTCTTGTTTGCAAAACTAGGAAATATTTAGCAGTTGAAGAGCTAACTTTCTCGATGTAATAAAGTGCGGTTCATAATTATACGAACACCCAAAATTTTGTAAGCTTTCGGACTTTTTGGGAGAAACTCAAAAAGCCGTTGATACCACGCGATAGAACACAGCCGAAAACGGTATATGATTCATAAGAATGGAAATCAATATCAATATTAGGAGTGTTTTTGCGCCTAATGCAAATTTTTAGCGGTTCATAATTATACGAACACCTCAAACAAAGGTCCATTTTTCGTTCAAGATTGCAATCGTTTGAGTCCAAATTTTTTGAAGAATTACAGTAACAAAGTCTGACATATTTGCTACACACTGAACCCAGTGCAGTTCAAAACGAGGACCGTTCCTTTTTTCAGAAGGCTCTAAATGCTTTCGGAGTGATTGGGCTCCAGAACCATCCGTTCATCTGTGGTTTACGCGCTCTAATTAGCTTCTACCAAAGCTATGAGATAAAGTTAGCTCTTTCGATAGGCATTTCGTTTGACGCTTGGAAAATCTCTGCGTTTTCATGCCGTTTTTCAACCAAGTTCCATCCTTAGCACAGAGTTAGCACGATTTCGAGCCTCAAAACTCAGCTTCTTTCTTGCACAAACATTTGATATGAAGCACCTGCATTGCTTGCATGATGATATTTCTGTACCAAAGTTTTTGGGTTTTTTCCAGAACTGATCTTGCGGCTGTGGAGCTACAAACCAAATAAAGGTGAGATTGCAATAGTAAAAACAGTATTTCTGGTGAAATAACTTCTGCGTGACCAAAACAAACGCTCAACGCTGCTGATTTTTTCTAGGCAAATATAAAGTATTGTAAAGTATTCTACATACTACATGCTTACTTCATTGTACGGCTCCAGAAACTGATTTTTGAGGCTCGAAAGCGTGGTAACTCTGTGGTAAGGTTGGAACTTGGTTGAAAAACGGCATGAAAACGCAGAGATTTTCCAAGCGTCAAACAAAATACCTATCGCAAGAGCTTATTTCATCTCAAAGTTTTGGTAGAAGCTAATTAGAGCGCGTAAACCACAGAAGAACGGATGTTTCTGGAGCTCAATCACTCCGAAAGCATTTAGCCCCTTTTGAAAAAAGTAACGATCATCTTTTTGAACTGCACTAGGTTTAGTATATAGCAGATATGTCAGACTTTGTTACTGTAACTCTTCAAAAAAATTTGGACTCAAACGATTGCAATCTTGAGTGAAAAATGGACCTTTGTTTGAGGTGTTCGTATAATTATGAACCGCTAAAAATTCGCATTAGCAGCAAAAGCACTCCTACAGTTGACATCGATTTGCATTCTTATGGATCACATACCGTTTTCGGCTGTGTTCTATCGTGTGGTACCAACGGCTTTTTGAGTTTCTCTCAAAAAGTCCAAAAACTTACAAAATTTTGGTGTTCGTATAATTATGAACCGCACATTAGGTCTTCTCATAAGTTCGTAGAGTTTTCATTCTCGTTCTCATTTCTTTGAGGAGCGGTTAATTTGCGGCAAGATGCGTAAACCATTATGAAGAGCTGATCATGCTCTTCAAAATAAACTGGCTACTTTCGTTGGAAAGACTGACATACTTTGATTCAGCCTCCAAAGAAAGATTTCTCTAAGGACAAAAAGAAGCATTTTCGGCACTCGCTCATTTTTTCTCATGAAAAAATGCATTTTGCACAGATTTTTTTTCTGCCTTTCTGGACTGTGGCATTCTCTCACCAATATGAGACAAAAAAGGATTGGATTGCTTCAAAAACCAAGAAGTTTGCAGGGTGTCCCCTGAACAAGGCCTTTTGCAGGTTGGGCAGGAGCTTCTGCCCTGAAAATGGCTAGGTAAGGGCAAGGCGGTCGACCATACCGTACACAGTACGCAAGCCGACTGCACAGTCTAAACAAACCTACTGCAGAAAAGGCCTAATAAACAGGTCCAGTGAGCTTTTTTTGCGCCATAAAACTTGGCTTACGGCAACCGTCATCATAGCGGTCTTGCAAGACTTGAACGGAAGGTGCACTAATGTCCGATGTACTTCTGAGATCTCGTCCATATTATCATCTGTTCCAAACTATCACAAATTATTATGAACGGCGTCTGTTTTGATTCTGAAGACGACCTCAGGCGCTGATTAGACCACTATTTCGGGACCAGACCACATGAGTTTTTGGAAAAAAAAAGAATGAAAATCTGACGGCAGGTGGCAGGAGATTGAGCGCAACAACGGAACAAAGTTATTGAATGAATTTTGCTGAAATTTTGTCATTTCATTGATTTATTGAAACAATGAACTCAGGTGAAACAACCTAATATTTGAGACATACATGAAAACTCTCTCAAAATTCCGAGAATATTTTAGCCAAGACATTTTCTTGATTCTGATAAAATTAAGGAAAGAAAATCAATTGATCCAGAAATAAAAATTCTTCACACTTTGACACTGACATCGGAAGCTGTTTGGAAGTATCCGAAAGCGCAAATCTTTTTTTTATTTTGCACTTTTTGTTTTTGTATTCTGGGAACAGTTATAAAAGGACAAGACACATTTTTTGATTGACTGAATGTATCGAACAAGAGCATTCCATGACGAAAAACTCCCCAGTAAGTGCAAAACGAACTGGATAGGTAAACATTGATATCGTTATTATGTTTTCGATACTATGTAATATATCGATAACTGTTCGATAAAAATTCAACACTGTTCGATTTTGTTAGGGCAGACATTGTTGGCTCGTGCCTGCGTTTAGGGATCCTAGAAAAGTAATTCTTCAAACTTTAGTCAACTATTGCTCGAGTGGATGAATTTTATAATAATTCTCGGTAGTTTTCCGTTATCCGGACCCATTTTTTCAAAAAAGGATACTGCTTTATTCGTTATACCAAATTTAGTGAAAAATTCACAGAATGGAGAGTTAACCTCCTGCCACGTATCAAAAAAAAAACTGACATGTCTCTACATGTTTAACAGGTTTTAACAGGAGTTGTTTAGCCTTCCTAACAATGCATATTCAATCTTTTTTTAATTTCATAGTGACCTCATTTTTAGTTTTAACGGTTTTATGAATGAGCTTTAATATTATGAAGACATCCTGTGCTTGATAAACACATTAGGTTTTCCCAAAACAGAAAGTGTGAGCTATTCTCTATCATCTAAACGACAAAATAATTGGCAGCCAGGTTTAAGGCATCATTCAAACTTGTTTTCTGGGTAAATTCGCATGGCGGAAACAACGTGAAGAGCAGGAGTTTTCTAAATCATTGCTGAAAGCTACCAAGATGTTTTAATAAACGTTTAAAACTATTTTGATCTCATAAAAAAAACCCTCGAACAGCTGCTGTGTCATTTCAAAGGCTCTCGTACCTCACTGGAAATGATTTCGAAAAAAGAACATGTCAAACTGCTTCAAACGTGTTGATTTTTATCTTGACACGTGGCAAGGAGACAGTACTCACAATATCTATGAAAAAAATCTCTAGCCTGAAGCACATGTTTCATGGGAACATTTTGAAAAAATGGGTTTGGATAACGGAAAAGTAAGTACCTAGTTCAGGGCCTGGCACCAGCTGGCACGGGGCAAGCTGGATATCGTTTTTGGGGCAAAAAGCAAAGGGGGTTTCGTTTTTGTGGGCGAAGACATACGCAAAATTGGCGGCGACGACCTTTTTTTTTTTTTTTTTTTTTTTTTTTTAGTCGACGTTTCGTTTTTTGGGGGATTTTGGGGATTTTTTTTAGGATTTTAGAGGGGATATCGTTGAGGATCAAAGGGGACTTCGTAAAATTTCCCAAAAGTCAAGGGGGACTTCGTAAAAATTGGCAAATTTCAAAGGGGACTTCGTTTTCAAAATTCCCTGGTGCCAGCTCGTGCCGAGCCCTGACCTAGTTCTCCTTACTCAATAATAATCAAGCCGCATTAAAAATGTTCTGGCGATTCTTTCGTAGCGGATGGTATCACTACCAAAAAACTAGAGATACCACGTTTTGCTGTGTAAGTTTGGCCTTGTAGACGAAGACCAACGTGGAAATGTTATCACCTCCAAATAATTTTTAGGTAAAAGACGATGCACTTCCCTTTCTCTCCTCGGGTGGTTGTTTCAACTAGTCGGGTTTATTTATATTCTTCTGGTATGCTTTTTACATATTTTAGAAATCTGTGCAGCAGACAGTCGATCTGAATCATCATGATTACGCACAATCTCTCTCATCCTATTAATGAAACATAGCGCATATTTCTAATCTCTCAAATTTTCTAGCTAATTTTAATCCATGCTTTGGCATTATTTCTTCTCCTCCACGTTATTTCATTGCTTTTTATTGAATCTCGAATAAAATCGCAAAAAATGGCGTCTTTTAATGGAGAGTGCCTCTCTTGCAAATTTCTTCTCAAATAAAAGTGTATTTTTTTATTTACATGTCCTTTCTTTTCAGAACTCATGTATAATATCGACTACATTTGCTCAACATGAATCTGGTCCATTGCTCGCTGATATTCTTTCTCGCTATAGATATACCATTTACTATACTGTTATTCGGTTTCTACTCCAATAGTTGGATTTTCTATATCAATATTATTCCGAAAGCTTTCAACTATGTGAGGTACACGACTACTCCAATAGATTTCGTAGTAATGGCTGCTATTCGTACCTTGCTGCTAGTGGCTGTTTGCATTTATATACGGGTTTCTGAGCGGGTAGTGGATCTGAAAATGCCCAGCTTGGGCATAGCCACTGCTATATATTGCCTCACACTGGTGAAACTGCTGTGTTTCTCTGAACATCCTGAAATGCTCACATATCCTGGGCTATGGATGAGCATAGCATGGTCAATATTAGGTGCTATGATGTTTTTCGTGCTGTGTTGGCAGCTAACTGCTCAACAACTGGCCGGATATGGACCTTTGCAAGAGTCAGAACATAATCCAGGTTTGTCTTGGAATCTTCAAAATTGAGGATGGTGAGATTTTGGTGCTGAGGTGCTATAATAGCGGAGCTTACCAAATAGTCCATAGTCCCCTCCCACTAAGGTGGATTCCGAAGCAAACAATCGCTCCAAGGCACGCGCCATACTTGATCCGGTTAATCCACTTGTTCCACTTGATCCACTTCGTCACGTGGTCAGCTCCCTGAACTTCACTATTGAGCAGTTTGTGAGCTGACCAATAGTGAGGTGGAAAGTGGATCAAGCGGACTAAGTATGGCGCGTGCCTGAAGGTTATAAGCTGCTAAGCTGGCTCCGCCCATCAGTGTGGATAATCTGAAGATAACGAGTCTAAAATCGGGCTTCACTGTCTTCGAAATTGTCGAAAATCTGTTCTTCATTACGATTATGAAACCTTCGACATTTCTGTCTAACGAAGCCAGTTCTGACTTGCATCTTCAGACCAGATTGATGGGCGGGGCCGCGTGGCCGCTTCTATCTTTTGGAACGGTTCTCTCGTTTTGGAATTCATCTTTTGCGGCAGAACATGGGTAATTGCTTATCTAGGGGCCACACTATTATACAGCATCAAAATCTCATCACTTTCGATCTAGGTAGACGGTGCCTACAGGGCCGGGCATACTTCACGCGATTTCAGTCGCGACTCGATTTGGCAATCTAGAAGTCTTCAGATCCAACACTAGCAAACTGCACATGCATAGTGCGTATAACTTACGTAGATTGATAAAATATCCTATCTTCTGTGAATCTGAAATGTGCTTAAGCCCTGGCCATACGTGCAGGGCTTAAGCACATTTCACACAGCAGCATTTCACACAGCACGTGCAGCGATTTCATCGTCGCGATTCCGTCGCCAGGGAATTTCATGATCAGAGCGGCGAGTTCGCAACTATCTGCTGGTCGTGAGTTCTGGACATACCTACTTCTTCGGCGGCAAGGTAAAAATACACACCTCAGCACTCGTTCTACGTTTTCTTCTGGCATCCAAAAGCTGTATTTAGTGTGATTTCTCTACACTTACAGATTTTTTGTCTTTTGTGAGCAGCGATACGTTTAACATCAACAATTCATATTAGCTTCTCCCGCATTTGCATTCGTTAAACTTTCATTAGATATAGGATGCAAAGCCAGTTCTCATAAGTTGTAGCTGCGGTTTCATACGTTGCAGATTTTTCGCGATATATTCAAATATCTATTTAGATACTACGCATGCTATTCAATTACTAGTTTCGAACAATTGAAAATATCCATTTCGACTATTGTCACGATTTAGAAGGGACGCGCATCATAACATGAAGAAGTGTAATCTAGGGAATCTGCATCACTTAACATCTCCGCAAAAAAAAGCAAGACGAAAGAGAAAAAATCGTTCCAACGCTTCCAAAAAGGAAATCCAGTTCCAGCGATATCGCCGCGTCGTTGGTTTCAAATTGGCGATGCGATGTCGCAAGATTTCGACCAAATCGCGGCGATTTCGCTCAAATAGATATAGTCTAGGCAAGCTCAGTCAGTGATCCGTAGCGCCGGACAGCTAGCACGACCGACATGCAGGATTTGCCGGCATGCATAAGGCGTATGACAGTTGTCCGAGCACAAATCGCATCGCGGTGATTCTTTTTTGTCCGTATGGCCAGGGAATTACAGTGAGTTATGGACAGTTAGAATATTGCCAAATGGCGTCGCGACTGAAATCGCGTGAAGTATGCCCCGGCCCTTATGACCTTGTTTCCGTCTTTTACGAGATTCTAGTTTCAGTATTAGACACAAAGCCAAGGCAGAGCACATGGCAGCTTACGAAGTTTCTTTTCGGTTACGCCTGGGAGCAACGGAAGTGGTTTGGTGTTGGGGCGGTTTTTCTTCTCCTTTATTCTGTTCGTAAGTTACCTTCCTTTGTTTTTTGTTTTGATGCTGACCGAGTCATTTCAGCTCGAATCTTCATACCGTATTACATTGGACAAGCTCTGGCTGATACTGCTAGTAGTGGTGGAATGCATGCGCTTGTTCGCGCCATAGTTGTCTTGGGTCTTTTGGCATTGTGCAGGTGTTTTCCGTAATTTTGTCGAATCTCCTTATTGAATTCATTTCCTCTACTGTCATCTTTCCCTTCTTTCTATGCTTGTTTGTTCAGCACACTCTTCGGAGGTTTACGAGGTGGCACCTTCACCTATGCAACAGCTTTGGTTGCCAAGCAGATACGACTCGATCTCTTTCGTTCATTAGTAAAACAAGAAATAGCTTTTTTTGACGTGACCAAATCAGGTAACTATTTTGTCGACATCTATTTAACGGCATATAATTTTTGATAAAAGGCCAACTTTCCTTTTAGGGGAAACTGTATCTCGTCTTGCCTCGGACTGCCAAGTTATGGCAACAAACGTATCTACGCATCTCAATGTTTTTCTTAGAAATTTAGTGATGTGTGTCGGCTCCTTAGTAATCATGTTTTACATGTCATGGCAATTGACTATGGCTAGTTTCTTGAAATATCTGCAAAGATTTTTAGCACTTGTTGAAAAATTGTTCCAGGTTACCTTTATTGCTGTTCCTTTTACGGGTTTCATTACAAAGTGGTATGGAAGCTATTACGATGTGAGTTTCTTATGCCCTCACAACAAATATTATCTAGCATCTATAGTTTAAGCGTATTTACATTACAGAAACTCTCCGAAGAAACGCAGACAACGGTAGCAAAAGCTAATCAGAAGGCAGAAGAAGTGTTGAGCACCATTAGAACAGTAAGGTATGCGCGAGTCATTTGTAACTTGGTATGTGAATCTGCATACCCACGCGGTAACCGATGACATCTTACTAATCACTGGCCAATCAAACCTCTAGCGGAACAAACTGCAGAAATGCGTACTGATATTTAATAATAGATGAGTTCAGAAGTTTTGTCATTTGAAAGTAATGACAGAACTTTGAAACCAAATAACCCAAAAAACTATAATAAAGCTACAAGCACTTCAAGATGTATCCGATGCAGAATTTCTTCCTTTGTCCGCAATGTGATTCAATGAGGACTTGCCCAGATAATCGCTAGACATCACAACCTTCGATTTCACGATGTCTCAGGTGAAATCTGATTTTCAGATTATACCTGAGTCTTTTGGGGGAGCTCTAATAGTCAGCAGATAGGGTAAACCTTCTGCCAGTTGACTCTAAGTTCTAAAATATTTATAGTTTAAAGCAAAAATCGCTCATTCAGTTTTGCCTGGTTTGGTTTAATAATAAGCTATGCGAATTTTCCAAAACTTAAGACTTTTGAATAAGCAGAAATTTGAAAGAATAGCTGAAACAAGAAGAAAATTGCTTCAGTTGGCAAAAGGTTTGCCTTACCTCCTGGTTATCAAAGCTTTTCTAATACGAATGAAAATTTAGAAATTAGCGGAAGTCGGACATAATGAAAACAAAAGGTTGATAACCAGCGATTATCTTAGCACTCTCTCTTAACAAGTCAATTTGGGAATATAGCGGTTGGAAAGAGGAGCAGAGTTAGTCAAGTGGTTAGTGCTCCACGTTACTGGCTGAAAGTCGCGAGTTTGATTCCACTCCGAGCCTAATTTCTGCGGCAAAAATTCTGCTCACAATTCCAGCGTCAGACATGTCTCATATAGATACTCGAGTAAAAGTTAGGGCGTCCCTCGGAGGCGACGCGCATTCGAACCCGATGAATGCGAATAGTGGGCGAGGGTTACCGTCTCAGCAAGGTGAACGGGGATGGCTAAAGCGGCTAGTTCACCAGAGGCAACGATTCAAGGCATCGCAGGCCCGTCTAGCTACCATCAATGTGGGCACACTCACCTCCCGTTCTCGAGAAGGGGCAGATCTTCTGAAAGACGGCGAGTAATGTAGCCTGCATACAGGAAACAAAGTGGAGAGGGGCAGAGTCGCGAGCTATCGGAGATGGGTACAAGCTTCTCTACAATGGTTCCAGCAGCAACACAAATGGAGTTGGTATAGTTGTCTCGGAAACTCTAAGGGGTAACGTAATCGACGTTGGACGCATAAGCGATCGCCTAATGAGCGTGAAGGTCGATTCCGGGAAACAAGTCCTACGAGTCATCACCGCCTACGCACCACAGGTCGGATGCAAGGATGATGAAAAGGACGCATTCTGGCAGGAGCTCCATGACCACATCAACTCAATCCCACGGGATAAGACGCTCCTGCTAAAAGCGGATCTCAACGGACATGTGGGGGAAAGGCGAGAAGGAGCTGGTAAATGTCACGGAAACCACGGATATGGAACATGCAGTGAAGAAGGTGAGCGCATTTTGGAATTCGCCTCAGGTCATGATCTGGTCCTGGCGAACACATACTGCATAAAGAAGAACGACCACCTCATTACATATGCAAGTGGTGACCGATGAACCCAGATAGACTTGTGGGCTATCCGGCAATGTGACTTCAAGCATGTAAAGGACTGCAAAGTCATTCCCGGTGAAAGCCACGTTCCTCAACATAAACCACTGCTTCTCGACCTGAGAATCTCGATCGACAGGCACATCAAACGATCAATAGAGACCAGGACACGTATCAAATGGTGGAAATTACAAACTGACGACGCGGCAAAACAAACACTGCCAACAAGTCTCCCAAGCCTGCAAGAGAACCCAGAGCAATCCTGGGTAAACTTGAAGGGGCGGGTCCACCAAGTGACACACATGGTCCTGGGTAGTACAAAGCCAGGAGGGAAACGAATCAATCGAGAAACGTAGTGGTGGAACGATGAAGTGCAACTGGTAATAAAGAACAAAAGGGATGCGTACAAGCGATGGCACCAGTCAAAATCGGAGGTCGCCAGATATACCAACAAGCCAAGCGCGCTGCAAAAACCTCCCTAAAGAAGGCAAAACAGGTGTACATGAGACAGCTCTACGAGAGACTGGAGTCTCGCGAAGGAGAACGAGATATATACCGAGTAGCCAGGAGAAGGGCAGAGTCTACAAAGGATATAGGGCGCTTCCTCCATATCAAATACAAACTTGGTAGGACGCTAAGAGCACCGGCAGACATCACTGAAAGATGGAGAACCTACTTCGAAGAGATGGCTATCGTAGGCCGCAGCGTCAACTCCATTCCAAGAGCTGACCCCGTAGATGGACCAGTACCACCATTGCGAAATAGGAGGTTTGGCTAGCTATAACGAAAACAAAGAATGGCAAAGCGACTGGCCCAGATGACATACCATGCTAGTTCTGGAAAGTGTGTGGATAGTCCGGGGCTTCCTGGCTATCAGGTCTCCTCAGTCAGATCATGAGGAGCAAGAGTATGCCTCGCGACTGGTACACCAGCACGACCATCCCGATATGGAAGAAGAAAGGAGATATAGCAGACTGCTCATCCTACCGACTAATCTGACTTATGAGCTACAATCTAAAAATCTCCGAGCGAGTAATCGAGACACGCCTTCGAGATATCATAGAGCTATCACCGAATCAGTGCGAATTCGTGAAAGGAGTAGGTACAAGTGATGCACTCCACTCCGCTCGGATAGTGATAAAGTATTACAGCGAGAAGCAGAAAGAATTGCATGCAGCCTTCCTGGACCTGGAGAAAGCCTTCGATAAGGTGCCCCATGAAGTCATATGGTGGGCCTTACGGAAACACAGGGTGCCAGAGGAGTGCTTTCAGTGGATAAAGTTGATCTGCCACAACGCGTCAAGCCACGTGCAAACAGCTGCAGGACAATCGAAAGAATTCCAAATCAAGGTTAGAGTACACCAAGGTTCAGTTTTTTCTCCCTTGCTCTTCATCACTGTGATGAACGCCGTAATGGAACCACTCAGACGTGAACCCCCTTGGACACTTTTCTACGCACATGATGTGGTCTTGCTTGCAAGCACCAGGAAGGAGTTGCAAGACGAGGTACAGAAGTGGAAAGACAGGTTAGAGTTGTATGGGCTGAAACTCAACACCAAGAAGACGGAGTATATGGAGGTGGGGAAACAAACTCCAGGAACCATATGTATCGAAGGTGAAGAGCTAAAGAAAACAACGTCATTCAAGTACCTAGGCAGTCACATCTCAGCAGAAGGAGGCTTGCAAGAGGAATTCGCAGGCAGAATAAACACAGCATGGATGAAATGGAAAGCCTTGACGGGAGTTCTATGCGATAGACGATTGCCAGTAGTCAGCTCAAGTCCCAACTGTACCGAACCGTCATCCGTCCAGCAGCCCTTTATGATAGTGAGTGCTGGCCATGTACAAGAAATGAGGAGCGCAAGCTCGGTGTCATGGAAACAATGATGCTACGATGGACCTTAGGTGTTACCCTGAAAGACCACATCTGCAATGACACTATACGAGCCCGAATGAAAATAGCTCCAATTGCCCAGAAAATGCAGAAAAAGAGACTACGATGGTACGGGCATGTGCGCAGAAGGGAGGAAAGCCACATTACGAGATTAGCCTTGACGGTGGAAGCGGACTTAGAGGTAGACCCAAAATGAGGTGGATGGATAGGATCAAGGCCGACCTGCGATAGCTTGGAATAGATGAAGACCTTGCCTCAGATAGGAAAACATGGAGACTACTGACAAGAAAAGCAGACCCTGTATAAGCGGGACCTATGCGAGGATAAAAGAAATGCAGTTGGAAAGAGGAAAACATTTTGCATTGAACAGACAAATCACCGGAACTTCCGCAGAGCGTTTGCGGAAGTTCCGCCGGGTCACCTGCGGAAGTTCCGTAAACGTGCTGCGGAAGTCCCGAAATGAGGTCCTGCGGAAGTTCCGGAAAATGCCAACCACAACAGCAAAAGAGAACACCGAAGCGAGATTTGAACCTCACTCTATTGACTGTGAGACCCACCTACTATCCTCTACGCTACGGCTGACTTGTTCGATAATGCACTCTGGTTGTTGGCGAGGCCACATCACGAGACAACACATTCAAAGTCCTGCGGAAGTTCTGGCAAGCCAAAGTGCTGCGAAACCTCTGGCATTTTTCGGAATTTCCGCAGAACTTTGAAGAGGGTTCTGCGGAAGTTTCGGTTTTCAACCAGTTTGGCATGAAAATCCCGCGGAAGTTCCGATTTTCAATCTTTTTCATTTCCATTCTTGCAATAGTGAACAAAATCCTGCGGAACTTCTGCAAATTTGGCTTGTCCTGCGGAAGTTCCGGTGATTTGTCTGAGTGGATATAACTTGAAATCTCATTCGTCTTTATTCTCCCGCATTTGCGGGTGGATTCAAAAAACTGACATTTTGCACCGACCTTGTTATGTTTAAATGGAAAAAAAATTTGTTTGTTTTGTATTGCATGATCAGATAATTGAAACACTTACTTCGTAAGGAATATGATGAATAACTGCAGTATGAGAATTTATCATTGAAAATTCGTGATATCCTAACATGGAAGTGATCGCTCTTTGACTTCAAGGACGATTATTTTAGGATTTAATTCATATCTCATCATCAAGAATAATAAAAATATTCCTCAACTTTCGCTTTCAATGCGATAGATCGTCATTTGAGGTGGAATGCGAATCTGGGACAAAGACGCACTTATGAAATTGTTGGCGTAGTGGAAATTAAAAATTTTGTAAAGTTTCCATTTCTACTGTTTCCAAAAGCAATAATGGCGCAGTGCCGAAAAAGAAGGAGAAAATTGTTGCTTGAATTTTGGTTTTTACCGTTGCACCGGGAAAACCAAAAATTGAGGCTTTCATTGATACTGAAAAATTTGCTCAGAAGGTTTCGAAAAAAATTTGCGAAAGGTTGCAAAACATCGGTCCTGTCCTTTTCAATAGAGCGAAGGGTGAGGGGAGAAGAGGAAATACATAGGAAAGCTGTCGAAAAAAAGAAAGACCAAGAGGGATAGAAGAGGTGAGAAAGAACAAGAGGCCTCGAGACTGCCTGAAAAAGAAACTTTGGGAGGTCTTGGAACAGAGTTTGAAATGGATGAAGTTTTGTACAAAAGCTTTTTGCAAGGAATCTTCCCCCGCTCCATGCTCTCCCGTTTCCCAGCTTTTGGTCCATCTTCTGATTTTCTGAAATTTTCATTGTCTTCCACCCTTGAAATTTTCATTGTCTTCCACCCTTTCTGGTTGCTTTGCTTGCCTTGACATAACAAGATCAATGAATGCGATAATTTTACATCTGGTAAAAACTTTGTTTTTCCGATAAAAGTTTTTCCTTGGAAATGGATGGTCATTGAAAGGAGCCGTGAAATTTGAGGTAGAAGAATGAATACTGCAAAAAGAGTGACAAAATCCACTGATCGACTTTCCTCTGATTAATGAAACAGACAGTGCACAAGACTCTGTTTTCATGTGCAGTTTTTCGGAGCCGACCCTGCTTTTTCATTTTTTCCCTCTTCCTTTCAGAAGCAAAAATCAGGGCTCGGCACAGGTGGCTTACAAGCAAGCTGGATATCGTTTTTCGTTTTTGGGACGAAAACCAAAGGGGGTTTCGTTTTTGTGACCGAAGAGAGACGGAAAATTGGTGACTTGGCGACGTTTTTTTTACTCGACGTTTCGTTTTTTAGGGAATTTTGGGGAAGGTTTTTCAGGTTTTTAGAGGAAATTTGGTTGAGGGTCAAAGGGGACTTCGTAAATATTCCCAATTGTCAAGGGAGACTTCGTTTTTTTCATTTTCATCTAGCCACCTCGTGCCGAGCCCTGGCAAAAATCACTATTCAAACTGGATAAAGGAAGTTTCTATTATACATTCAGATCTTTCGCTAGCGAGTTGTTCGAACTGAAAATGTTTGAAGACGATTTGGATGTCACGTTGGATGTAAGCCGAAAGAAGTAAGTCATGTGCTTCGAAAGACTTCTACTATCATGTTGTTATCAGATCACTAGCTTACATGGGCTATACTTGGAACAATGAGTTCAATTCAAATGGTGTACTAATAGCTGTGCTATTCTACGGTGGACATCTGGTAATGAAAAGTGAGGTCATTGATGGAGTTACTTCTGCTGTTAACTAATTTTGCTTGTCAGATGAGATGTCACCCGACACGTTGCTCAAATTTATGCTCTACCAATGGGAGCTGAGTGAGTATGTTTATGTAAGTAAAATTCATGAATTAGCATAATGATTTATCTTTTACATTTGATTTTCAGTGGCTTGCATTTGTTGTTGCTGGTATAATGGACTGCATAGGGGCATCAAGAAAAGTATGGTCTTTTTCTTTCAAGCACAATTTTTTGCTTTCAAATTTTATAATAATTTTTTGACTTCTTTCCTTTGCTAAGTTTATAGCACATTGAGTGAGTAATTTGAACATTCGCATATGATGCTCCATTTGTTAGCGAGAATTTAGCTTCAAACTTCTAGCTAGTACCGTACTCGAGCGGTGATTGGCCGACACGAAAAGTACGGTAGTAGACGAGAGTTTAGGGCTGGATATCTCTGCCGATTGAACCATCAAAAGTACCGCTTGGGCTATCACTTAATTAGGGCTCCCCAATCAGCTTACGCACAGAAAGTTCACATACCGAATTTGCTTGAACATCACCTCTAAGCTATATTTCAGGTATTTGAATACATGCATCGTAAACCTTCTATGCCATTTGATGGCGATCAACGGCCAATACTGCAAGGAACTATACGTTTTGAAGATGTCTACTTTACTTACCCATCTCGTCCCAATAATCATGTCTTAAAAGTAAGTGCAGCTTTTTCTATTTCTGCAACTTTCTACGACGTTTCTTTGCAGGGTCTCAATCTTACTATTGAAGCAGGCACCACCGTAGCCTTAGTGGGTCCTAGTGGTGGAGGGAAATCATCGATTGTAGCACTGATACAGCATATGTATGAACCGGACAGTGGTTTGATCACTATTGATGGGATCCCAATACAAAATGTTGATCATGAGTATTATCATGAACGGGTAAGAGGTTTTTCTGAACCAGAAGAAGTTAGTCGATATAAAATAATTTCATTTAGGTAGCGCTAGTAGCGCAGGAGCCAATACTGTACAATGGAACAGTTCGTGAAAATATTCTCTATGGTTGCGATTGGGCTACTGAAGAAGAAATGCTGGAAGCGTCAAAATTGGCGAATGCACACGATTTTGTGATGGAATTGGAAAAAAATTATGACACCCCATGTGGTGAAAAAGGAGTGCAAATGTCTGGTAAGTCTTTATCAGGAGATAAATGCGTGCTAGAACTACAAGGACAGCAATTTACGGTGTCTCCAGAATAAATGGAATGCTTTGGTGAGCTAAAGGATCCTTAAGAGCGTTCTATCATGACAGTTATGTTGGGGTATGATATATTGTCCAAAAATTGCTAATTTTTCTTTGTCTAAGTAAGTCGTAGATTGGCGAAGAATCTTTCATAGCTGTCTTTTTGAACCAGTGGCGGTCCTAGAAAATCTTTGCATGTGGAGAGGCAACAGATCACGCTCTTCCAAAAAAAATCACGGCAAATTTTCTAAATCTCACTAGGCCTAAACCTAATAAAAATTTCTCATTTTAATCTTTGCATAAATCCACAAATAATTCTAATTGATCGCAAGTAAGGAAGTCACTTGCTTACTCCTGTAGATGTCGATAAGGCATCCGCCGGGTCAGCATTCTCTGAATTTTTTTTTGCAAAGTTATCTTCTTATCTGCATCTGACAATAGCAATGCTTCTCTATGCTTTTATCAAAGTGCTGGTAGCAGTTATTCAAGAAAAAGCTGTAGAGCACTTTTTAGAATAAAGACGAATAATAACTACACATTTCCACGATGTATTGATTGATTGTAAGTCGGAAGTTTTTTGTTGATTTTGTGACACATCTCAAGCAAGATCCTTGTCCTTAAGTTGCGATGTATTTGGAGTGATCCTTGCCCCCCCCCCCTCCTCTAAACATAATCTTGAAAAATGTACTGATTTTCGGCAGCCGACAGTTATTTGCTCAAACATGCATTATAAATTGAGGGGTGGGGATAAATATTGTCTCTTCAAGTAAAACACATGAGGTTCCAAGGATCCACGAGTCAGGAGCGGCCTTCAATATTGCCACGCTCACAAAAATTTGGAAATCATGGGTACCATTCTGTAGAGCGTGGTTCAACTTAGATTTAAAACATACAGTGCTGGACATAATTATAGCGACACTCTAGAAATCGTCGTAATTTTCGTTCTTGGCAATGAATCTGTCTGAAACTTTGCTATGTTGTGCGCATGTCATACCATGACCCCTCAAAACGGCTTCCAGTCTTGTTGAGTTTGAACGGAGAAAAACGAAGAAATTTGAAAAAGCCCTCTTTGAAAGCTGGACATAATTTATAAGGACACTTGATTTTTTCAAACTACTGCATCCCCTGGCTCTAAAATTTTTTTTACAGTTATATACTAAGATATGTGACATTTGCAACATTTGCGACCTGTCATCCTTTTCAAAGAGAAATGATTACTGCATTTTTTGCTTTCAAAAGCATCAAAAGTGAATGTGCTTTAATAAACAGCTGGTTTGTGGAGATTTCAAGTTCTTGTTCATTTCAAATGATAATCATGGAATCTACTGACCCTTCTGGATAGATGAGGTGAACAACGCTTTCGTAAACTCTGCGTAATCGCTGATTTTGACGGACAGACTCCAACCTCAACACATCCTTGAAACGCTTTCAAACCGCAAAACTCAGTTTGCAATGTCCACAAAGTGCTGAATTAGATTTATCACATTGCCTACATGGGGATGCAGCTTTCGCAACAACTTTCAGATTTTCCCTAATGATGCGGTAGCGATTTAGACCTGAAATACTTTCCACGAGAAATCCCTGCGAGCAGAGCCTTCGATATAACCCTAGATCTCCTTATTTTCCTTTGTGTTTCGTGTCATATTTCACCCGATGAATGAGATTAGCTAAGATTTTAAAGTTTCAAGCGTCTCCGGTTTTATCACTGATCTGAGTTGTCTTTGATTGTGCAGGGCCTCCACTCACCATTCAGTGGATGTCAACTGCGGCTAAACTAGAGTGCTCAATCTCGAAATTTTTTCCCAGTCATGCACACGAGTTTATTGCTGTATGGCTGTCGTAATGGCTACATTACAGTATTTTCTGTTGCTTGAAAATCGAGTTTTGTGGTGCAAAAGTGCGTCAACCCTATGGTAAGCTTGGAGTCTGTCCGTCAAAATAGCGATTACGCAGAGTTTACGAAATGAATGGTGAGTGGAGGCCCTGCACAATCAAAGACAACTCAGATCAGTGATAAAACCGGAGACGCTTGAAACTTTAAGATCTTAGCTAATCTCATTCATCGGGTGAAATATGACACGAAACACAAAGGAAAATAAGGAGATCTAGGGTTATATCGAAGGCTCTGCTCGCAGGGATTTCTCGTGGAAAGTATTTCAGGTCTAAATCGCTACCGCATCATTAGGGAAAATCTGAAAGTTGTTGCGAAAGCTGCATCCCCATGTAGGCAATGTGATAAATCTAATTCAGCACTTTGTGGACATTGCAAACTGAGTTTTGCGGTTTGAAAGCGTTTCAAGGATGTGTTGAGGTTGGAGTCTGTCCGTCAAAATAGCGATTACGCAGAGTTTACGAAAGCGCTGTTCACCTCATCTATCCAGAAGGGTCAGTAGATTCCATGATTATCATTTGAAATGAACAAGCACTTGAAAACTCCACAAACCAGCTGTTTATTAAAGCACATTCACTTTTGATGCTTTTGAAAGCAAAAAATGCAGTAATCATTTCTCTTTGAAAAGGATGACAGGTCGCAAATGTTGCAAATGTTACATATCTTGGTATATAACTGTAAAAAAAATTTTAGAGCCAGGGGATGCAGTAGTGTTTGAAAAAATCAAGTGTCCTTATAATTATGTCCAGCTTTCAAAGAGGGCTTTTTCAAATTTTTTCGTTTTTCTCCGTTCAAACTCAACAAGACTGGAAGCCGTTTTGAGGGGTCATGGTAGGTTGACATGCGCACAACATAGCAAAGTTTCAGACAGATTCATTGACAAGAACGAAAATTACGACGATTTCTAGAGTGTCCCTATAATTATGTCCAGCACTGTAGAGCGAATCATCAATCACTCTTCATTACTGTAGAAAGTGTAGGTTACGGTACAAACTTTCAGCATACAGCGCCAGTGTGAAATAGCCTTCTAATGAAAAAAAAATTCAAAAAATCTGGAAATTTGTGTAGCAAGGTTTTCAGGCATGGTGATTTCAATACACAACTTTTCATCAGTTTTTCGAGCTTTTTAATGGGTAATCACACTTCTGATGAACATTGGGAAAACATTTGTCACCTAAATCTGAAATAACTTATGAAAGAAGTATCACGGAGAAGTGCAAATTTTCATATTTAGAATCAGCGACTTTGATCAGTCCAATATAAGAGATTCTGACTTATTTGATTTTCATTCTAAAGCGAAAATCGCTTTCATATTCCTGAAATCCTTCTCGAAGTTCCTACCTCATCCTAGTAATGAAGAGCGGTTGAAGATTCGCTGCCTAATGAAAATCTAGTCGTAGTTAAACCTCGCTCTATAGAATGACACCTTAAGCTTGGCCATAGACATGAAAGCAAGAGAGCTATTTATGATCAAACAGTGTACACATCTTTTTGAGACCCCTGTACAAAAAAGTGTTTCTTCACCTAAGGTTGCCATTACCTGACAGAGACATAATTTCCTCACAGTTCCATGATTCTTTCTATGATTTTTCTGACCAGCATGAGCAGAGATCTAATTTCCTGTTCTTTGAATTATATATTTCTCATTGTTTTCTTTCTAGGAGGACAAAAACAGCGGATTGCCATTGCACGTGCAATGGTGCGAAATCCATGTGTGCTTATATTGGATGAAGCAACGAGCGCTTTGGATGCAGAATCCGAAGCACAAGTGCAAGAAGCGATCAATAGGTGTGCATTCAGTTAAGTGCAAATACAAAACAAATATTATTATTTACTACGTTAGGTGTGCGGGTCAACGAACTGTTCTCATAGTTGCCCATCGTCTTTCGACAGTAGAAAATGCAGATACGATAGTTGTCATAGATAAAGGAAACGTTGTTCAGGTAATTTTTTCTACTTTTTACTTTTGAATCTCGAAAACTTGCTCATGTGAAGTTCGAATTCTTGGATGCAAAATGTCTCTAGCTTGTCTAGATCAATTCTTTTGTAAATTATTTTTGAGTTTCTATTATTTTGCATGCAAATTGGTCAACTTTTTTATTGTGAATTCTTGTTCGATTTGAATGCAAATATTTATTTATCTCTAGCATGTTGAGGTCAATTTTTCAAACAAAATCCTTCTGAGCTTTTCGAATTGATCTGTTCAATTTTTTTTGCTCTACCGTGTCCAACTTCTTGCAAATTCCTGAAGTTTTTTAATTTTTCCTGATAGCTTTTTTCAATTTTCCTTGCGAATTCTCTTTTGCATAATTCTTATTTCGTAACATTTCAGTCTGGTACTCACGATGAACTTATGGAAGACCTGCAAGGTCTTTACTATGCTCTTATTTCGAAACAATTGCTCATTTCTATGAATTAGAAAAGATCGTACTGTTCTCTTGTCTCATAATTGCCTTCCTAGACAACCATAACCTTTTTTGTTTCTTGTATGTAGATAGAGCAGCTCTATCAGCCTTTATGGCTCTGACTGTTGTTGACATAATTGCTCAGGTGATTGTCTGAGATTAACTCGTTACTTTGCGTAATAGATTTGCTCATTCCGAGATTATTTGGAGTACAAAACCAGGTTTGCATCATTCTAGTAGTTGACTTGACTGGAGAGTTTTATTGTGTAAAGTAAATCTGTGGCTTTATTTGGGTTTTGTAACTCTTTGTCATTCTAGTGTTTTTTTTCTCACGAAAAGCTGATAATCGCGGGAACAGCTGTTCGAAGAACGTTCTCTCCACTTTCGAGTTCGCGGTTTTTCCACAGCACTGAACGTGAGAACTATAGCTATGCGAATTGGAATGCGAGAAAAAGCGCGTGACGCTGGTCCCAATGCCCCCCCCCCTCCTGGGTGTGTCCGAAACGCGAAGAGCGCTCACACCCAGTCCGTGCACTGATGTTTGTGTGTGGAATCTGCTTGCAATTGCACAACTCCAACGATTTGTTGCGCAATTGCCGCCCCTTCTGATGTCATCGCGCGTCTATAAAGTGCCAGCTTTTCATCAATAATTCATTTTCGTTTCTCTCTTCTTTACTTCGAATCACTCGAAGAGGACATGGATAACATGAGGATGTTACTGGTCCTTCGAATGATTGGCCTTGTTCTGGGTCTTGACAAGAATAAACTATCATCTATTCTGAAACCTAGTTGGTCGAGTACCCTTTGTACACATTGCCTAAACAAGCCTTAACTTGTTCTTATAGGGTTCTACGTGGTAAGTTATCTCACAAGGGAAGTTGACTTACGAGGGAAGTACTTTGAATGGCCATGGCTGTTTAATATGAGATGCATATCATCTGAAGCAGCTTCGAACGCTGATTTCAAATCTGCTTTCCATTTCTGCGGAACGCTATTCTGAAGAAAGTTATGGAAGTTTGAACATCCTATTTTGGGGGCGCTCCTTGAGTTTGAGGGCGCTGCTATGTGCGTTGGTGGTGGAGTAGTGCAATAATTACTTGCGACATCAAATGCGAGAGATTGATGATTCAAATCCGGGGAAGGGCGACCCCTTTTGCATTTTGAATGTGAGTTTAAGCACTCTAAATCGTCTGCAGACACTTACAGTAATGCCCTAGCACAAACAGGAAAGAACGTCTTTTCGACTAATGACAGTGTGCACTTTTTGAGCTTTATATGGTGACAAACGTGCTAGGCCATGTTTGGTCCTGTTTTATGTTTTACTATTAAGGAAGTCAAATAGAATTTCAGACTCTCATTACAAGCAGTTTTGCCAGAAAATTCTTTTTCTAGGTCACTTGTGCCAAAGGCATTACAGTAAGCGTCTGCAGGCGATTTAGAATGCTTTCAAACTCACATTCAATAAGCAAAATAGTTTGCTCTCCACCGGATTCCATCCATGTCAGCAGCTAACCACTACATTATTACTGCACCACCAATGCACATAGCAGCGCCCTCAAGCTTAAGGAGCGCCCCCAAAATAGAATGTTCAGGCTTCCATAACTCTTTTCAGAAGAGCGTTCCGCAGAAGCGGAAAGCAGATTTAAAATCAGCGTTCAAACTGCTTCACATGATATGCATCTCATATCAAAAGGCCACGGCCATTGATAGTACTTCCCTTATTAGTCGAAATGGCGATTCGGACAAAGATCTATACCAACGGATAGAGCTCAAAAGCTGATCTTAAATCCTTCTATATTGCGATGCATTGTTCTAAAAAGTTACGAGCTTCTCTAAAGCCAAATTTTAGTGCAGTTTGAGTCGCAAAATCAAGATAATCTCTACACAATAGTGTGCAAGCTTAAGCAAACCACCTAGTAAGCATTGTAGTCTTGGTCGAGTTTATCCGAACGCTTTCGAGTGTTTTCGACCATGTTGTTCATCCACAGGTCGCCATTTCATTCCTAGATCACACTTCCATTATGAGTAAAAAAAAAGCCCCATAACCTCCATGTAGAAACACGCATCGCGTCGGAAATTTACTGTAAACTCCACCAATGGATAGAACGTAAGACGATGTTCTCAAATATATCTTCAGTATCTGCGACGCTTTCTTCTAGATGATGTTATAGGCTTTTTTATGTATATAATGGAAGTGTGATCTAGGAAGGAAATGGCAATCTGTGGATAAACAACATGGTCGGAAAACACTCGAAAACGTTCGGATGAACTCGAATTAGTTCTACAATGTTAATAAGTGGTTCGCTTAAGCTTGCACATTGTGTGGCGATAATCATGATTTTGCGACTCAAAATGCACGAAAATTTGGCTTTAGAAAAGCTCATAACTTTTTTTAGAACAATGCATCGCAGATATAGAAGGTACAGGGCTTATCAAAATGAGTGTCGTTTGCACCAGCATCTCCATCTTCGCGCTGGTCTCTGCGTCTTTTCTGCGGGACATGCTCCCTAAATAATTCCAATCAATTGAGGCTCCGCCTTTCCCACGCTTGGGAAAGTGCTCAGAGAGCGTGTCCCGCTTAAGGCTCCCGCCAGAGTGCCGAAGTTATGCCAGCGCTACGCCAGCATTTCGATCGATACACGTGTATTTCGTTGGGGACGTCAGCTAGCCCCGCCCAACGAAATACACGTGTATCGATCGAAATGCTGGCGTAGCGCTGGCATAACTTCGGCACTCTGGCGGGAGCCTAAAAGACGTAGAGTCCAGCTCGAAGAGGAGATGCTGGTGCAAACGACACTCAATTTGATAAGCCCTATATATCTGAGATCAGCGTTTTAAGCTCTATCCATTGGTATAGATCTCCTTCCGAATCGCCACTTCGACTAAGTGAACTTCCGATGTCAGAAGAGATTAATTTTCACAAATGCTAACTTGTTAGCTACACGGTCGAAACTGTCTAGACAATGTGTGCGAATCGTACTCGAGTCTCTCAAGTCTCACAAGGGAAGCTTGTTTAGTCGAAATGGCCTTTCCAAATGAGATGTACACCATATCAAAGGGCATAAAAAGCAGATTAATTTGCCTTCTTTATCTGCAGAACGTTTATGGACGAGGAGTTATGAGCGTTTTTTAAAGTCAAAAAATTAAATGTGCATTTGGAAACAATGATTTGTTAAAATCTAACTAGCCCTCAAACTATGCAGCCAAGTGTGATATATTTTTCATTTTGAAGTAATGTTCGAAAAAGCTCTGATGATTATCACTGTTCCATTGAAAAACTAGAAAAGTATCACTGCGATTTTTGTCCTACTACCACATTCAATTTTTTGCTCCATTAAGCGCTCATAACTCCTCGTCCATAAACGTTCTACAAATAAGGAAGGCAGACCTGGAATCAGCATTTTGTGTCCTACAATGTGGTATACATCCCATCTAAAAGCGACACTTCGACTAAACATGCATTCCTTGTCAGAATGATTGTTGCCCACGGACGACTCAATTCAGTAATCCCACATGTGCGAATGCACACACCACAAGTTGCGCGTTAATGAGATTGATTAAAGCATTTTTTTGGTGACTCTTAGGCCCGTATGCACGTATATCCCCGCGGGGAGGGGATGTGCGCTTAACCATTGAAATGATCCCCGCTGGGGATCCCCTCCCCTCCCCGCGCGAACCCCCGTATGCACAAAGACAATATCGTACAAGGGATCCTCTGTGGGGAGGGCAAGTGAACCCTCTTATGCACAAGAGGGGATCAAGCGGGGAAATCACCTTGCTTTCAAATTTTCTATGAAAAACTCTTTCTTATTTCATATTTTGACTGCAACTCATCTTCATCTCCTCACTTCAATCAATTTAGGGTTGCGGAATGTGCGTATGCAGTGACTGCGCTCGGGGCGCTAAAAATGATTTTTTCTACTCCCATTATGTTCCTGCTTTCTTGGATGCTGCCCACTTTCGTTCATGCTGCTCCATTTCAGCGTCAAAATGTTGAATCATAGAAGTTGATGTGTCTCTGCAAGGGAATGGGTAGAAGACGTTATGCTGCCGAAGGGGGGGGGGGGTGCCGCGCGGACGCTCAAAGCAGTATTCTAACACATAACAGAAGCTGCAAATTGTGCCAGCTCTCCGTAAACGCTGTAACTATCAGCTGCATATCGTCGTTTATCCCAGGGGAATGATCCCCAGCAGCCATCCCTGCTATGCACAAGGGGAACGCTGGGGAGGGGATCACTCCCCAGGGGATTTCTACTCAGAAATAGGAAATATGCTACTTTCTAGATTTTTTCGAGGCAGCTTATGTTAAAAAAACAAGATAATGGCAACATGGCATGAAATATGAAAGTTACAGTGTGTTTATTCAGCCTATATAGTTAAAACTATTATGTTATATGAAAAATGCGCAAATTTCCTGAATGATCAAGAACTCCTACAAATAATCGAAATTGGCAGCTATTGTTGCTCGGATTTCTTCTCAAGAGGGGAATATAGAAAACAAAGACAAATTGCAAGCCACAGGTCGCTGAGAGAATAACCCGGCTTTCAAAGAAAATCCTCCATCTAAATGAACGAAATGCTTGGTAATGACTGAGCAGAACCAGAATATCCGCGTCTCTGGCATGATCTACACCATCGAACCCCTACTTCGTTGCAGGGGATGTCGATCCCCTCCCCCGCGTTATTGAGTTGAATTCGCGCATACGGGGTTCGAGTGGGGGAAGGGAAGGGATCCCCTCCCCCATTCGAACCCCGTATGCACTGGGGTTCGCTCGATCAATACCTCTGAAATCATTCACACCATCCCCGCTTAGGTGCAGGGGAGGGGATCGCTCCCCTCCCCTCTGTCATGGCGGGGTTCGGCGGAGGGGATCGTTCCCCTGGGGATCCAGCTCCCCTCCCCTCCCCAGCGGGGACGTACGTGCATACGGGCCTTAGTCTAATAAGTGTTAGGTCTTCTTCTTTTGCATAGAAAAAGAAAATATTCAATGGTGGTGTCTTGGGATAAGTATGCAAAAACATGAACATCTGGTGATATCCATGTTCTTACGCGCAGTATGAATGGCGTGTGCATTCGCAGACAATTGGAATAACAAGGGAAATGGTCAGAAGTCGAAGTAGCCAGTCTAAGCAGGCTGCCTACCATTCGATGCAGCATTCAACGCTGCTTTCGAATCTGCATTCCATGTCCGCTTAGCACCTTTGTGGATAGGATTATGAGCAGTTCTACTGCGGAAAAAATCGTGCATAAATTGCAAAATTGAGCACCTTATTGCATTTTCATCTCAACTTGAGGCTCTGAGAATATAAAGTAACCTAAGGGCTTTTAAGGGCCCTTCATAGGCGCTAAGCAGACATGGAATACAGAATTAAAGTCACCGTTTTGTGCTGCATCTAATGGTATGCAGCTTGTTTGGATTGGCCATTTCGATCTCTGACCATTCCCTTGTAAGTTATTGTCGATGACAGCGTATTTTTTCTTTCATATACCAGAATCTCGCGTAAACAATAAGTTTTTATCAATATTGTGAATGTGATTGCAAATGATTCTCCAAAGAATTTGCGCCAAAAAGGACGGTCTATCTGTTCCTCCCGTGTTTTTTGTTCGATTGACACTTTGCCCTCTGAGGCCGATAATCTGACGTAACGCCAGATGCTTACTGGTTGTCAGCCATGATTACATGCTTCACCGAAAAATAAAGTGCAGCTGTTTAGTGCTGAGCATCTGTATGGCATAGCATGAAAGGGGAAATTGTTCTGCACTCGATTTGATTGGTGCATTAACCGTCTTACAATTAGTCATTATTTTTTACAGCAAAAAGTAAAGGAAATAATGAGAATAAATATACTAGGCTGTTTCAATAGTTCGGTCCGATTTTCAAGTGCCTTGCTTTAACGCAGCTATTTTCTTAGGGTTTTGCACTTATGGCATTACCATAAACACCATCTAGAGGTACTCTTCCTGCTCTTTCTAGTGGTCACCGATGCTTGGCGAATCAACTTTATAGTGATGAAATTTCAAGCCCCGAAGTAAAGTTGCCAAAATGCAGTCATGCCCAAGAAAAAGTCCCCATGAAGAGAACTTCCGCAGTATTCGTAAAACTAAATATGTAATATATTATAATGGGTGAGGGTGTAATAGGCTAACATAAGCACACTTTTACTCCGACGTCGAGAATGTCTTATTTTTTCAATTTTTTTTCCAAAGATAGAAGACAAACTCAGTTATTCAACAAGCGACAACAATCTACGTATAGTGACAGGTGATGCATTCAATATTGCATCTGTTAGAGTAAAGCGAGAGCAAGCAGGAACCATCGGTCGATTGCTTTCTTCGTTTGCGACGGCAAGAAAAAATCAAATATTAAAAAGTCGGCGTATTTTCGCACGCGGAGGAGGGCTCAAATAATGGTTTTTTTATCTGCTCGCAAATATTTCTACGCAGCGAAAGTAACTCGAATTTTTTCTAACCGCAAAAGAACCTTTGAATTATAGGCTACTTAATGATGGCAGCCAAATGTGTCTGCCCATCCTCATATGGAAGCATTAGTAAGTCAAACAGGACGGTTTTAAAGAAAACCTTGCAGAATTCAAAAAATTTCCTCTTCTCTCTTGCTTGACTTCCTTACATGGTATACAGTGATAGCCATAAATTCGCCCAATAACAAAATTTTATTTGTTCAAAATTGCTAATTTTGGAAAAATTTATGAGATTTTATAAGAAAAAATAGCAAATCGGACAGAACTTTTGAAACAACCTGTATAGGTGAAACACACACCTACAATATTCCACTTTTCATTCATTCTGCGGCTAGATGCTCGGGCATACTTCGCAGGCAGAACTCCAAATGCTTATGAGCCATAGCAAGCGCATTCTGATTGTAGATAAGTCAGAGCATTTCATTGATTTCAAACAATGGGCTAAATTACTGGCAAATTGTCAGATTGCGTGGCGACTGAAATCGCGTGAAGTATGCGCCGGTCCTCCATTTCTGAACCGATCGGGACCAAACTTAGCACACATAAACTTCGGGCCCCGGCGGGTGTCATAGGCTACTTTTCGTCATCGATCGATATCGATTTTATCGATTTTTTGCAAAATTTGAGCTACGGGGCTGGGAGTTGGCACAGGGGGGTTCTGCCAAATTTCAGCCCCGTAGCTATTTTGCAAAAAATCGATAAAATCGACATCGACCGATAACGAAAAGTGGACTGTGACACCCGCCGGGGCCCGAAGTGTATGTGTGCCAAGTTTGGTCCGGATCGGTTAAGAAATGGAATTTTCTATTCGGAACATACGGCGGAGCCGGGTAAGCCAGCTAGTATCTCATATTATCCATCATCGTCGATTCGTTGACCGCACGGGCTGCTCAGACGTTGTGGACCACATTCGGCGCGGCTAAAGTCTTACGAGAGCACGACTTGTACAATGGCGAATTCGTAGTGGGGCAAGCGCTTCACCTCGCGGCGCGTGCTCCGCAGTGTCCCGTCCCGTCAGCGAATCGACGATACTTGGAACTAGGGAATAACAAGTTGTAGAAAATGTGTGTGAAGTGGTTCCGGGTCGCATAGTCTCAGAATGAATGAATGATAGAGTTATTTGTAACTTAATATGTGAGTCTGCACATTGTGCGCGGCGAACGACTCAGCAAAACCTTTCTATAACAAAAGTGGAGTATACTACTAAGTATTATACCTATAACAAATCTAAAGAGATAAGACAGGAAAATTCACTGGAAATGAGGGGGTTCTACTTTTACAAGTCGTCAGGTAGCGGGCATGATGTGCAGTACGCATATTAAGTAACAAATAAATCGACGATACGTCGCTTCACTCATGTGATATCACTGAAGAAAGCGTTGGAGAGGAGACCGAGAAAGCCAAAGGCGTATTCCTAACAGGCCTGAACTTGTTCAATTCTTTTTTCGATCGCAAGAGAACTAAACAAGTTCAAGCTTGTGAAGCACAAGTTTTTTGGTGCAGATGCTCTACAAGTACAAAAGTAGCGTGAGAATGTACCGTCCCTTCCACGGTTGCTGCTGCTTTTAGCAAACTACTCCAAAAACATTCACAAAAGTCCAATTCCAGCAATATCGCCGCGTCGCTGATTTCAAATTGGCGGCGCGATATCGCAAGATTTCGGCCAAATCGCGGCGATATCGCTGGAATAGGTAATGCCTAAGAAAACACGTTCAGCTATCCGTAGCGCCGGACAGCTAGCACGACCGACATGCATGATCTGTTGGCATGCAAAGGACGTGTAACAGCTGTCCGGTTGCACAAATCGCATCGCGGTGATTTTTTTGTCGGTGTGGCCAAAGCTTCATTCCTGCCACGTGTGACTAACATGTTGCGTCGGCAAGAACATGTTTGCAACATGCAACAACATGTTGGCAGAGCATTTTAGCCACTAGCCTCAACGCCAACATGTTGCTCCATGTTGCAAACATGTTCTTGCCGACGCTGCCAATAGTCACCCATACGTGGCAGGTCTGAGACGCACCAAAGTTGGCAGCAACTGTGGAGAGGACGATATAGCCAGGATTACACACGTTTATACTTTACGATACATGGACTGTCTTCCTCATCAACAAATCTAAGGGTTCGCAGTCGAAAAAAATAAGTGGTCTCTTTGTCTGTGGTTGAAAGACTTTCCATTTGATTGGTGAGGAGAAGGAACAAAATATCCTTGAAAGTGAATCTTACACTATTTGATTCTACAAAAAGCTCACGTTGCAGTTCAAACCACAACACAAAGTTCTTCATTGATTTTTACAATTTCTCTTGTCGGAAAAAGTGAACTTCCACATGTTTTAAAATTTGAAGAAACCTAACGCTTACATATTGTCAGATTTCGAGAGAACCGCATAATGCCTGTACGGCCCGCACGTGCGGTGGTATGCCGGGGGTTAGCCCAGATATTAACAGAATATCTGGCACTTCTTGGGCCACGGTCGTGCGTGGATAGATAGTGAGTGTCCTTTGTTTCTGTTATCATGTTGCTTTTATTTCTTTGATGAAAGCGATATTTTTCGCTGCTAATTTTGTTTTCAGGAAATTCGATGATTTTTTTTTCGCCAGATGATCCTGATTTGTTTCAGAATCTCATATCTGTACAGAAAATGTTGCACTCAACACTGTGTATATTGACAATCTGCATCGATGTCTTCCTGTCCTTCGCCTTCATCATATTTTGTGGCCCCTATGGAAAGCCATTTTTGAATCTCAGGATGTACATAAACCTTTGGTCAAAATATTCCGTATTCTCTAGTTCGACAGACTTAGCACTGCTGGCTGTTTTGCGCAGTCTAGCACTTCTCTTTTTAGCTAGAAATTTCTCGAAAACCAGCAAGTATGCTTGGGTGTTCTGGTCTATATGTGTGTTGTCCTATAGCTTCACACTCACAAAAGTTCTACTCCTTGCCGAAAATATCACATACCTCAACAGGCCAGGGGTCATACTGTCATTAGTATGGTCCCTTGTTGCTACTGCCTTGTTGGGCTATTTGATTTATAGCCTACCCAAAGTATCCCCAGAAAAATATTCAAATGTGCCGGAGAAAAAGAAAATTTTGAAGAAAAAGTCCGCAGATATAGGTGCGTTCTTGGCATCTTACATCCTTTTATAGTGGATCTGTATCGCTCCTACACTTGACTGTTTAGATGCAAAGCATCATGAAGAGCTCACCACGTTTGACCATATACGTACACTGTTCAGCTATTGCAAACACGAATGGAAGTGGTTCACTGCCGGATTTTCTGCTCTTTTGGTATTCGTCTCAGGTTATTGATTCATTATCTTTTTCCAGGACTGACAAAACCTGCCAATTTTAGTAAAATAGTGAATGTTTAATTGTTTGGTCTGTGCTCCGCTCTCGTGCATATAAACTGGAGGCAATACCTTTGAACAATGATTTTCAGCCCAAATTTTTGAACCATCGGTGACCGGTTATGTGCTCAGCACCGTAATCGACAAGAAAGGATATCATGCTCTTATTCTAGCCATCGTATTTCGGATAGCAGTCACATTCACTGCGTTAGTCTCAAAGATATTTTGCAACATCAAATTCAAAAAAAATCCCTTTTCAGAGTAATTTTTGATGGATTCGTCGACGGTTGCATGGAGTATGCAACGTCGCTGATTGCTCGCAAACTTCGTTTGGATCTCTTCAGTTCATTGGTCTCAAAGAACATTGCATTTTTTGACGTCACCAATTCAGGTAACCCGAGACCATTCCGAGAAATTCGAAGACCCTGCGAAATTCCAGGTGAAATGGTCTCTCGACTGACAGCCGACTGTCAGACGGTATCTACGGCGATCTCATTCAATTTAACACAGTTTCTTCGAGCTATAATCCTTATTATTGGTACTTTAGGATTTCTTCTTTTCTATTCGTGGAGAATGACTATGGTCTGTCATTCACCTTCTATACGGTACACAAATAATTTCTAGCTAATTTTTTTCAGGTTACCTTCATCACATTCCCATTAATGGTAATTCTGACTAAGTTCTACGGAGATTTTTATGATGTAAGTTTATCGCTTTTCGCTTCCTTCATTTTTCTTTCACAGTCAGCCCCTCTTTTCCAGAGACTTTCCGAGTCCACACAAAACACAGTGGCAAAAGCGAATCAGATCGCTGCTGAAGTTCTGTCAACAATGCGAACAGTGAGGTGAATCATAGATAAATTGTATGAGTCCAATGATTCAAACCCTGACTTTTCAGGTCGTTTGCTTGCGAAAAACGAGAAGTGAATCGATTTTCCAATACTCTGAGCAATGTGCTGAAGTTTGACAAAAAAAGGTTCAAACAATTCTTCTATCTTTTTTTCCCATATAAAAAATGCTTTGGTTAAGATCGCTCGCATCTGCCGGCTATACATGGAGCTGTGACATTGCAGAAAATATAACTATAGCCATAATTCTTTTCTACGGTGGACATCTCGTATTTTCAGGTGCTGTTATTTTCAAGGAAAATGTTCAAAAATGCGTAGATAGCTTGGACAAGTCTGATCATATCTTAGCTGCGGGTATAGAATAGTGTTATATAGTTATGAAATTGGCGATAAATTTTGCAATCATTGTTAAATGGAGTCAAACTGTAAATCAAGAGCCTAGATATCAAAAAGAGTTAATGAGGAAGAGAAGGATTCTCAACCACCACTATCTCCGAAAATTCGCGTTTTCCCCTTGAATAGAATTACTGTCGCAACCTCAACAGCTTCTTAAACATCAGTTGACCCCTCAAAAATAGCAATGCTAGTTATTCAAGATTGAGAAGTGCTCAAATTTGACAAGCAAAAACAGTCTCCGTTTTTTTTGCACTAATTCGGTGCCACTCACATGAATCTTGCGAACTTTTTTTTTTGGGGGGGGGGGGGATGGGTGGGGGGCAGGAGAGCGAGACCGGAGTGGGTTAGGTGAGCTTGAGTGTAGCACTTTTGCTCGGCACGGTTAAGTTGAAGAATAAGCACAAAAGAAACGATATAATAAGCTATTGCATCGCATGCGGTAACTCATTTTGAGAAACTCATGTAGATGTAATTCAATTTCTACTTCAGTTTTACAAAAAGAGAAAACTCACATAATAACTCACAATTTCGAAGTTGATCGGGACGCAAGCGGGATGTCATCATATGCAAATATCTGCAACATCTCAACTTAGACCATGATAAGATTATTCTGTTTCCAGATAAATTATCATCGGCAACACTCGTTACGTATATCCTATATTTGGAACAACTCGAAACGAATCTCTATGTAATTTATCTGTCTTTTTTTTCGTTTAGGTCTTCGATCGTTGTTTGGGTCATGAAGTTATTTTTCAGATTCTTGGTGCAGCAATGACGCAAGTAATGAAGTGCGTGGGAGCTTCAAGGAAGGTATTAGTTTGTCTTCTCAGAGTTCGCACTTCACTTTCAATCCTAAGTAGTCCTTTATAGATATTCGCTTTGATGAATGAAACTTCTGAAGATTCGTTCTCGGAAGGTGACGAAAAACCAGTGATAACCGGTAAGATAGAAATCAATTCGATGGACTTCACATACCCATCTCGACCACATAAGAAAATCGTAGAGGCAAGAAAAATCTATACGAAGAGTTCCAGTCTCACCATCAAGATCATAAATTTCTAGGATATGAATCTAACACTCGAAGCAGGCAGTACCGTCGCTTTTGTTGGTAGCAGTGGTGGAGGAAAATCCACTGTAATAGCCCTAATTGAGCGATTCTACAAGCCAACAAGTGGTTCGATATTAATGGATGGGATTTCTATAGATAAAATTGACCATGAATACTACCATGAAAAGGTATAATGTTACAAGACTGAAACTACAGACGAGTCAGCGCACGCAGAGACTAGACGGATTTGCGTTTGGTTGAGACAGTACATGATTGGAAGAGGCAACAGACGGTAAGAGAGGTGAAAGTACACTCTATATGGGAGATGCCGACAGCGCGCACATTGGCGCCCTCTCTCTGCATGCGATGACTCTACTATACGTTATCAATCATGATTTTGATTTCATTTTCTGATTATCGAAAAATCAAGCATTCGTGGTGAAATTATGACCATTCAGGTAGCCTTAGTAGCACAAGAACCAGTTCTATACAATGGTACTATTCGTGAAAATATTCTCTACGGATGCGACTGGGCTACCGAAGATGATATGCTGAGATCTGCTCAAACAGCAAATGCGCACGATTTCATCATACAGCTTGAAAATGGCTACGATACGAAATGCGGTGAAAGGGGAGCTCAGCTGTCGGGTAAGAAAATCTCTTCAATAGATTGTATATTAAATAAAAAATATACAAAATGGTTAAGGTGGCCAAAAGCAACGAATTGCTATTGCTAGAGCACTGGTGAGACGGCCAGCAGTGCTAATACTCGACGAAGCCACTAGCGCTTTAGATTCACATTCTGAAGATGCTGTACAGGAAGCTTTGAAGAAGTACGTTAGTTGAAAAGTAGTTTATAAATACTAAGAAGATAATGCCTTGTAAAGAGGAGTTTCGCAGAATTGCTGGCAAACTGACGGTTATCATCATAGCACATCGATTATCAACCATAGAACACGCAGATCGGATATACGTAATTGATAAGGGTCGAATTGCTCAGGTACGATTTGCAAAATTATGGCTATCATTAGATTACTAGGATAATTTTTGTCTTTGCAGAGCGGTACACATTCTGAAATGCTCGAGGACATCAATGGGCCGTATTATTCCCTCGTCGCTAGGCAAAGTAGAAGTATACAAATGTAAATATAGATATAAGCTTAATTAATAAATTAATAAATTAATAAATTATTACATATTTTCCATGCATTTCATCAGTGTATTACAACAACGCAGAGTCTATACAAAGCTCTTTTCTACAAGCATCCCAAGCAGATTACATCCACCTGTGCTGGGACAGCCTTGTGAAGCTCTGAATGCACAGTTCTTACAGTTTTCTAGGTTTCTCACACTCCAACCTTTGATGTCGTTAGTGAGAAAATGAGGTGAAAGAATGACCCGGAAAAACTGCACATTCTCGGGTTTTTGAGGAACAACTAACAAAGCAATAGTTCAGCTCTGGGTATATAGTTTGACCCCTAAGACCCGTATGCACGTACGTCCCTGCTGGGGAAAAGAGGGAATCTGAGAGGGAACCATTATTTCGCTACTCTAGACATCTGTATTCTTCTTTTTTTGTCTGTGTAATATGTAGAGTCTCTTGTCTTTGATTTCAGTATAATGGATGGCATAACATTACCATATAAGCTGAGATTCTGTTCGTACTGTGGGTCTACTATGGCATGCTGCAGATGTTTTCGACGATACAAATATTGTGCTTGTTGTGGGGTTTTTTTTGATGAACCACAGCTCGCAAACAGCGCTTCAACGGTGATTTCGATATCCTGAGACTTCACTAATTGCTGCTACAAACTTGTTTAGCACTGCCACAGTATATCCTCGCTACAATTTTACAGCACTTTCATCGAGTTTATAGGAAAAGGACTTTGAAAATGTGACGTGATCCCGTGGGGATACCCCCAGGGGATTGCAGAAACTGTGAAAAACTCAGTTTCCATGGCATTGTTGTGTCATCCGTTATACTCAACTATTAGGGTATGAGAACCTTCACAAGATAGACGAAAAAAGAATAATGCAGATATCTGAAGTAGTGAGATATGGGGGGTCCTCTCTCAGATTCCCTCCCTTCTCCGCGCGGATGTACGTGCATACGGGCCTAAGACTGTCTATAACCTCGAAGTTGCTTTCATTTCAAAAGCGGAAGGTCGGAAAAGCTTGTGGCTTTCACTCTCTTCAGTATGATTTCTGGGAATAGCGTGACGGATAACCTCAGGTGGGCAAAGAATCCGGAAGGATTGACAAATTTGCGCATCCATTGCCTTTAATGCTTTGGGATTAAGCATAATCTAGCCAGGATCTGACTACTCACACAAGTGCAAGTTCAAAGCTGCTATATGCATTATTTCAAAAGAAGATTTTAGTTGTGAGGAGGAAGTGGCTCCTGGCAGGAAGTGGCTTGTTGGACAATGTCGATCGTTAGTTCCACAAAAGTCCACTACTTATGTTTCCGAGCGTTGAAGGAATCATGGCTTCCAACCAGTGGCGATCCCAGGATTTCCGTCGGGGGGGGGGGGGCAGGGTTTTTTTCGAATAAAGGCGCGTGGCGTCAGACACGCACTCCGAACAATTTTGGGGAGCTTTTCAAAAACTTTGCGGTCTCTAACCCCTGAAATCTGGAAAAAGGGGGCGTAGCGTCAGCCACGCCCGAAAAATTTTTTAATAAGGCTATTTTGAATTTTTAAAAATTTTTGAAGATTATTTTAATTGTTATCAAATTAAGCAAATCACTTGCACATTTTTATAACCCACGTAAGTAATTTTCAAAAATTTCACCCACTCTTGGGGGTGGGGGGGGGCGCCCCAATTTGGTACTGAGTGTATTCATAGGTTTTTAATAGGTATGCAATGGAGTCAGATAACTTTATAATCAGTTTCCATGATCAATTATTTGAACAAAGTCTATGTTTATGATTAAGTCCATACCGCATCGAACAATTTTGTTACAGTGGCAAGTTTGTCTGTTCACCTCGGAAGTGTAACCAAGATTCAACCGTGTTTCCACCCTCAGCGTCTATAGTAATGTTCTGCAGATACGTCGCAACACGAACAAGCTAGGGTCGCGACAGTACAGTGCGGTCACGAACTAAGTTCAAGCTCTCCCTTCCGGGTCATTGTACACCGTTATCTTTCAACAAAACCGTCGAATCGAGCTAACAGCGAGCATAACCACTGTGCTATACCAAACGCTTAATATGGCTGGAAACAACTTGTAACAGCAGAGGTAGATCAACCCGACAATTCACAGCACGTGTTCTCTTCCGTGTTAAACTCTTTTCTTGTAGTTCTATAGTTTATTTTCTATCAAACGTTATCCCTGCCTCGTTGAAGGTACTGGCCCTATTCGCACTGGCATGCCTTTTTCGTGTTCGCATACGCATGCTTTTGGAACTCATCGCGCAGTGCTGACCATGTATTAGTCGCAGCAAGTTCAAACTCAACAGCAACTGACGTCATGTTGCCGACAAACCGAAACTTTGGGTTCACGGAACATTGGTAGCTTTCTGCACTACGGAGTTCCTTTGTTTGTTTGATTATAAACGATGAGACATCGCTCATGATCGCTTTGGAGAACTTATGGCGTAAAGCGTTTTGAAGACCGATCTGAGCGGAGGAAATCGAAATGGTTATAAGAGTGCTTTCATTGTTATTATGAGTCATTCTTAGACCACTTCTCGCTCTGTTTGATTCTTGCATTTTGTTCACGGTTTCTATCATTCAAATAGTTAGTCGATCCTAAACAAGGGAAAGCCAAAGGGGGATATTGTAAATCTACGGTTTCATGTACATACCTTACTCGACAAGTTGTTCATGCTGACACGCAAAACATGGTCTTATTCGTGAGTGACCTCAAAAAGTTCAAATTAGCCTCCATAGTAATCAACTGCGCTGTTACAGTGCACTCATAACGATATGATTCCGAATTTCAAGTATTAGGTTGTAAGAAAAGTTCTGCCAGTTCTTCTCGTAAATACAAAAAATGAATGCGTAACGAGCGTGAATAACGAGCGTGGTTAACATTTTTCAAATTAGATGTCATTTGCCCACCTATGCTATCCCGAGGCAAAACATTCGGTTCGCATAATCTTTTCACCATTTTACAAAAATCTGTTCTATATGATTTGGTGACATTTTGGTTGCACTAGTCCTCCCTCTTTGTTAGGATCCCAAATAGCAAAGACGCCGGTCCTCTTAAAAAAGAAAACGCTCGCTATTTGAGCAACCCACGCAGCTGGCGCGATCAAGTAGAAGACCGTGAAAATCGAAAGTGGCAAAGACGAATTGTTTCACAGTTGTCTATCTGCCATGTTCGCTATTGGCCCTGATCTGAATATCCGGACACCATTGAAGTCTTTCCACACTCGTTATGAAATGCTCTTGTTTGCGCATCAACATCACAGAGAACCTAAAAAACAGTTTCTGACAAATGGATCTGCTTTTACTCCAAGGAAAACCTATATTCGCTTTTCGGACGTTTCTTTACAACTGCATACGATATGATCATCACATGTGCCAATACGAGTCCATTTTTTCTGGAAAAGCAAGACAATAACTTTTGCCGTCTTCTAACGGATATAGCAGATAATTCGCATGATCAAAAAATTTGAAATCTTGTTTCTGAACGTCACCAAGCTGGCGCATATGTTCAAATCGTATTATAGAGTTGCTTTGCTGTAACGAATAACAAGCCTGAGCCGTGATCTAACAAGGAGAGGATACTTAGTCGAAAGCACCAATCCAGATGGGACATATATCATCTTAAAGCGCTTGAAACGCTGATTCCAAATCTGCAGTTTCTAGCTGCGGAGCGGTTTTGTAGAAGGAGTTATGAAGGGTGTTCCCCTCTGGGGTTGAGGCGCCCTCTAGCAATCTCCCCTTATCTATGAGCACTGCAGAGGAGTATCAGCTGGTGACAGCCTAATGGTAAGTAACTGAATGAAGATTACAATAAGAATTATAATACTCGTATTACTTTGTTTTTTTTAACACTTCTAACTTCGATTAGCACCAATGTCATCAGAAATTTCAGGCGCTAGGGCTCTGAAGCCATTTAGAAGCTCAATTTGGCAAAAACTGCGATACATTTGCATGCCAAGGGGATTAAAACCTTGACACTCTCCTTATCAAGCACGTCGCTTACCACCAGGTCGGTTGCCACCAGTTGGTACTCCTCTACAATGCTTATAGGTAGGGGGAGACCTGGTGGAAGGCGCCTCAACCCCAGAGGGAAACAACCCTCATAACTCCCTCCACAAAACCGCTCCGCAGCTAGAAACTGCAGATTTGGAATCAGCGTTTCAAGCGCTTTAAGATGATATATATTTCATCTGGATTGGTGCTTTCGACTAAGTATCCTCTCCTAAGAAAGAAACCAGCAAATTTTTGTCGAAATGAAAAAATTATAGTCCCATTTGAATATTCGATCTTTAGTTGAACTGTGATATCCTCTATTGCAGAATGCATGCCTTTAAGCCTCTGAGGTCAATCCATGAATTTTAGATGAGCATTTCAATGCGCACTTCAACGTATACAACAATCGTAAGCGCCGACATTTTGCTCTCAGCTGCACTCGCCACTTTTTACTCAGGCGATGTATGGAACATTAAATACTCAATATTCAACAGTGGAGTTGACTTGGCACTACTTGCCATACTGCGATCTCTAGCTTTATTACTCACTGGTTTTGAGTACTGCAATTACCGACGACTCTTTTGGCTAATAAGTCTGATCTCATATGCTTTCACTCTGATTAAACTTCTGTCCTATGCTGAAGACATGACTACACTTAGTCGGCCACATGTTATTGCGTCTCTGATCTGGTCTCTAGCGGCTACTGCCGCCACAGCGTATTTCATGTACAAATCTCCAGTCTGTAAAGAAAGTCCTCCAAGTCAAGAGGTTGAGGAAGAGGACAATGACAATGATGACGATTCTGAGGTACCATGTGCAAACTTGGACTCAATAATGATTACAACACATAGATTTTGTTTAGGATTTGGCAGATGGCGAAGACGTGCACATCTCTAAGTTTGAACAAATTCTCTTCGTTCTAGGATACTGTAGAGAACAGTGGATTTTGTACCTAGCGGGTTCTATATTCATGCTTGTGCAGATAACAGGTATAGGTCGTGTAAAATGTGACGACGGATTCGACTGCGGTCTTTGCGTCCACATGAGCAGAAAACACTCATTCAAAGAGCATCACCTCATCTCTCAGCTCACAAGGGAAGTTCACTCAGTCGAAGTGTCGATTCGAAAGGAGATCTACACCAGTGGATAGAGCTTAAAAAGCTGATCTCAGATATACCTTTTATATCTGAGACGCATTGTTCTGAAAAAAGTTATAAGCTTTTCTAAAACCAAACTTTCGTGCGTTTTGAGTCGCAAAATCATGATAATCGCTACACAAAAGTGTGCAAGCTTAAGCAAACCATTTGGTAAGCATTGTAGGTCTAATTTGGGTTCGTCCGAACGTTTTCGAGTGTTTTCCGCCCATGTTGCTTATCCACAGGTCGCCATATCCTCCCTGGATCACACTTCCATTATATATATAAAAAGCCCATAACCTCCATCTAGAAAGAATGCGTCGCAGATGATGAAGATATATTTGAGAACATCGTTTTACGTTCTATCCATTGGGAGAGTTTCCAAAAAAGTTTCCGACACGACGCGTTTTCTACATGGAAGTTATGGGGCTTTTTTGTACTCATAATGGAAGTGTGATCTAGGAATGAAATGGCGACCAGTGGATGAACAACATGGTCGAAAACACTCGAAAGCGTTCGGATAAACTCGACTCAGACCTACAATGCCTGCTAGGTGGTTTACTCAAGCTTGCACACTTTTATTTAGAGATTATCTTGATTTTGCGACTCAAATTGCACTAAAATTTGGCTTCAGAAAAGCTCGTAACTTTTTTTTTACAATAATGCATCGCAGATAAAAAAGGTGAGATCAGCTTTTTGCGCTCTATCCATTGGTATAGATCTTCTTCCGAATCGACTTCGACTAAGTGAACTTTCCTTGTCAGTCACGTCCAATGTCTAAGTACTGTCATATGTAAGCTGAAAAACCGTTCAAGTAGAGATGAAAACCAGAAAAAGCTGCTGTCAGGAAATGCGTGCGTGTCGCGTGCGGTACATTTCCGTTATCCGGACCCATTTTTTCAAAGAAGAATATTTCGTCTGATCTTGTACTATAACTGGTCTCAAATTCACAGAAAGGAGTGTCAACCTTCTGCCACGTGTCAAAAAATTTTGACATGTCATCTACATGTTTAACAGGTTTTACCAAAGGTGTGTGTTGCATTACCTAGCGACGTATGTTCAATGTGTATTTTTGTCAATAATGACCCATTTTCAACTAAACAATTTCAGAAAGCACTGTTGTAGTAAACGTCATCCTGTTATCACTGAACAGATTAGACCTGCCCAAAATGGGGAAGTACGCTAAGATTCCATTATTCAAGCTGCGACACAAGAGCAGCGAGATACTGCAAGCCATCAATTGTGATCACTCCTGGCTAAATTCTCATGGCGGAGTTTGAAGAGGAAGATAATTCTGAATTATCGCTGAAAGCAATCAAAATGTTTTGCGATAAGTTCTAGACAGTTCTGCTCTTATAGAAAACAATTGAAAGGTTTTTAGGTCACAAATGCTTTTTTTAAATCACCGGAAATGATTTCGAGAAAAAAAACAAAAAAAAATAGGCTAAAGTGTGTGAATTTTTTTCTGCACGTGGCGGGAGGCAGTTTTCGTAGCTATGAAAAATTGTTCTTAGACGAAAGAATGTATTTTATGAGAGCTTTTAGTAAAAATGGGTAAGGATAAAGGAAAAATAACCAAATTTTTTTCCTACAAGTGATGCAAGTTTTATGTATTACGTGAGGGGAAACAGAAAACTGACACAAAAAGAACGTGAGACTACTTGAAATCGAAAAAATAATTGATTTTTTTTAAATTTTGTAGTTTACTACATTAATTTTGCGAAAAAAGGCCCCTAAATCAAATTGACCTTCTAAAACTACGTATATGTTGAAAAGCAGCGAAACTTGAGTCCAAATTTTGTGCTCTTTCCCTACGATGCATTATTCTGAATGGAAAATTCCCCTGAACAGAGTTGAAAGTTCTTTATTTTGGGCAAAAATTCGTATGCTTATCGACCTACTGTTATTACGGCATAAACACTCAGATGGTAGTGCAATCACATAGTGCTCCCTGTCAGCACTAGAAGACTTGATCAGTGTTCATTAACACGTTGACGACAGCGTGCATTTTTAGCTTTCTGCCTTGTGGGACAGTCCCATCTACAGTAAGTTGACTATTTTTAGCTGAAATATAACAGGCCGTCATCTGCAGTATCCCTACAGTGATTTTGAAAAGCAGCTAAGAAACGCGGAAGTAATTCTAGGAATAAAGCATAATAGAACTTCTAAAACCACAGTCATTGCATGACCCACCATGTGGGTCACATTGTCGTCAATGTGTTAATATCCCAGTACATTTTTCAAGCAAATTACGACCTATAGGCTGACCTATATTCAATGCTGTAACCTAATCAAAGCTCACAACTTTTTTTAGGACGAAGCTTCGCAGTTTGGGACAATAGATTTGGACTCAGCGTTTCAACGAATGCATGGGTCATTTTTAAGGGCCAGTCTAACATAAAGTTAGATACTTTCTCTTGTTAAATACAAAAACGGGTGAAGCATAAGCGAAATGTACGAGAGTATCTCCAAATCGACATTTGCATGCAATCAGGGGCAGACTGCTCAGCGCACCGCGTACCCTCTATACTATTAGGAGTGATGGAGATTTGTGTCTAGGTCCCGCGCGTCCTCCTCGCCTGGGTTCTGCACCTTTTCCGCGTGCATGTTCTCTAATCATTTTCACATTCATTAAACTGAAGCATGATACTGCAACTTTTAAATGTAACTTTGCTGCTGTTCTCTATTTCTTTTCTACAGCAATGGCACCGTGTGATAGATCAAAAGGGGAAAATAAGTAGACATTTTTCATTGACCTTTCCATATATCAGAAACTGAGGATGGACTGCCGATACTGAAAGCGGAAGAACAGAAGAAAACGGCTTAATTTGATTTATTACCTTTTACAGCTGCTGTACTTGAGCCTTCCACCCAAGGAGATGTTATTGAGACTGCTACAAAGCAGAAAGGATATCATGCGCTGATGGAATCAATGATGATTTGCTTTGGCATCATCATAATCAAGTAAGTGTAATCAAGTAAATAATTTAGAACCCAGCAAGACCGAAAATCAAATGCGCTTGAGAACGCCAATCACAAGGCTGCATTATTCATTACGTTTTTTACGGTACTTCCAGACAATGAAGATTTGCGAGTGAGGAGCATCTATAGCGATAAAACTCTTGCGGCCGAAGGCCTCCACGCAGCGCGTACAGCCTCTGGTGAAGGCTTTCGCAGGAGTGACTTCCTTCGTAGCCCTGCGCCATGGGCCGATGGGCCTATGGCGCAAGGCTAAAGAACCTTGACCTGCAAGCCACAAAGACCCGTATTTGTGGTCACATCATTTACAACGGTCAGCATGTTGGAAGTCAAGTGTCTATCACCGTCTGCTCATTCCAAACTGGATGGCTTTCCCGGTCCAGCCCGGTTCATTGTTTAGATAAAAGCCATGACTTGTTCCTCCGTCTTGTCCGTTCGCTTCCCATTCTCACTCCCCCCCCCCCCCTGCCCCACTCTCAGTCCCGATAAACTTATCTGAATATATGGTGATCTAACACATTTTCAAGTCGTGTAAAGGTATGGCTACCCGGTTCTCTCCTTTGCCTTTCGTACTATTTCCGAAATGACTTGCATCTTGAGCTATGATCTTGGCATTTAGGGGAATGCTCACGTATGCTTTCGACTTGTTAGGCTATGACGATGGTAATCACTCCGAAACGTTGGTCGTAATAAAGAGTTATCAACATCTCGGTCTAGGCCAATCAGTTGGTGCGATTATCAAGTGATGCTAAAATTAATAAGCAGTCGAAGTTGGAAGATAATGTGAAGTTTGTTGGACATGAAGAAGCAAGCGAGTTGCAGGATCAGCAAAATCGCTGACACCATCATGCAACGTACGCAAATCCAGAAGATTTTTCCTTCAATTATACCAAAGAGAATGATGTCAGAATGATAAAGTACTAGCTTGCTTACCCCCTCCGCTCGGCCCTGTCAAAACACTGCAATGAAGTTTCCATCCCTATCCCTGTAAAGCCTTTCCCTGTGCCCACTTCTACACTTCATTTCTCGTTCCCTGCGTTGTTTTAGAAATCAGCATGCCCACTTACCCCCCCCCCCCCCTCCTTCCGTGCCAACTCCCAGCCCTGTAGCTCAAACGTTGCAAAAATCGATAAAATCGATAAAAGTGATCGATAATTCTGAAAACTAATATTGTATTCGGAATCGCCATGCCCACTTACGCCCCTGTGCCAACTTCCAGCTCTGTAGCTCAAACTTTGCAAAAAATCGATAAAATCGATAAAAGTAATCGATAATTCTAAAAGCGAATATTGTATTCGGAATCGCCATGCCCACTTACCCCCCCCCCCCCTGTGCCAACTCCCAGCCCCGTAGGTGAACTCTGCGAAAAAAATCGATAAAATTCGATAAAATCAATCGACAACGAAAAGTAGCCTATGACACGCTCCCCGCCTTGAAGTATATGTGTGCCAAGTTTGGTCCAAATCGGTTCAGGCTTTGAGTTGGCAAAACCCCGCCTCTACACGAATCGTGGAGCCGATGATACGTACACATACCGATACATACACACATACATATGATCGTCTCCACGATTCGTGTAGAGGTGTATTGCAGACTTTGCATAATAACACAGGTGAATTTGTTAAACCTCCACGTCATAGCAATGTTCTTCGAACTCTCTCGCTATCAAAAACCGCCACGCTTTGAGTTGGCAAAACCTCGCCTCTACACGAATCGTGGAATCGATGATACATACATACACGCATTCAGCTTTATGTTCTTACGACAGTGCAGCCACCTTGTGTGGCCTACCGCGGCGTCGCACATGCGGCATCTTCGTTATCTCTTCGAGCTGCCTAAGCAAGGCCGCTGCGTGCGACATCAACCCTATAATGGGTCCGTCTAGCGGGCGGGCGGCGCGCCTTCAACGAGCAAACGAGATATCTCCATACGGTGGCGGCTGGAGGCATGAGACATCAGCCTTCTGGATGTTCTGAGCATAGAGTGTCTCAAACTTTTTTCTAACAAGGGAAGGATACTTGATCGCACTGACGACTGGGTAAGCGGTGTACCGTATACGGCCCCAGACGGTGATCTCTTATCTCTTTAACCGCCTTCCATATCTGCAATGACATCATTCTGGAGGAGCTATAAGGAAAATTTTGGTGCAATGGATAGTGGCTTGGACTGCGGAGCGGGATGCCGTGGGTTCGATTCCTTGGGATACCACCCGTCTTGCATTTTTGTAAATTTTAGGAGGCAAGTTGCAAAAGATGTCGACATAAAAAAAAGTTGATTTCTGCACAATATGAAGCAATATATTGGGTTGTTGCAAAAGTTCTACCCGTTTTCGATACCTTTTTAAAACTGCCGATTTTGGAGGAAAAAACCATTTTTCATGAACAATATTTATATCATTCAAAAGCTCTTTTCTTCTAGTTTTTCAGGCATATTTTATTTTTCATAGATCTTTGTTCGCTGTGTGGTTGCTACTTTGAAAAGACAGCTGAACAAATGTGAAAATTTTCGTCTTTGCTCTATCGCCGTGAAATCTACAGCCAAAGGAAGAAATTTTCTTCAAAACATATATAATGTTTGCTGGAGATTTGTGCTACGAAACGCTCATCGAGATAGGATGTCAAAAAAATTTTAAACCTACAAATTTTTAGCTCAAACATAACCTGTCTTTATGGTCCCTTCAAGTCGCATAAAAATCATAAACATATTGCAATCGCGGAACTTTTACTCTATATGGTAAGATTAGAGCTAGAACAACTGCTACTAGAAGAACCAAAAGATTTCCTGGTTTGTCTACGGCGAACACATCAAAAATGTCAGAAAATTGCATTTTTTGCCGTCTCAGAAAGAGCAAAATAAGTGGGTCCTTTCGGATTTTTCAGCACAAAATTTTTATTAAAGAGTTTGATGAAATCCAAAGTTAGCGGTACTGCTCAGTCGACTATAGGCTACACTGTGAGCAGTGCCTGTGCAACTCAGCTGTATTCCAAATTATGTTATGCTTTTGCAAAGTGAAGGTTTCTACAAGGGGATGTTCTTCGACTTTCGCCTATAAAATCTTCTCCACTGTTACTGCAGTAATCTTAAAGAGTGCTCAGAATAGTAAAAGATTTGCAGATTGTAAAACAGTTTATAGCAATTGCAAAGATTATTTCTGAGAAGAGTTATGATGAATCAAAGTCAAAGTTCGAAAACGGGTAGAACTTTTGAAACAACCCAATATTTACATTTATTGGCACTGAACCACGTCTAACCTAAAAACACTTGGTAAGAGATGACCAGTTGTGGACAGAACATTGCAGTTAATAACATACTGTGCATCAAAAAATCGATAAAAACGCCATTTTTGACAGGTTAGCTGCTCCTCTCTATTTAAGCACGAATTTGGAATTTTTCATTGTAAAATTGAGTAAGGTTTTTAATGGAAAAGGATAAAAACGAGTGTTTTTAGGTTAGACGGTGGTTCAGTGCCAATAAATTTAAATATATTGCTTCATATTGTGAAAATTAACTTTTTTTATGTCAAGAGGTTTTGCAACTTGCCTGCTAAAATTTAAAAAAAAATGCAAGACGGGTGGCATCCCAGAGGAATCGAAACCATGGCGTTGAGCTCCGCAGTCCAAGCCACTATCCACTGCATCAAAAATCCTTTATAACTCCTCCAGAATGACGTCATAGCAGATGTGGAATGCGGTTTAGAGATCACCTTCTGGGGACGGTATACGCGGTATACACTGCTTACCCAATCGTCAATGCGATCAAGATCTTTCCCTTGTAAGATTGATAAGAAGTTCTTTCTTCAAATGTGAAATCTGCTCGAAGTAGAGGAAATGAGGGTCGATTATTGAACTACCGCTAAGATGAGTGGAGTCTCTACTCATTCCGATCGTACCAATCGAGGAGAAAGGGCAGTCTGTTGCCGATTTCATCCACGGTTGCTTCGCGAAACATAATATGAAGAGATGCATGATTGATGCGATGTCTTTGCAAGCAGAGGTTGCTAATGTAAGCAGAAAACGTCTCTATCCCCTCCCTTCCCTTTCCATTCCCTCTCCCTCCTTCGACTGCAAACATAGCAAGCCAAATCACGTTTTTTTTCCTTCAAAGAGTCGCGCACGAGCTGCGGATCGTTACTCGGTGCCAACTCACACTGCTTTTTGTCAGTTTCCTTTTGCACCAAAATTCCGGCTTTTCTTTCCATTACGACACTTCTCAAATTTGGTATAGCGATTGCCATCATCAAGTTGCAGAGCAGAGCGTAGTGTGGAGTACAGCATCTAGAAAATTTAAGCGATAGATACTCACAACTCGCGAATCCGCCAAGCCACTGTGTTTGCAGCCATTTGACAGCATTGAGATTGGTCTGAACACTTTCGGTGAAAAGAATGCTCTTCGTATTCAAGAGTGTTTGCAAAAGCACGCTTAACTCCATCTTAATTTAGAGATGTTTTTGATGGGCTTTCCTGTGCGTGTTTGGAACGTGCCACTTCACTCATTGGTGGCAAAATGAAAATGGACCTTTTTGAATCCATAGTGAACAGGGAAATAAGTTTCTTCGACGCCAATTCTACAGGTATTAGCTTTGCTTTTTTGGTACATGCCGTTATCCACCACCCACTTCGCCAAATGATGAATGATAAATCAGTTACGCTGCGTGTCTGGAAGAGGATGAAGTGGATTAAGTATGGCGCATGCCCTTTTCTTGTATGAAATCTTGGATGGCGGCACAGGCGGCCTACTGCGAACATTGATAGAGTCGATGAACTTGTTAAGATTTAACATTAAGACTTCTCAATCTCTCTAGAAACTACGATGCCTACCGTCCGCTTTGCAATGCTACTACCCTGATCTAGTTTCTAACCTGCTGCAAACAAGCCTAACAGTGGTCAACATGCAATAATATATCGACGTTGACGCTAACAGCCAAAACGTTCTATCTGTAGGCGATTCATAGCACGCAAAGACTGCGGACATACGGCGTCTCTCTAATTGAGCGCTCTTTCGTTTCTCTTACCATCTGCCGTCTCTTCCATGCAGAAACTATAGGGGCCTGCATGATCGCGATAGTCGGACGTGCGTACAGCCACTGCGCCGCCGTCCGATGTCCGTCGCAAGACTCGGGTAAGTGCGTGTTCAACAGGTTTATTCGGTTCACCTCCTATGCTATTGGTCATTGCACATTCGAGCAACAGCGAATCTTATATATAAAGCTGAATGTCTGTTTGTCTGTATGTATGTATATATGTATGTCTGTCTGTGTGTACGTATGTTCCGAATAGAAAATTCCATTTCTGAACCGATCGGGACCAATCTTGGCACACATACACTTCGGGCCCCGGCGGGTGTCATAGGCTACTTTTCGTCATCGATCGATATCGATTTTATCGATTTTTTGCAAAATTGGAGCTACGGGGCTGGGATTTGGCACAGGGGGGGGGTAAGTGAGCATGGGGATTCCGAATACAATATTAGTTTTTGAAATCGTGCATTACTTTTATCGATTTTATCGATTTTTTGCAAAGTTTGAGCTACGGGGCTGGGATTTGGCACAGGGGGGTAATCGAGCATGATGATCACCCCCGTGGGGGGGGGGGGGGCATACCAGTGCGGAATCGGTGCTGGTTGACACAGCCAATATATTCATAGCATATTTTGCGATACATCCTTTGCGTTTGTCCTAAAAACGATGTCGTATTCGTAATATCGTATTCGTAATCAGCATGCTCGATTATCCCCCTGTGCCAAATCCCAGCCCCCTAGCTCAAATTTTGCAAAAAATTGATAAAATCGACATCGATCGATAACGAAAAGTGGACTGTGACACCCGCCGGGGCCCGAAGTGTATGTGTGCCAAGTTTGGTCCGGATCGGTTAAGAAATGGAATTTTCTATTCGGAACATACGGCGGAGCCGGGTAAGCCAGCTAGTGCTCAGATAATCGCTCGGGAAAGGCGGTCCGCAAACTCGCGTTTTCTTGCAGGCGGTCAGCAGAATTTTGGGGCGTGGCCAAACCTTCAGCGGGCGATACCTCCTTTACTGTCGCTCAGATAATCGCCGGGGGCAGGCGGTCCGCAAACTCGCGCTTTTCTGCAGGCGGTCAGCAGAATTTTGGGGCGTGGCCAAACCTTCAGCGGGCGGCACTTCCTTTACGGTCGCATATCCTGCAGCGGGCAGCAATACGGCATTTTTTGCAAGCGCTCGGCAAAAAATTTCTTTCAGCGAGCACTGGCCAAACTTTCAGCAAGCGCTCGGACTCTTTTTAAGCATTTTCGGGCGTACGTCGAGCGCAGGTAAGACTCTGTGTGGCAGAGGTGTCACCGTTGGTTTAATTACTCAAGTTTGAGGTACTTTCTCCCAGCGGAAAGTGCCTGGGGGTTGTGCGGTCCTCCACAAAGGACAGCGCGGCCCCCGAAATTTTTGCATATTCTCGCGGAAAGTCCGCGAATTGCGGCCACTGCGCCGCAGCTAATCCATAAAGAAACCGCGATTGTTCTTCAAGCATTCGTCTTTAATTTCGCCAACTTTCTTCCAAATTTCTGCAAGCGGGCGGCAAAAAATCAACGAACTATTTTTCCGGTGCGCGCTTGCTCAAAATTCGCATGGCCGCCTGCCCCCGGCGGTTACCTGAGCGAGTGTCCTGCTAGCGGGGCAGAACACACAGTTTTCTGCGGGCGTTCGTCAAATAATCTCTTTCAGCGAGCGCTGGCCAAACTTTCAGAAGGCGTTTGGACTCTGTTTAAGCAGTTTCGGGCGCACGTCGAGCAAATGTGAGACTCTATGCTGCAGAGGTGTCATCGATGGTTTTCTCTTAGCGGAAAGTACCTGAAGGCTGTGCGGTCCTCCACAAAGGACTGCGCGGCCTCAATAATTTGCATATTCTCGCGGAAAGTCCGCGAGAATGCGGCCAATGCGCCGCAGCTAACTTATAGGAAAACCGCGATAGTTCTCCGAGCATTCGTCTAAAAATTAATCAACATTCTCCAAATTTTTGCAAGCGGGCCGCAAGAAATCAGCGAACTATTTTTCCGGTGCCCGCTTGCTCAAAATTCGCATGGCCGCCTGCCCCCCGCGATTATCTGAGTGAGTGAACCGGACGAATCGTTAAAACAGGATAAGTCTAGCAACTGCCTCAATGACATCGGACGTGCGCGGCGCAATGGCCGTACGCACGTCTGGCTCTCGCAATCATGCAGGCCCCTATATCATGGCCGGACGCAACGGCGCTCAGTCTTTGCGTGTCATGAATCGTGTATATGAGCTGATGCATGTTGCCAACGCTAGCCATGCGTGCCGCAAGTCACAAACGAGCGAGGGTAAAACAGGGCCAGGCACGAGTTGGTTTGTGAAAAACAAAGATTCTTTGAATCAAAGTCTCCTTTCATTCCGCTAATATTTTACAAAGTCCACTTTAACCCTGATTGAACGTCTGTCGACATCCCCTTCATTTTTGCACTTATCCTTGAAAAACTGAACCTACACAAAGAACAAAAACAAAGCAAGTCATCAATTTTTTAGCACGAATTGGTCGCACTTCACAACATATACGGAATAATAACGGGCTAAGGGTGTTCACTATAGTTAGAAACGAATGTTCGTGTACGAATAAATGAAAAAGGTCAGTCGAATAAAAAAAGGTTATGCGAATATTTCGTTTCAACTGTTCTACATTGAGTGCAAGTATGTCAATCATACAAATGTATAATCATATGACAAAATGGCTATCAAGGTTCCCAGGCAATCGCGAGTCATGAGCAGAGCATAGTGAGGACAAATCTTATAAATAATTCTTTTGGAGTGGTGAACTATTTTCTGGAAATCGCTTCTGCAGCAGTTGGGATGCGATATCATGCGCAAACCTCCAAGCTCTAAATTGATTCAAGAAGCAAAGCCGTCGTTAGGCGCCCCTTCAGCGGACTACTGGTCCGGAGACAGCTTGCATAAGCATGTGAAAGAGTAGCAGTCCTTCAAAGCAGCACGTATTGGCAACATTGTTCCCTCATCCCGAGGTCTCCATTTGCCTTGCCAGCCTACACCTTCCGCATGCCAAAAATACCTAAGGGATACGTTAACGCAGCGCAAGGCCAGAACGAATCGGTCGCGAGGACCTAAGCCTTTTAAACGTGACGGCAGCCTGTACGTCAGTCAGCATACTTAAGTCGGCTGCCTTTATAGTCAGGAGGTGTTAAAAAAACTAGAGTTAAAATGTTGCGAAGTTCATAAAGGGATAAAACTTCAAGTAGGCGTGCAGGTTGAACAATGATTATTTCGAACCTGAGTAAAAGATGTGGAAGCCCTACAACAAAAGTATAAACCTCAAAAGTACAGCTAAAACAACCCTGAGAAAACTCGGTTTCATTAGCGAAACTGAAATTCAGCGATTGATAATTTTCGACAAGTGCTAGATTAGCAGCTAATATACAGATATTTCCAGAACTTTTCTTTTCTAGAAATGCGCACAAAAGTATTATATAGACCACTTCATCATTTCTGCTGCAGGTTAACTGATTCTAATTCTATTACTTTAGGCCTTCCTCGTGCTCTCCCAGTGTTAGTCTTAGAACTCACGCAATGCTGACTATCATGAATACATCACAAATAACTACCCATTCTAAAAGCGTTTCCATGTTGAATTTGTAGCTTTGGGAGGAAGTCATGTGTAGCTTTGGGAGAAACTTCTGTGAGAAAGAATAAATGCGGACTCGAAACGGTTACTAAGGTTATTAAGACTTGGTAGCCATCTCAAAGGACAATGAACATCTTGAACTTCACGTTTGAGTCAAATCCTTCTCAGTTTCCTACGTAAAACCCTGGCCAAGCGACAACCCAGTTATCCTTACCACTTGCTACGCATATAATTATAAGATACGAATCTAGACCAAATATAACGATTAATTCGTTTGCAGAAAACTGCAACAAAGAAAAAAACCAGCATTGTTTGAGTCGCCAGATTATTCGAATTATTCGAATAGTCAATTATTCGGAAGGTTTGATTACTCGAAAATTCGAATAGTCGAATGTTCGACCAACCTCATTTATTCGAATACCAGTGCTTCACCTCTGCTTCGCAGAGGCTCGCGCTGGCTCTACTGTCTAGGTTCTACTCACTTTCGCATAATGATGGCATTGAAACTCACCAAGCAGTGCCGAGTATCACGAACAAAATGTAAACAACAACTCATTTCGAAAACTTTTCCATGTGAAATCGGTCACTTCTCGTGGATGAAACTTTTTGCAGGATAACAACGCAAATCTTTCTAGGTTTTTGATTTTCCCATGGTCTTGACAGTTGCCATAAGAACAGTAGTTACCGTGAGCTACATTTTTGTGCAAAAATCTTGTCAAATGCTCTGGTAAACCTTGGCTTTTGGCGCCGTTTTTGTAAAGCAATGGACTTTTCATCACTTTTTTGGGCCTAAGTTCATGGCTAGCACATTTGCTTGCCATGAACATCCACCACTCTGCAAAAAGTGGAATTACTGAATCAATTTTGTGGGGCAAATGCAAAGTGGATCCGATTGACGCGCATTTTTGAGGGATCCACTCAACGGATCCGCTCGTGCTTTTGTGTAGTGGACTCTCATGTTGGTAGCATGCGCTGTGCAAATTTGGGCTCAGGAGGTTGGCTGGAACACGTTCTACGAATTTCGTGACAGACAGACAGACTTACACAGACACAAAAACACGTAAACATCCTTAGCCCGTTATTACAAGTTATGATTCGTTCATTCGAATTTTGAAATGTAGCATTATTTGAATAATCTGAAAATCACAGATCGAGTAATATTCGTTCTTTCAAATAATTTTCAAAAGCCGATTATTCGATATTCGTTCGTTCGACGAAATTTTTCGGCCGTTTCAACTATAGGCTGTACCAACCAGCGTCGGTAATGCGACGTGGCACCTGCGGCAACTTGCGACGGTGCGTTTTAACGGTGCGAACTTTTCTATGCGTTAAGGCTTGTCGCAGCGACGGTGCGTTCTCGCAAGGCATACCAGTGCGGAATCGGTGCTGGTTGACACAGCCAATATATTCATAGCATATTTTGCGATACATCCTTTGCGTTTGTCCTAAAAACGATGTCCAACCCCTCCAGTAGTTCTGCACCGCACCCTGGGGTACACCAGCAGTGAAGTGGACAAATTGGACGATAGCCGTCACTTCTTCATTTCTGCCTAAAACTGGGAATCTGTGACAAAATTAAAAGGAAAAAGGATTCGGCGTTTTCAATACCCGCTGCGCGTATGCGCTGAACGCACACTACTTCATAATCAAATAGGCAGTTATATGCGTGCGAGCCTATTGCAGTGACTTGCGGGGGCCAACCTTTCCAAGTCATTGCTTTTATCCTCCCAAATTACTCTGATCCAATTTACCAGTCTCGGAGGGTAGAGGGCTTGGTTGGGGCGGAGATCGAACCTATGTTCAATCTGGTCATAGCGGCGCCTCATACCACTACACCACCACCACTCGTCCCCCACTGGGAGTCTGTGATAAAGCAAAGTTTTATAGGAAAGCTTATCTCAAAACTGTACGATTGCGATGTTGCGTCTAGAATGGTGTCACGTGATGTGATAACTTTTGCTCAGAGCATCGTACTAACGCTCAGCTCACTAGCATTTCTTTTGGTATACTCATGGAAGTTGACAGTGGTAAGTGATTTTTAGACCATTATTGACTATCCATCTAAATATGCATATTTTTAGCTAACTTTCATAACAATCCCTACTATGTACGTAGTGAACGAACTGTACACAAATTTTGCTAATGTAAGCGACTGAGTCATCACAATTCAGAATACTCTAAAGGTAAGTTTTCAGGAACTTGACAGTTCATCATATTCGATGTCAGCAAAGATCGCAGAGATAGCCAATGAAATTATGTCAACAATGACGACAATCAGGCATTTTCAAATTGGATGAGCGATTTAAATCACTTCCGGTGACTGTATTTGCAGATCATTCGCATGTGATAAGCGGGAAGTCAAAAGGTTTTCTGACAATCTTGAAAAACTGTTGCTTCTCGAAGGTAAAAGGTACATAACAGTGCAAATTTTGTCTATTTCAGCGATAGACAATATTATAGGTTAAACAACCTAGGATTCCTGCTGTAAGAGATTTACTTAATCAGATACATACAGTGAATATCAGATTTGTTTGAGCTTCAAAGTAGATGCGGTGGGCGATATGCTCAAAAGCAATCCTCATGTCTAACCGAGATTAAATCTCTCAATAGCCGGTTTTTCATGGCAATATCCACTCAAACCATGGACTTCTAAGTTTTGGTCATTTCCCCTCTTTTTCGTGGCTGATTTCAAATAGTTCAAATAGCACCAAGGTTTCAAAAATTCGCTTTTGGAAGTTCTCTGTGCAGGTTTCGGATTAGTTGTTACACGACACTATTCGCAAATCTGTTGTCAATGTTCAAGTTTGGTGCAAGGCAGCATTTCTGCGAGGTCAAATATCTGCCTGTTTTACCTGTCTTTTTGTTTTTGCTTTTCTGCCCCAAGATGACTTCGATCTAGTGCAACTGTGCCAGGATCGCTTTTTAAGCCAAGTTCGTGGTGAATTCTATCAGCCTGCGTGATTGGGTGATCTTGCTATGTAAGTGGCAACTATGTAGAAAACACAAATATTTGAAACCTTTGAAGGTAAATTACTAGGGTATGGCCCAACCTTTAAAAAGGCTTGGCAACCATAGCTTTTTTGGTTTCATGCCACACCCTTCAACTTACTCTCAAAAAGGATTCTAGCGAACACATTGTATAGAATTCGATAGCCAAATCTCGTAGTTTCTGTAGAAATGGTTAGAGCTGACTCCATTTTTTTTTTGTTTGCGCAATGGCTGCTAAAACAACAATCACTGCAAGCTAAAAGTGGGACAAATGAGATTCTGGCTGGCTCCTAACTCCATAGATTGATGATTATTTAAAGCAGGATTCATATATGAGGGAAAAGGGATTATTGTTTTGCACCGAGTACAAAAGAGATAGCTGGCTAAAAGGCACCGTCCACCCAAAATTTCGACTTCCACGTTTTTGTCGTTTCAGGGCCTTCTCATGTCTCTGATTCCGAATACGAAGTCGAGAATGCGCGAAAACCCCGACAATCCCCGTTTCGGAGAACCCACATGCCGGCTTTTCGGAACGGTGATCGGATGGGCGCGCACAAATGGGCGGCATGGATGTGGGTCCTTGTGCATCTTCGCTATTCTGAAGCAATTTTCTCGCTTCCGAAGCGACGTTTTGGGCCGCGACTTGGGCATTGGATTGATAGGAGGCCTTACTGTTATATGCTCCGAAAAGCTCAACACTCTCAATTAGGGTGGACGGTGCCTTTAGTATGAGGAACTCTTAGAATTCGCCAAGACTTGCCCCACAGGCGTGACATGATAATTACAAATATGTTTTTATTTATGCTTGACTAGCTGCTTACTCAGCTCCTCGCCTTGTCAAAACACTATAATGAAGTTCCATTCCATTTTTACGACCTTTCCCTGTGCCCACTTCTATATGCAATTCCCAGTGGCGGTCCTAGGATATTCGTCCGGGGGAGTGGGGCAAAATTTTTTTTCAAATGAAGGTGTGGCGTAAGCCACACACTCCGAAAAAAATTTTAGGGGTGCTTCTCAAGATTTTTGCGGGTTCCCAACTCCCAAAATCTGGAAAAGGGACGCCCCCGAAAAATTTATTTTATAAGGCTAATTTGAATTTTTCAAAAAATTCAAAAAATTATTTTAATTGTTTACAAAAATAAACAAGTCACTTGCACATTTTTATAACCCACGTAAATAAATTCCGAAAATTTCGCGACCCTTCTCTTGGGGGGTGGGGGGGGAGGGTTTTGGCCACGCCAGAACCCCTGCCGATGGCGGCCCCCTTTCTTGCATCAGGGGAGGGGCGCGTAGCCCCGGATTCTTCGTTTTGCGCTCTTCCGAGCACCTTGTCATATCCTGATAAACATAACCGCTGAACCACTTTCTTATTGTACTAAAAAGGGCCTGCCATACGCCCTGTACACATTAGGCTATACCATAAGCCTCAAGTCGCCACAAGGGGGGGGGGGCGCCCCCTCACCCCTACCCCTACGAGATTTGGCTATCGAACTCTATATAATGTGTTCGCTAGAATCCTTTTTGAGAGTAAGTTGGAGGGTTGTGGCATAAAACCAGAAAAGCTATGGCTGCCAAACCTTTTTAGAGGTTGGGCCATACCTTACTAATTTACATTCAAAGGATTCAAATATCTGTGTTTTCTACATAGTTGCCACTGCTAAACTTCCTTCTCTATACTGCAGGAAATTCGTTCAAAATCGTTTCTCCTTGGGAAAGAGATGGTCGTTTTTCCTTACCTATATGAGTGAAAAACTGCGAAAATATTGGGTTTCGGTATATACTAAGTCTGCGCTACTACGTGAATCACGGGGGGAAGGAGGCGAGAATATAATAGTTATATCCAATAGCCTAAACCTCGTTACTTTCATAAAACTGATTTGAGCCCCATTGGTCTTCTCTGGTCTGAGATATGAAGCGAAAAATGGACAAACGAGATTTTCGCTTGCTCTTTATTCCACAGTTTGAGGGTTACAGTGGGATTCCCGATGTGAAAAAAGTAGTAGTTCTTTGCATTAGGCGCAAAAAGAATTAATTAACTCATTTTTAGAATAAAGTTAGCATGTTCGAAGATGGCCATTTCAATTGGGAACTTAATATTTGGAAAACACGGAACTCGCTGAATTGGCCCACAAGTGTTATTTGACATGCTAATCAAGGCCTCTCAGTGAAAATTGCTTATATCTAGTCTGGAGCCAAATAGCTTTATGCAAGCGAAGCCCCAAGCACACTGTTTTAGATTCCATAAGCTTGGTGATTTAAGGCAGTGGCTCGGCAAATCCTTGACCTAAAGTTTTTTCGCTTACCTGGGGCATTTCAACGCGCTGATTCCGAAAATACACTTTGAAGAGCGCGGAAACAGCGAAAACTAGCATTTTCCGAGGCTCATCATTTTGAATTTGAGTGTAATGCTTCACATCATGCGTAAAGACGAAGATGCGGCGGCATGCCGCCTCATGGTGGGAGGGGGACCGCAAGCTCGTCCGAGCGCGTGTACTATTGGCTTGCGCGCACGGGTTTAGGGGCACTTTTCTAGGCGGGGGCAGCATGCTGTGCTCTCAGACCTGCTCTGTTCTCGTATTTGGGATGCAAATAACCTTCCGTATCAAAAGGTATGTCTGGTTTTGCCGAGCCACTGCCTTCAGGCTCATGCGCAGATGAAGAGAATTCTATCTATGGATGGAAGCTGAGAGCAATTCGGGGCAATTCGTTGTGGACTGAATGGCAGTAGGTAGTCATCAAGGCGAGACTAATCACACTCTTAAAGTAAGTTGGAGCTTGTAAGCTAGTTTCTAACGGACTCATTTTGCTGCTATGAAACTGTGCAGCACGCCGATGTGCTGTTTTAAAGGCAGCGCCCAGGCAAAACTTCGAAGAAAATCTTCTCCGTTTGCCTTTCTTCCCGCTGATTCCGAAAAGTTAATATGCAGAGTACGAAAATGTTGGAAACGGGCTATTCTAGAAGCTATTTTTCAAACATGAACGCTTGCCCCCGAGGTTAAGACGCAGAGTCGTGATGGGACCCTACGTGACTGTGTGCGAAATGCTACCAACTGAAGGAGCGGGCTGGTCGACCGGGGCTTTCCGGTTGCCACTTCTAAAGCGGTTTCTTCGCTTTAAAAGCAAAGTGGTGCAATGCCACTTGGGCAGGAGCTTTCAGGGCGGAAGCCCATGTACGTTACGAATTCATAGCTCCCGGACACTGCCTTCAAAAGTTCAACAGTTACACAGTCACAATTATGCTTAGTTTGGAAGAATACCGAATTTGAAGCAACCATGTATAATCTTATAGAAAGTGGAGAAGAGCTTTTTAGTTCCCTGGGTAGGGCTGGTTATTCTTGGACTATCAATATCGCTTATGATCTCACTTATGCTGCACTTCTGGTCTACGGCGGTCATCAAATCTTGGCAGGTACATGAAGTTAGAACTCCAACGTGATGGTTATGCGAATTTCCTGCAAGATTCAAATAAAATTTTCCAGGGGAAATGTCACCAGCTATGCTAACGACATTTACGCTCTACGTTTCACAGCTCAAATGTAATATCGATGTAAGTTTTGCTGTCAAATACAGCATGACCAGTCACGGGGTAGTGCAATAGTCGTAATAGTCAACAACAATAGTCGTACAACTTTTCCAGTCTTGTACTAATTGAAACAGATTTGAATCACATCTTTCACACCTCATGAGAGTTTGCTATTTTGGAATCTTGTTATCTGAAAGCTCTTTTCTTTTAATTTCTCACACTCTGTTATAACCCGGAGTAGGCGAACGTTCTCCGTGGAGCAGCACGTCCGCATCGCTGGCGGGCTCGCAGGCGTACAGGGCTGGCATTTTGCCAAACAAAGAGGAGAACGAAAAAAGGGAGACATGATTTCTCAGCACTGCACGACATACGTAGCTGCGACACAGCGCGAATTGTTGCGTTGGATGTCCTGTCAATCCAATCTGCTCTGGTTCAAAACCAGAGCCCGGCAAGAGGGGGCAAATGCCAAGCTAGAGTGGGCAATTGCACGCCCAATGCCCATCTGAGGTAGGCAAAACTTCTACTTCACATTAGTTTTCCAAAAGTTCTACATAAATCTGTTCCACACCTAAAGTTCAATATATAGTAACATTTTGGTTCCAAAACTCGTGCGCTCCTCCTTGTTAGGATCCGAGAAAGCAATGAGCAGGTGGGCTTTCTTCCTTTTTGAGAAGATTTAAGCCCGCCGGTAAGATTCCTGACAAAGTGAATGATGTGCGAAGAGTGGGGGTTAGTTAAAGGCTGTCGGAAGAAGATTTCCAAAAAAATTGAATAGAATTCTCCCGATAGATACTCGAGTCGCTGAAAACTTTTTGTGCCTCACAAAATCTAGAGCGTTGGCGCAACTCAGTTCCAGGTAAAAAACTCAATCTTGTGAGCACTCCACAAAAAGCAAAGCTTACCCTTCTTTTCTGCTCCGCTTTCCCCAAAAATGGAATCTTTAAAAACTTTACACATAATTAGGCGTTTGCACAAGACGCAGCATACGCACGTTGCTACCGCTACCACTGTTTTTATCATGCTGCACCTTTTCTCTCACATTGACTGCAAATTCTGCTGCTTACGGCTGCCACTCCATTCGTTCCAGTCATTAGATAAAAAATTGATGCAGATAGAGCTGAATCTAGAGCTAATTCTAAGCGAGCTGATCTGTAGAATAACAATCGAAACATAAACAAACGAGAAAGTGGGCGAAAATGCAGGAAAAAAAAACGAGTAGGAAACGAGTTATAAGCGAAGATGTTTGAAGTAGAACAAAATGACCAGACGATACGTTTACGAACCGCAGAAACCAAGCGAGGAGGCCGCGGCGAACCGAGCCGAGGCGGTTTTGGTAAGTTGAGATACCCTGTAGATAAGCTGTCCGCCAGTAACTACAGACGCCTACAATCCAGATATGACAAGTCATGGAAATCATAACTGCAGCTTGGATCTCGCACAAACGCCCGCCACAAATCCACTTTGCCTGGTTATGGAGGGAGAGAAGCTTTTCGTAGGGTCGTCTTACGCTGATCCTGACATACTATAGCAATATTGTAAAGCCATGAAATGCCCGCTACAGCAACTCAGGTATAAGACTGCGATTACATGACTTCGCTTGAAGTATACACACTTCGTGCTTCACAGCTGCTCAACGAAAAGCTTTTTGAGTGCTCTGCAGTCTGCTGCGCACCATCTTAGATTGCAGAAAGTTAAGATTTGTCAGGCTTTCCAAACAGATTATTATGAAAGGCTAAGTTTGGGTCGATCCAATATTGGAGGTTGGTGTCGCGGATTGGGCGCACCAAACAAATCACACGTGTAAAATGCCCACCATTTATCCACAACTATTCCCTAAACTCAAACACAAGGGTTGAGTACAACCAGCCAGATCTTATCCTCTCAGACAATCGCCGGGAGCAGGCGGGCACCGGAAAAATAGATTGCTGATCTCTCGCACCCCGCTCGCGGATTTTTTGGAAAGCAATCAGGACTTTTCGGAAGACCGCTTACTGAGTTCTCGATTCCTCAGAGATTCAGCAATATATCTGCAAAAGATAAGAGCGAAAATTCAACAGGCGGTTTCTCAAAAATCCGCTGACTCAGCGAGCGGTCTTCCGAAGAGTCCTGATTGCTTTGCAAAAAAAAATCCGCGAGCGGGGCGCGAGAAATCAGCAATCTATTTTTCCGGTGCCGCCTGCCCCCAGCGATTGTCTGAGCTAGGGGTCGACAATATCGGAAACCCCCCGTGGCGGTGTCGCCGGCATGTGCCAGGCACGAGCGCGCACGGGATTACCTCGTCTGCGGGGTTGCCTGTCCTCCTCGGAGTGTTGGATGTAGACGAACGCGTGAGCTGGGGACGGCGCTGCATCGATCAATAGCATGGGAGACGAAACTGGGACCCAACCGCTCACCAGGTAACGAAACTGACGACTGATTTGAAAGCTGCGCAGTAGCGGTGAGAACGCGGGAGCAGCGCGAGGACAGCGTTTCGGGACCCCTGCGCAGCGCGGCGGCGGCCTCCTTGAAAGGAAGTCGCGAATCCGCGACAGTTGGCTCTATTCTCAATGAATAAATGATAGGAGGATCATTTTTGTTCAAATAACTTATAGCACACGCCTTTGTAATGCATTTGAGCGTGGATGACCGCGCTAATCGAAAATATGTACAGCGGTTCTAATCCAACCATTTCCTGCTTTAATGCGTCTATTTCAGCAAATATATTACACAGCGTTGTCAGTGAAGAAATCTATCTCTGTTACGAAGAAGGTAGCAATTCTTCAGCTGTATCATGTATCTCTGACTAGATGTTTAGATAATGACTTATATAAAAAACGCTTCGAAACAGGAAGAAGAAGGAACACTGAAACCTGAAGTTTGTGGAGCAATCGAAATGACTTCGGTAAACTTCACATACCCTTCCCGACCTTCTGAAGAAGTACTTAAGGCAAGACAATATGATTTCCGTCAATGAAGTTACACAGATGGATCCGTGTAGGATCTAAGCTTGAGAGTTGAATATGGAACAACTGTAGCAATCGTCGGCGCCAGTGGAGCTGGGAAGTCAACTATTGTTGCTCTGCTTGAGCAATTTTACAAACCTTCTAGCGGCACCATCACACTCGATGGTAATCCTATAGAAGAAATCGAACGCGATTACTACCACGAAAAGGTAAATATCTTTGATAGCTGTTCAAATCTTCTCTGGCATTTCCTTCTGGCATTCGTGTATAGTTGAAAAGACAGAGGATACAGTCTGTTCGTGCAATACTTATCCAATTATTTGTCGCTGAAATGCGCCAACTACAAATTATAAGCGATAAGCATAAGCCCATTAGCAAAGATACTAGAACCAAGAAAGTGTGAAAAAATACTGTATGAATCTTGCATTTGCATGTACATGCAAAACGTTGCCTTTTTGTGATACGCCACCTAAGTGTTTTACATAACAGAACAGAAGTTCGCTTCATCGAAGAGAAAGTGGGAAATTGTCTTCTAAAGGCTACTGTAAATAAATATTGCCAGTTGAGTGTTTTCAGTTTTTTTTTCAATTATCCCATAGATTCATATACGACATGTTCCGCTTCGCTTTCACGCAGTATTTTCCTGTTATCCCACCTTCATATGGTAGTCAGTGTCCTCAACGTATTTTAGCAATCAGCATGCCTACTTACCTGTACCAACCCCCAACGCTCTCAAAGTTTGCAAAAAAATGGAATCCGCACTTAAACGTCAATGTAATGAGTATTTTCCAAATCAAAGTCCCCTAAATATCCCTCAGTCAACGCGACCCATGACAAAGAGTCCCATGTTGATCCTTAAAGGCACCGTCCACGCAAAGCGAAGTTGACGAGATTTCGGTGGCATACTAGAGTGGGCCCCCACACTAGGCAACCCCCAAGTAGCGCCGCAAAATACTCCTTCCGAAGCGAGAAATCCGCTCCGGAAGGGACGTAACCGGAGGTGGTCACTCCGCCCACTTTGCAGGCGCGCTGTTATACGCAGGGCGTCATTAGCAAACTAGTCATGGGCAATTGTGCAATCGATTAGGAGTATCGGGAAATGTTTGCCCCAGTCTTGATCCAGGCTCCGCGTATTTAGCACATTCACACAGAAAGCAGTGAAAACAATTGTTTTAGCACACAGAAATGCGTGATAGTTTAGTGCGATGATCCATTAGTCATGTAGACGGCGTCAACGATTATTTTGACTACAAATAGTTTTACAATTTGATGTACATTGCAATGAAAAAACTCACGTCGCAGGTTCATCTCGTTTTATTGAGCACAAGCGTCACCTATAACGAAAGATCGTGTTCATATCAAGAAAAACGGCTATGCCGGATGCTGATGATGGCTATAATCGAAAAAACAACTTTGTCGTAGATTTGGTCATGACTGAATAAAAAACGAACGGTTGAGGATAGAAGTACACAAAATAACACTAGAAAAACTCCGATTAGTCGCCTACGACGAGGCAGCGTACTGCGCTGTGCGTGTAGTCTCTCCAACGGTGCGCCTGCAAAGTGAGCGGAGTGACCACCTCCGGTTACGTCCCTTCCGGAGCGGATTTCTCGCTTCGGAAGGAGTATTTTGCCTCGTTACCTGGGGGTTTGCCTAGTGTGGGGGCCCACACTAGTATGCCACCGAAATCTCATCAACCTCGCTTTGGGTGGACGGTGCCTTTAAAGTTGGTTCCGAGCTCAGAGTGAAAAATTCAGCAGGTTTATTTTTCAGATCGCTTTAGTTGCGCAAGAGCCCGTACTCTACGATCGTTCCATCAAAGAGAATATCGTCTATGGTTGCGAGTGGGCGACGGAAGATGACATGAGACGAGTAGCGGCGATGGTTGATGCTCACGACTTCATCATGCAACTAGAGAAAGGTTACAAGACAAAGTGCGGCGAGCGGGGGGCTCAGTTGTCAGGTAAAGGGAAATCAAAAAAAGCACATTTGGCTAGAGTTTAGTGGTCAGTACAAAAAATTAAGGAGGTCAGAAACAACGCATTGCGCTCGCTAGAGCACTGGTGCGGAAACCTACAATTCTGATTCTCGATGAGGCTACAAGTGCTTTGGATTCGCAATCTGAACAAGCGATTCTGGAGTCTCTTAGAAGGTCATTATCAGCTTAAACAAATTACCACGATATGGTTATAGAAGATCGCTTTGTTTGCACAACTGAAAATTAGAAGATAGAATCAGATGCCTTTTACTACTAAAACATCATACATGGGAAGAATGTGAATTTTCGAGAACGAGACAAAAACTAAAATCATTTATTTATTTAGCATTCAATGATGCGAATAACGAACGTAATAGTTCAACAAGATTGCTAATTTGCAGTGATGATAAGACAAAGAATAAGTGCTGGTTTTTCGAAAAATCAAACTGTGCTGCAAAAAAAATTATAGCCCACTTTCAAGAGGTGTATAGCTAACCTTTGATTCAACTGGCTTGGCTTCGGGAAGGCGGGGCTTTGTGAAGTAAGTGAGGCCGCTCACGCCCGCGACGCACCTGCGTCTCTCTCGCGCGGGTGCCCTCTGATCACTAGCTAGCTTTCCCGAAGCCAAGCCAATCAAATGGTATGAGTATAAGCGAGGAAGCATGAATAGTCATGTTATAACCACGGTGCGAATAGATAAATCAAATGATAAATGATAATAAATTACTGCAAAAAAGTTGCAAGCGTGAAAAGCTTTTGCGAATATGGATATGCTATGTAGGTATTTTGATGAATATCCTGATATGGAACAAATATCCATAAAAAGCAGCTTCTCGGTCATGCTATCGAGACGCTTTCATACGCATATCGTATAAGTTGGCAAGGTGAACAAAAATCGGTGTTTTCTACTGTGCGATACTGATCTGGATAGGCTGCAAATTTTTTCTCTCATACTGTGATCATTTGAGAGATAGACAACTTCTAGACGTGTGGGTTCGAGATTTTGATGTTTCTGGGAAGAAATGCGAGACTACTCCCTAGGCCATTGCCATGCGAAATCACGAAATAAAACGTCATTTTCGAATGCATTCGGATTTTTCATTCATTCTATGATTAGGAGACGCGGACCGCATTGCACACCGGTCTAAACGAGCCTAATCGTGTACTTAGCAGGTTTATATTTGTTATACATCTCGTCCAGGTTTATTCACTATTTGGAAACGGGTGTATGCAAGAGGCGCGATTTTTATTCCAGATGGACACCAAATAGCACATAATAAGAGTTTTATGACTTTCTAAAAGTATTCAAGTTTTGAAAGGAGATGTATCAGATTGTTGCATGGGTCGCTCAATTTCAATACCTTGGAATCGGTCTAAAACAGCATTTTTGAAGGTCAAAAACCCATGAAAATGCAGTTGAGAACAATATTGCATTTCAATTACAACTTCTATACTCATCATCCTCATTATTTGACTGATAACGCTTTTTTTTTGAAGAAATGACTCAGACACGTGTTGTTTGACCCTATAAGGAATGTTTAATTACCTTTTCTAGAATTGCCGGAACCATGACTGTCATAATCATAGCACATCGGCTATCAACAATCAAAAATGCCGATCGAATTTACGTCATCGACAAAGGAACTGTTGTTCAGGTTATTAACAGTGTTTGCTTGCTAATAAAAGCCTCCCAAATTGCAAAAAAATTGTGAAATGATAAGTTAGAGCTATAGAACAGTGGCAATTGCAGTTTTTTTTTTTGAAAAGAGGGGTTGCGATGATCTTTAAAGGAAAATTGTGGCTTAATTGTTGATCAGTTTTAAGTTTCCTGGTTACTTGCATACTTTGGCTGTATACTTTATTTTATGTTATCTACTGACTTAATTTGTTTTTAAATCAAGGGGTAGCCTTCAGCCACAAAATCCAGAAAAAAGTTCGTGGGTGCTTTCCGAAATACTTGTGGACCCATAACCCTAGAAATTTTTTCACAGTTCTAAAATGTACTTTCTAGTTTTTTCAAAAATCATTTGAATCACTTGCAAGTGAAAACAAGTCACTTGCTCATTTTTGTAGCTTAGAAAGATATTTTCAAAAGTTTCACGACACATTTTCGAGGCGATGGAGCCCTCCCCCTCACCTCCTTCGAGAATGGGTCGAGGCTACCCAAAGATAAGAGAAGATCATCCGTTTGCTACGCAGTTAAGCGTCTGTCTCTCCGCAAAAAAGTCATAAAATGGAACTATTAAGTATTCAAGACTTACCCGGTAAAGTATTATGTTTCGCAGATGATGGTGGCACATTTCAGAGTGGAACACATGCTGAATTGCTCGAGGACGTCAACGGCATTTACTCCGCTCTTTTCGCGAGTCAGACAGATAGTGTTTCGGAAGCGTGTCTGTAAGTTCAATGAATCAGTCGCAAAGCTACGAAAATAAATTATGACATTATAGAGCATCAAGCTCGGTGTTACCAGAGGGCAAGCATATGAAAAAGGAGAAGAAGCATAGGACTTCATTGTAATATGTGACAAGGATCTACTGCAGTCATCAGTCTGTAGTGATCGTGATCTTAGTGATCGTTCTTAGAATGTTAAGTTTTGAAATGTGTTCTGAGAGTCTTCCGATATTCTATAGCTAATTTCTCAATATATACCGATTTCAGTGACTCATTTGTTTCTGTTTAAAGTAATTTTCTAGAGAAAAAAAGAGGAAATAACGTCAACTACGTATGTTTGAAAGTATGTAGCAGCATAGGCAATACAAGAAGGAATTGTAGTGAAATATCGGTGAATAATATCATTGTGCACAAAAAATCACAAAGCCATTTTGGTTTCTCAAAATCATGAAAATCCAGTTCGCTTATTTCGTGGTGGCCTGCTGCCAAAACAAAAAGTAGCACTAACTGATATAAGAAGCATATATTAAAGAATTTACCGATTTCACTTAACTCAACCTTTGACTCTTCGAAAGCTTTGATTCAGATAAGTTTACCACTTTGTTCATATGTGGGTATCTGCCGTATTACCCATCTGTCGTATTCTGCGCCAGACCATTTGTCTGCTGGTTCATTAGTCACCACCTTCGTCCAGACAGTTCAGCCCTTTCGTAACTTTTCTTCTTTCAAAAAAAATGTGATACAAGGTTCATAATTCAAAATTCTTTGTATTATATAAAACGATGCATGCAGAGAGAGCGAGCGTATACTCGATGACACATCCTCTCGGTTGCCTCATTGCTTGCAATCTTGCACAACTGGACTCCGCCTACCTCCAAAACATTATAAATTGGGAAATGGAGCAAAAATTCCAGCAGCAGCTGCTCTTTTGTGTATGCCAGCGACAGGACAAGTAATATTTGCGTTATCTATGATCTCTTGATCTTTTCGACGTTACATTTTCATAAGAATTATATGAAATGAAGCATTTGCTCCAGTCTATGTATTGTTCCTGTGAAACTTTCGGTTGATCAAAATTGTTATCGGACGTAACATGTCACAAGGTTTTTTCAAAGCGTTTGCACTTCTTGGCATTTAGGTTTTTATACCCATAATGCGCTCTTCACTGTTTATATTATGTGTGAGCGCTGACGTCTTGATCTCAGCTATTCTCGCCACCTTCTATTCGAACAGCTTGTGGAATGTCCAGTACTCAATATTTAACAGTGGAGTCGACTTAGCACTACTTGCTGTCCTGAGATCTGTGATCCCTTTGATACTCAATGATGAAACCTCTGAATACAGGAAAAAACGACGGGTCTTCTGGTCAATTGCTTTATTCTCATACGTTTTCACCCTCATCAAGCTTCTGTGTTTTGCCGAGGATATAACTATTCTCAGTCGGCCATGTGTTATTATATCTCTGGTCTGGTCTCTCGCAGCCACTGCTGTTACGGGCTACCTCATCTACAAGTCTCCAATCTCAAAAGATAAAAATACATCAGAAACAGAGGAAGAAGATGATGATGACGAAAATGATGATGACTCAGCATCTGCGAGCAAAAGTAAGTTTGATAAGATTTTTACTGTCAGCACAAAAGACACTTTCTTCATTCAGGTGATAGTGATGGCGAACATGTTTCTAGATTTGAACAAATTATCTTCATTCTGAAATATTGTGAAGAACAATGGATCTGGTACCTAGCAGGGTTCATGCTCATGTTAGTGCAAATACCAGGTACTTCGCTTTCCTTTATCCCCTGACTGGAAAATAGATCTTTGATAAGAATTCCCTAATATCAAAAAAAATCAAATTGATGATCTTATTTGATTATTAGATTCAAGCAAATTGCTTCTTTGCAGCTGATGTACTAGAACCTTCCGCCAAAGGAGATGTCATTAATATCGCTACAAAACAAAAAGGATACAGAGCCCTTGTGATAGCGATATTGTTCCATTTTGGTTCCGGTATAATCAGGTAGGCGCACATTTATCAAAAAAAGGTTTTTACAACAACGTGTGGAACTGCCACGCTAGCAAAATGTGGGAGCACATGAAACAGTAACTTCAAAACTGCCTTTGTACCTGCTGATTTGTAACTGAACAACACAAAAGGATTCGAGCTTACACCTGCATCATCTTGTGAGGCCATCGCACTAACCGCCACACGTGGAAAATTCAAATTTTTTTTCGAATATTTGAGTACGGAATAATTTTCGAAAATCAAAAGTTCGAATATTCGACTACAGAAGAATATTCGATAGACGAAAATTTCGAATATTCGACTAAAGGATAAGGGATTCGACGTCTTCACTACCCATTGCGGGCATGCGCCGAACGCACACGCTCAATGAGATGACGCCTATGGGAGACCAAAACATCCAACAATAAGTTGTTTCATAAATAAACACTGAAATAGACACTTTTTATATTACAATCTATGATGAGAAAACGGTTTAGTGAATTAGTGGGTTAGCGGTTAGCGGTTTAGTGATTCTTCGAGAGAACCGAGCACCTAAGCGTACTTCCATAAAGCTTGTGAAGAAATTTTTGGAAATTCAAAAAATATTTTCAAAATCGTGGCGTCCTTGACTAGTGAAATCGAGCAACTTCTGCTACATAAAAGGATGGCTCTTCTTGCATACAGTTCAGCTTACCGCACGAGACCATTCAAACGTAAAATCTCAAAGTTGTGGATTGATATAAGGATGCTCCCAAAGTATACAGACAATATTTGGTATTTTTGATACTTGATTTTCTTCCCACATCTTTTGGCGAACTTTGATACAATCGTAGTTCCATCAGCGAATCAATTCACCGAGCATTCACTGCTGCAAGATGATCTTGGAAAAACTGAAGAAGATTTGGGGTTGCGACCATATTTTGCCGAAGAAAGGAAATAAAAAAGAAAACTCAAAAAGCGCATACATTACGGTATTCAAAATTACTGAGAAGACAAAACTGCATCACCGTAATGTTTTGTAAGTTGCGTCAATTACAGCATCCAAGTCTTTCTCAAAATGTGGTTGTGCATCAAAAAAGCTCGAAAAACTCGTGAAAAGTTGTTTGGTGAAATTAGCATACGTAAGAACATACACGCTAAACAAATATTGAATTTTTCTGGAGAACTTTTTTTTTCAAACGTCTGATTTTGTATTAGCTGTATGTGCTCGAGGTCCCTACCTAATCCCACAATCATAAGAGCTAGGGGTTATCTCTACGTTATTCCTGCAGATGTAAGCTGGAGCGAGCTTTACGGAATGGTACCCCAAAGATTGGCAAAAGTCATTGTGTGAAGAGAATATTAGCGATCAAAGAATGTGTGAGACAAGACAAGCTATTGAGACAAGCTCTTTATGCTGTAGATATCGAATTCTCAGATATTTGCTGCTCAGGCGAATTTTCTAGTGGTCAATGCTCATCGTATTCTCGAATATTCGATGTCGATTATTGGAATATTGAGCATCGAATAATCGAATTCATGACCATCGAATATTCGATTAGCGAATAATATTCGAAAGTTGAAATTTTCGATCTCCTTTGTATGGTAATGGAAAATGAAAGTTTTCGAATATTCGACTATCGCATTATTAGGGTGTCCCATAGTATTTTTTACCGTTTTTACTACGACCGTCTTTGTATCTTTTCTTCAATGCTGTGGGTTCAGTAATCATTCGACAGGGCAGAGCGAGCTCTAAAAGATGGCTATCAAAAGTCTGCCCATATCGTATTCCATGTGAGGTTTTGAGCTAAAATCTGACTGCAGTCAAAATCAAACTTTTCCGTTAAAAATCTTATCTCCACCGCAAAAATCTTAAAGATTTCCCATTTATCCTAATATATGTTTGACATATATCAAACATTCAGTTGTACGAATTCCGTATTTTTTCATGCCTGGAAATAAAGAAAAAAATGAACGGGATAAAGTGGCAAAATCGGCCCCTAGACGTCCTGAGCTCCTCCCACGCACATGATCATATAGCTCATGCATACAGAAGTACGACTATGTTCAAACTTTGTAGGCGCCCCAGTTCTCAGGAAACGTTGATGTTTAAGGTAAAAACGGTAAAAAAAAAATTATGGGACACCCTAATATAATCGAAATCTTAGATCGAATATATAAATTTTCGAATCATTCGCATTCAAATGATTTATTCTAATCGATTAAATATTTGATTCGGTCCAAAGTATACTACACAGCAGCGTACCGGCGCTGTTGGCGGCCCGACAGTATTTCCCACGGGGACCAAAACGCGAAAATCCTTTATAAGTTCTTTCGTAGAAACGATTAGCAGAAACGGGAGTCAGAACTGGAATCAAAGTTAGGCAAGTGTAATGGTATAGATTCCATCTTAAAATGCCACGGACACCAAGTATCGTTCCATTGTTAGTTCGTTGAATTGTTTTAAAGTGTTCAATACAACTGAGAATTTATGTTCTTTCTATTTTTCTGTATAATCTACGGAACTCATTTCTTGGCTGCTACACAAGTTTATAAGCTACTAGGACATGTCTAGCTTCGCCTGCACACTGGATTTAACTGGCTCAGGAAGAGCGAAATAAGTACGCAACCCTAAAGGTTTGACTTATCTGCGTTTTGTCTCCTTTTCTTTCTTTTGTAACGCGGGCAGATACTTGCTGAGCGCGCCGCCGTTGTAACTCTCCTTCGTCGTGGAATGAAAATGAGCTCTACCGCTGTTGTTCACACGAAAGCTGGAATTGGCTTGATAATACATGATAAGAGCTCATTTTTCTTCAAAACCGATAAATCAATAGAAGGAGTACGATTTTCGTCGCGAAAAGTAGTCTACAGGGTGGACCGGTGTTGAGTACATATGTGTGCAAAGTTTGGCGCTGATCGGTTCACACACAAAAATTTCTATTGAGAGCACATTAACTAACAATTCACCAACACTTACATTATGTACCCTATTTTCAGGTGTATAAGCCGCACCCTTTTTGCTCTAAACGCGAGCAGACCCTGGCGTGCCGCCGCGCATATGTAATCATCTACAAAAACAAAATATAATTCCCACTGCCCAACATGGTTTCCAAGAGGACAGATCCACCGTTACTTGTATGTTGTATTCGCTAAATGATTGCACCCATTCGTTGGATTCTGGGCAAAGTATTCATGTTGTTTATCTTGATTTCACGAACTTGCAGTCAAACTCAAACAAGTTGGTATCCATCCTATTTTGGTTTCCTGGATCTCCGCTTTTTTATCCAATCGCAAATTTTCGGTTCACGTTAATAAGACGTTCTCTCGCTTCAGAATGATGTCTAGTGGCGTGCCGCAGGGAGGCGTACTATCTCCAATACTCTTTAACATCTATACTCATGAACTTCCTGCTCTTGTTTCCAGAGCAGGAGTGTCCTGTTGTAGTTTTGCTGATGATTTCAAAATCTATAAAACAATCACAACAATGGCAGATAAGGCTACGCTGCAAGAAGCTCTAAATATCGTTTTTGAATGGTCGAAAACATGGAACTTGCCAATCTCTCGTGAAAAAACAAAAGTTCTTCACATTGGACCTGGAGATTTGGACTATCAGTATCAAGTAGAAGGAGAAATTGTGGAGTACATTGATGAGATTCGAGATCTCGGCTTTCTGGTCTGTAGCAATCTCAGCTTTGATAAACATTGTGAAACTATTGCTGTGAAGGGCAATGCAGCCGTACACAACTTATTCCGTGCTTTATCAAGTAGTGATCCAGCCCTCCTTATCAGAACTTATAAAGTCTACATTAGACCTCTACTTGAGTACGGCAGGGGTAGTATTCAATCCCACGAAAGTCAGCTCTATACGGACCCTTGAGAAAGTGCAGAATAGTTTTACTAGAAAACTATGGATCCGAACCAAAGGGCTTGACTATGATGAAATAGTTGATGGCAATCGGCGTAATAAAAACTTTGGATTAAATAGTTTAGCTTTCAGGAGAAGGGTATTTGACCTTATTACAGCACACAAAATCTTGTTCAAAGAGTATCAGGTCAATCCCTCGGACTTTTTCCAAATGAGGCGCTCAAGAACGAGAGGAGGGCCAATGAAGATAGTGGTGCCTAGAGCGAGAAGGAATGTGAGGAGAAGGTTTTGTTAATAGAGTAAGCAGTGATCTTGATAAGCTAATGAGGAAGGGAATGCTCCATTATAAGCTTTCACAGTTCAAAGCAGTCCTGAAGAACTATCTACTTTCTCCATGAATCTGCAGTAGGATGTTTTGATATGTTATTGTTACTAACACTTTTGGTTCATTGTCATTCGAATATTTTGTTGATATTGCTGTTTTGTTCTTTTTTGTTGATAATGCTGTTTTGTCAACATGGGGTAGCCTATGTAATAAATAATAATAATAATAATATGTCTCGCGAAGCGGTCGCCTTATCGCAGACTGCTCTCACTTAGCGCGCTCCATGATGACAGTCAGTCTTTTGGCGTGCCTTTAGGGCAAAAAGAGTGCGGCTTATACACCTGAAAATAGGGTACTAGCTGGCTCACCCGGCTGCTCCCGGCCCTGTCAATACACTATGAATAAAGGTCCCATCCCTATCCTTGTGCAACCTTTCCCTGTGCCCACTTCTACATGCCAATTCACCATTCCCGCTGTTTTAGTAATCAGCATGCTCGATTACCCCCTGTGCCAACTCCCAGCCCCGTAGCTCAAACTATGCAAAAAATCGATAAAATCGGTGAAATTAGCGAATAATTTCAAAAACTAATTTTGTATTCGTAATCAGCATGCTCTTACCCCCTTGTGCCAACTCCCAGCCCTGTAGATCAAATTTACAGAGAATCGATAAAAATCGGTCAAATCGATACCGATCGATGACGAAAAGTAGCCTGTGACACCCGCCCCGCCCCGAAGTGTATGTGTGCCCAACATCTTATGGGTTGTTTGAGATCTTTGTGAACACCAAAAAATTTTGATCCATCCCTCTCATGTCAGTCAGATTCGTTTTGTCTGAAATTCTTAGCGATCTCACGCTTTTTAGAGAAGCAACTTATCTGTTTTAGCAATGTTTTTGGTGGGCTTTCCCATGCATGTCTGCAGCGTGCCACTTCCCTTGCTGGCAGAAAAATGAAAGTCGATCTCTTCAAATCGATGCTGAATAAGGATATTGCTTTCTTCGACGCTAATCCTTCAGGTTAGTCGCTTACTCAAATGTTGGCTATCTGCGGTGCAATTCAAACAGGTCGAAGGACCTCGCCCCGAGGCGTAAGTTTCCACACTTCCTCGTTTTCCTTGCTTGGGATTGAACGTTATAACCTCATACTTGTGCGATGCTGTATCTGAGGAAGAAAGTACCTATTTCGTTACGAAAAACCAGTGGAGGGAAAAACGGTGGGAACTTTGGCTCTATGCTCTGAATGGGAGGGGAAGGCGAGGAGAAAAGAGGGGAGGGAGAATTCTTAGAGAGGACGCGAGGTTTTGACATTGCAAAATCAAGGGAACTTACAGCAGCCATAGCTTGAAAAAAAACTTGAAAGAGTTTCTGGGATTTCGGCACAAAAAAGTTTGGGGAGAAGAACGCTGTGAGCATTCTGGCCGGGGATACTTTGAAGGGGGGAAGAGGATACTGTGTTGGCCAGTAAGTTTTGAGAAAGGGGAAGGAGCTGGAATAGCTTTTTGAAAGCGCAGAAAGAGTGGAGAGTGGATATCTCAGCTTCAGAGCTTGAAGGGGAAAATTTAATGCATTCGGGCAAAATTTTAGGGGAAGAAGAAATGATATTTCAAGAGTAAAATAAGGAGGAAATTAGGCTCTTCAAATGCTTTTACGGAAGAAACCGCAGTTGAGAATTTTTACGAAAAAATACACGCGGTACATTAGCCAGGAACAGCCACGGAAAGGAGAGCTACGAGCTTCACACGGGAATGCTTTACGGGAAGGAAAAGTACTGCCTATTTCGGATATCTCTAACGCGCAGCGCGTAAAAATGTTTGAGGTGGAGGGCGTGCATATCAACCGAGGGTGAACTTCACCGAATGCGAGATCTTTTTCAACTCCCAGCGACAATTCCTTGTTAATCGAAACGTTCTTGTGCAAAGCAGACTTCATTCTGTTATTTAGCAGTATGTACGCGCACCGTGCCTTTCCAGTAGACTATTCAAAACATCACAGGCGACAGTTTATTAGCTTTTACGGCATCAAAAAATGCTTTCTTATGTTTTGGTGACCCAATACGACATTCCTCACACCTGATAGCCGTTGGGCCAGTTGTCCTAGTAAATATTCACACATCGCAAGCGCCTTAAGAAGAATAGCTTATGCAGCGCTATGCAAAAGCGACCTTGCATAAATCTGGGCATCGGTAAAAGCTTTAGGCCCGTATGCACGTACGTCCCCGCTGGGGAGGGGAGGGGAGCTGGATCCCCAGGGGAACGATCCCCTCCGCCGAACCCCGCCATGACAGAGGGGAGGGGAGCGATCCCCTCCCCTGCACCTAAGCGGGGATGGTGTGAATGATTTCAGAGGTATTGATCGAGCGAACCCCAGTGCATACGGGGTTCGAATGGAGGAGGGGATCCCTTCCCTTCCCCCACTCGAACCCCGTATGCGCGAATTCAACTCAATAACGCGGGGGAGGGGATCGACATCCCCTGCAACGAAGTAGGGGTTCGATGGTGTAGATCATGCCAGAGAGGCGGATATTCTGGTTCTGCTCAGTCATTACCAAGCATTTCGTTCATTTTGATGGAGGATTTTCTTTGAAAGCCGGGTTTTTCTCTCAGCGACCTGTGGCTTGCAATTTGTCTTTCTTTTCTATATTCGCCTCTTGAGAAGAAATCCGAGCAACAATAGCTGCCAATTTCGATTATTTGTAGGAGTTCTTGATCATTCAGGAAATTTGCGCATTTTTCATATAACATAATAGTTTAACTATATAGGCTGAATAAACACACTGTAACTTTCATATTTCATGACATGTTGCCATTATCTTGTTTTTTAACATAAGCTGCCTCGAAAAAATCTAGAAAGTAGCATATTTGCCTATTTCTGAGTAGAAATCCCCTGGGGAGTGATCCCCTCCCCAGCGTTCCCCTTATGCATAGCAGGGATGGCTGCTGGGGATCATTCCCCTGGGATAAACGACGATATGCAGCTGATAGTTACAGCGTTTATGGAGACCTGGCACAATTTGCAGCTTCTGTTATTTGTTAGAATACTGCTTTGAGCGTCCGCGCGGCACCCCCCCCCCCCCCTTTTCGGCAGCATAACGTCGTCTACCCATTCCCTTGCAGAGACACATCAACTTCTATAGTTCAACATTTTGACGCTGAAGTGGAGCAGCATGAACGAAAGTGGGCAGCATCCAAGAAAGCAGGAACATAATGGGAGTAGAAAAAATCATTTTTAGCGCCCCGAGCGCAGTCACTGCATACGCACATTCCGCAACCCTAAATTAATTGAAGTGAGGAGATGAAGATGAGTTGCAGTCAAAATATGAAATAAGAAAGAGTTTTCCATAGAAAATTTGAAAGCAAGGTGATTTCCCCGCTTGATCCCCTCTTGTGCATAAGAGGGTTCACTTCCCCTCCCCACAGGGGATCCCTTGTACGATATTGTCTTTGTGCATACGGGGGTTCGCGCGGGGAGGGGAGGGGATCCCCAGCGGGGATCATTTCAATGGTTAAGCGCACATCCCCTCCCCGCGGGGATGTACGTGCATACGGGCCTTAGACAGAGCGGTATGAAGGCTTTCTGAATACTTCGCTATCTGCAAGAAATGAGTGGACGAATTTTAGGAGAGTTAGTCGCAAGATTGGACGATTGCGATACCGCCTCGGAAGCTGTATCAGCTGATCTAATAACGTTCGTTCAAAACATAGTCTTAACCATTAGTTCGCTGGTGTTTGTCCTGATTTATTCATGGAGACTAACAGTAGTAAGTGGTCTATGTTCATAATTGATGCGTGATCTACTGAAACTACATTTAGCTATTTTTCATTACTTTTCCTACTATGTACATCATGACTGAAATGTACGGAAACTTCAGTAGTGTAAGTAACTTGGATTTTTGAAATCTGAAATAGCTAAGCTGATTTGCAGAGATTGTACAGAAAATCACGATCGATGTCAGCAAAGGTCACGCAATTAGTTACTGACGTATTGTCAACGATGAGGACCGTGAGGTGCGTTTGGCAAGTTAATTAGTTCAGATGTTGTTGAAGAAGTGTTACAGATCTTTTGGATGTGAGAGGCGAGAAGTCAAAAGGTTTTCTGACAATCTCGACAAACTGCTGCTTCTCGAAAATAAAAGGTATCTAATGCGAAGCAAATTGGGGACCGATGCTTTAGTCGTTCATAGAAACTGACAAAAATTGATGAAAAAACTGCAGCTATTCAACTCACTACCAGAGGGCTAGCTTAATCTCTTTTATTCCATTATTTGAAAGTGTTTCAGTTCTCTTGGCAGCGCCGGATGGTCTTGGACTGTTGATATCGCTCAAAACCTTACTGATGCACTAGTGATGCTCTACGGCGGTCATCAAATCTTAACAGGTATCTAGTTTCAGGCCTTAGCAAAAAAATGAGGAAAATTGTATGCATGATGAATGATCACTACATAGCTTACTGCGAAGAGCTTATTCGGTCGAAAATGCTCTGCTAACGATTTTACAGGGCGAATGCCACCAGCTGTACTCACGACGTATTTTTTATATATGGATAGGCTTGACAGCAATGTCCACGTAAGTTGTGCATGTCTAAGAGGGAAAGGGAAGGATACTCGGTGTCCGTGGCCTTTTGAGACGAGATTTTTACCATTACACTCGCCTTGGAACTCTTCCAAATCTGATTTACTTTTCTAAGAGCGATTTTCGCTTCAAGTTGAGCAGCCCACCTGAAGTCGATCGGAATGGCGATATCGCAGGTACGCTCTGGTTTAGTGGTCAGGGCCCGGCGAGGGTGGCGCTTTCACAAGCTGGATATCGTTTTTGGCCCGAAAAAGCAAAGGGGAAGTCGCCAGCCGCTAACAAACTGCTTGCACATTTTGGTGTGAACAATGCAGTGAAGTTCATTTCCACCTTAAAATTAGAAGATGCAGTCACTCCAATAAGCTTTTCTGGGGTAAGCTCGTGCAGTGGCCGTATTCATCAACGAACAACCCGGTGGGTTCCGGAACCCATTTAGTGCTTTTGATGAATATCGATTCTAGCCTGGAGTAGAATCGATATTCATCAAAAGCACTGAACTGGGTTCCGGAACCCACCGGGTTGCTCGTTGATGAATACGGCCACAGGAGGGTAAGGGGGAGGGCTGCAGTGCAGTATTGATACTGCAGAAAAGGGGTGGAGAATATGGCCCAAAAGGACGGGAAGATAGGAGGACAAACTGTGGTTTTTGGCCATCCCCTCAAACGATGACCCGGGCTGGACCAGGAAAGCCAGGTAATACTACTATAATAAGCGCTGAGGCCGCCCATCTTATTATTTGTGTATATCTGTTTGTCAGGGATTTACGGGGGTCAAAAATAGGGTCAAAGGGGAAGTCGTAAGAAATTTCGGCTTCAAAGTGGATATCGTTTTCAAAATTCTGAAATGCCACCTCCTGCCGGGCCCTGGTAGTGGTTAGTAAGATACCCTTGCGAGAGGATGTAGGTTCGAGTCCTATTGCGTTTTTTGATTTTGCAGTTTTTAATCAAATGTTAGGCATCTTTGAGATAGATGCACGCACTTACTCTTTGATAATTCAACCAGGAGTCATTTTTATACGAGTGTTATTTATTCTAAAACATGCCTATAAAAATGGAGTTGCTCGCAATCGCAGCGGATAGTTATTATCTCAAATAGTAATAGGTAATTTTGCTACTTTTCCTTTAACCGACCCATTTTTCAAAAGTCTCATAAAATATTACGTTCTTCAATCTAGGAATAATTTTTTAGAGATTACACATGGACTGCCTCCCTGCCACGAGTCAGAGAGAAATTGGCACGCTTTGGTCCTTTTTGACATGTTTCTTTCGAAAGTGTCAGGTGAACTGACTCATTGACGACGATGTGGACCACCAGTGGCCCACACCCCTTGCAAAACCATATCCTTATCAGGTCCATATTTTTTCCACAGTTCATAATATTTTTTAATTGTTTGCAGTCTTGAGACCTGTAGACTTCATCGACTAGGAAGATGATAGGTTTGTTTACGAAACAGCATTACGTTTCGTTAATGATCACGAAACTTTCCCATGCCGAACGTAGTGTAAAATCGCGTCGTCCCACAGCGCCGCCACGCAAAGGCGTCGCTGTGGAACGACGCGTTAAGGCGTCAAATGAATCAAAAATAACCTCTTTCTCAAGCTTTTTCTGCCATACGAATTCAGACTATAAAGAAGACTATAAATGGACTTAAAGTACCACGCTGCTGCGTGTTCATCAGTTATATAATGGAATCCTAGCGCACTTTTCTATTATCATGTCTATCTGTATCATTAACTAGACGACGTTATTATAATACCAGTGCGTCACCTCTGCTTCGCAGAGATGCGCACTGGCTCTACTATCTATGTGCCTTACTCATTCTCGTAAAATCGTGGCACTGGAACTCACCGCGCTATGCCGACTACCACGAATAAAATGTAAACAACCACTCATTTAGAAAGTCTTTTCACGTGAGATCGGTGATTTCGAGTGGATGAAACTTTTCGCAGGAAGACAAACGCAAATTTGAATAGGTTTTTGGATTTGTCATGGCTTGTTAGTCGCCATAAAGGTAATGATAACCGTGAGCTACATCTCTGTGCGAAAATCTTCTCAAACGCTTGGCTAAAACCTTGGCAAGTTGACCATTTACACAACCAATTCATTTTGGCGCCGTTTTCGTTATGTAGTAAACTTTCGACCACTTTTCTGGCTAAACTCCATCGCTTGCACATTTGCTTAACAAACTCATCCACGACTCTGCAAAAAGTGGTGACACGGACCGAATTTTGCGGTACAGAAGCCAGGTGGACCCGTTTGGCGCGCAATTTTTAACGGATCCACTCGACGGATTTGCTCGCGCTTTTGTATATTGGACTTTCATGCTGCTAGCATGCGCCGTGCAAAATTTGGGCTCAGGAGGTTGGCTGGAACATGTTCTACGAATTTCGTAACGGACAGACACACAGACACACAAAAAGACGTAAACAACCCTTAGCCCGTTATTATAAGTCATGATTATACAGCTATTCATTTTTGATATTGTTCAATCGAAAATGCGGTCTTTATTGACAAAGAAAAGATTGAAGGTACGTCGCTAGATAAGGCAACACAAACTTTCGGTAAAACCTGTCAAACATGTATCCTGAGTGCCCCAAAAAGTTCCTATGTGAACCAGCGTGCGTACGTGCTGCGACGCTGCCTTTCGTCCTTTTGACACGTTTCTCCTGGGATTTCAACGGAACTGCCCGAGGTTAACACGTTCAAAAGAGCGAAAGGCAGCGAGATGACGAGGTACCTATGGGAATCTTGCTGGGAACAAACGATAGATGTCAGGTTTTTTCTTTGACACGTGGCAGAACTTTGACACTCCTTGTTGTGAAGTTGGGAACATACGTGGTACAAGAAAGAAGCAATATCCTCCTATAAAAAATGGGTCCGGACAACGGGAAAGTACCATGACTTTTTCCGATTTTCCATATCTTCGAAGAGTAAGGGCATGGAGATGCCTGACTTTTGAAAAGAAATTCAATCGAGGGATTGCAGAACTAAAAGAGCGAGAGTGTGAACGTTTACTCGCATCATCTGGGAGGCTACTGCACTAGCCACTCGTGGGCGGCCAACTTGGCAGAAAGCCCCTCGTGACTTCTTTCAGAGCAGTAATTGGTAGAAACGAAAGCCAGATTTGGAATCGGCGTTCTAAGACGAGTGTAATGGTATACATCTAATCTCGAAAAGTCACGGACACCGAGTATCCTCCCCTTGTAAGTGTTGAAAAGTCAACCAAGAATGAGTCTGGTGTCGAGATGGCGTAGGGTGCATAGCGATGGTACTTATCTCAGTAGGAGTAGAGGAAGCTGCGTCGGATGACACCCATGTTGCGCGTCATTCAGTGTTCTATAGGCTTTGGGATGACCAAATATGGGATTTTAGAGTATTAAGGGTAAGCCCAAAAAACTAAAAGCCATAAATGTTGGGATACAAAACCAAAGCTATGAAGCTATAAATGCTAAAAATGCATTGCATTACACTTTGTTAACTCTAAGCACTGTTCTCAAACTTTTTAGTAGTTCAAATGGTTTTTGAAAAATTGCCGAAGTTGGCCATGGTGCCATGGTTGGAATTTCGGCGATTATTCTATTGTAAATTACAAGAGTGACAGTTTGAGGCATGACAGCGGAAACGAGGAGAAAAGCTGTGTCGAATAATCTTTGAAATTTTTCTTATCTATCTTCCAATGTTTTTGAGATAGGTTGAAAAAACCTTCGGAACGATTAGATACGTTCGCTTGTTCAGTATACAGTTTCAAAAGAAAATCTGATTGATATACCTAATCTAGTACCTAATCCATTCAGTACATTATCGACACAATGACGTCAGTCTGGGAATCCTTGAATGCAACGGAACAGGTAAATGGCAGTTGGTTCCAGGTTAGCTTCTTAGATTAGAGCTTCAGCTACTTATCTATATGAAACAAATCTCGGATCATGAGAAGAAAGGAACAGAAAAACCTGGCATATGCGGAAAAGTCGAAGTCAAGTCGGTGGACTTTGCATACCCATCAAGGTCTTCCGAGAAAGTTTTGAAGGTTTGTTCTCTTCATATTTTCTTAGAAAAGTAAACGTGAAGTCCAGGGTGAAATTTGTAGGACGTTAACCTGAAAATTGAAGCTGGAAGTACCGTTGCTCTCGTTGGTGCGAGCGGTGGAGGAAAGTCGACTATTGTGGCTTTGCTAGAGCAATTCTACAAGCCGCTGAGAGGTTCCATTACACTAGATGGTACACCTGTTGAAAAAATTGACCATGAGTACTATCACGAAAAGGTAATGATTAATTCATTATCACAAAGTGACAATCTGGTTAAAACCGCTACTGGCACTTATTCAGTACTTTCATTTTCTTGAAATGTACTGCAACCCAGATTACTTTCCAAACTTGCAAACACAAGCATCCTTCGGCCTTTTCCTTTGTTTGAAGTATTGGTTGAGATAGATATTATTTGGCTAAACGAAAACGATGCTTTTTCCATGGCAACGGCTTCTTGCGCTCTCAAGCTCATAAGTCTGCAGAAAAAGACGCGATGGTTGCCTGAATCAGGCCCCGGGCATTTTTCTCGCGATCAGTCGTCACGCGATCTGGCAGTTGATGAAATTTTCGATTCGGAACACACATGCACACAGACAGACATACACTCAAGCAGCCTAACTGATGTTCAGCTTTATATACAAGAATTAATAAATTATCATTATTGGCCTTTGGTTATATTGCAAAGTTATAGGTTATTTTTTAGCACGTCCTCAATTTATTCTTAATTCTGTAAATTTTGCAAATCTTCGACATATGTCTTAAGGCACGTGCGAACTACGAGGCAATTTTGCACTTCAGTGCATAAAGGTGTTAGGCTGCTGTGGAACTGTTTTAGCAAGAGGTTTTGAACGACGATGTTCTTACAGCGCTCAGTCGAGGCTTGCAGCTAGCTTTGGGACGGTTGCGAACATCAGGCGGCTGCCCCGGATTACGGCCCGCCCCCCGACGAGATTTGGCAATATTCCGGTCTTCTACAGTTTACTGTAAGCGCATTCTGAATACACAAGATCGGCACTCTATAAATCTACGAAGCTTAAACACGCTGTTTATTTTCAGTCTGTAAGCATTGGATTCAAACAGCCAGTTCGGGTGGCGACTGAAATCGCGTGAAGTGTGGGGGCCTCAAGGACTTTTTAGCATGAATTATAAGCGCTTTCCAGACTTCATACAAGAGTAGCTCTCATTGCAAGAAGGATTTCAACTGGCACAAAGAGCAGCCTTTTTTGCGGCCGTTTAGGCTGGATTCATACTGATTCCCACGTTCCGGAACTGTTCCCGCACAGTTCCCGCACTGTGCTGGAACTGTTCCGGAACTGTGCTGCATGCGCAGCAACCTCCCCGCACGGGGTGGAGGACTAGATGTCGCCGAATTTGGAATAGTCCCGCGCGGATTCCCTGCAAAAACTCTTCCATACCTGGTTACGTCGTCCACTGTGTCTAGTTGCCATACCTCATCAGATCGCTTACTCCTCCCCAAGTCATGGTACCTCGTCAAGTCGCTCATTCTTGGCCAAGTCGTATATACCTCGCCAATTCGTCAAGTCGCCACACCTCGCAAGCCCTCCATACCTCGTCAATCTTCAACCGATTCTACGTAGCAAATGCATTTCGCTTCATTTTGATAGTCAAATCAAAATATTGAGTCATTTTCCCAGCTATCTACTTTCGCTTGTTTACTGTTACTAACTTATACACCCTGCTTCACTAACGATCATACTAGCTTGCCTTGTACCAGGGTACATGATTCGACCTATTGTCTTTCTATTACAGTCACACCTAAGTGCCCAGGTTACTTCCGCTTATGCCTTACTTCTTTGTCTTACTTCTTTACTTCTTTGCCTTACTGGCAAGCCTTAACTGGCATTTCAACTTAGAGTCTTGCCATCCTCCAAAACCTACCTACACTCATCTGGGGTCTGTCAGCTAGTTTCCGCCCGTAAGCTCGCTGGCACTCAAAAAGGGGTTTTCAGAATAACTTTGGAGAATGCAATACTCTCCAGTCATTCTGTGTTTCTCAAGCCATATTTACACTGATCTGGCACTTGAAACAGATTTCTCTATATTTTAGTGGGCCTTACGTTAGTACATTGCTTATATGTCCATCGTTTATCTCCCTGGGGCCATTGACAAGCTGTTATTAGTTGCTGTTCGAGTGTTAGAGTTTTATTTTTTGTTTTTTGTTCTTTGGTGCACCATGAGTGTAAACTAAAATAAAATAAAATAAAATAAAATAAAAAAACGCATGTCCGCGCATGTACAAGGGTGCGTATTTGTCGCAAATGACCGCAGGGACCGCCCTTTTTCGGCGACCTATAGTCCTCTACCCCCTCCCCCCGCACGCGTTTTGAACGGCTGGAGTTGGAGAATTTTGACCGTTTTCAACAGTTTTTCTTCCAAATGTCTCTCATTTTGGCCTTATTCCTCTACCCGCTTCCCTTTTTGACCAGCAAAACTTCGAACTCGAAGCGTGTTCGCTGCGCTTTCAGAGCGCTTTTCTACTCTGCGTATCCGACGAAATTCTGTTCTTGCGCTTGTCCATTCTCGCTCGTCTTTTTGCTCACACCTATTCCATATGTTTCAGGAAGCTGCTGTGTTGTTTCCATCATCTGTGCAGGCATCTGTCTCGAATTAGGACATGCGAACATTCTGAAAATGCGGAAATAGGGACTTTGCTCTTGTTTTCTGATGAATTTCGTTTTTTGGCATTCTCAGCCCCTCTCCTTTTTCCATATCATTGCTTCTCCGTTTTCTCTTCTACCCCGCTTCTCCTAGTGATGAAAAAAGCTGCGAACTTGAAACGGAGTTGAAGAGAGAACGCTGTTTTCCATGTGCATGTTCCGGATAGGTAGAGAGGAGCAAGTTCATTCCTCAACTCCGCTTCAAGTTCAAGGCTTTTCTCATCACTAGGAGAAGCGGGGTAGATGAATAAGGCCAAAATGAGAGAAATCTGGACAAAAAACCGTTGAAAACGGTCAAAATTCTCCAACTCCCGCCGTTCAAAACGGTGCGGGGTGGCTGCAGCACATGCAGCACAGTTCTGGAACTGTTCCCGCACAGTTCCAGCACAGTGCGAAAACTGTGCGGGAACAGTTCTGGAACATGTGAATCAGTATGAACCCAGCCTTAAGATACCGTGTGCATCGTATCAACTTCAAGTTCAAATTCTACTAACGTCGACTACGTTAGGTGCTCATCTGTGGTGCCGTTTCCTCACTAACAGAACTTTTTGCAAGAGTAAAAATTGTAAAGTGGATTCTGCTGAATGGCGCACTCTCATGTTTGCTCTATTACGTAAAGATTCCCATATTAGATTGTATACAGTGCTGACAGACCAAGAGCTGGCACAAGTGAGAAAATCTGGCCAAGTTAATATCGTTCTAGATCTCTCTGGTAGCGCAAGAGCCAGTACTGTACGATTGTTCTATACGAGAAAATATCCTTTACGGCTGCGAATGGGCAACAGAAGAGGACATGATAGAAGCAACAAAGATGGCCAACGCTCACAACTTCGTGACAGGACTGGAGAAAGGCTATGACACATGCTGTGGAGAACGAGGAGCTCAGCTGTCAGGTAAAAAGGCTACAATCTGTGTCAACGATGTGCTCCCTATCTGATCAACTCGAGCGCAACGCTCAAGGTCCATGTGTGGCTCGCGGGCATACCGCTTGCGCATCGTCCACGCGATGAGATGCGTAATTGCTATGGAAAGGGGGTGCATGCTGACACAATGTACATATATCTTCAAGAACGTTGTGAAGCGACGCTGTCGTGCTAAGGTGGTCAGAAACAACGAATCGCACTTGCCCGAGCCCTGGTACGAAAGCCAACGGTTCTTATTCTTGATGAGGCTACCAGCGCGTTGGATTCGCACTCTGAGTACGAAATACAGCAAGCGCTGAAAAGGTGAAGGACAATCGCTTCAAATGGAATACAGGCTATCTGAAAAGGCGAATTTTTCAGGATCGCGGGAACGTTGACAGTTCTTATCGTAGCTCATCGGCTGTCAACTGTGAAAAATGCTGATTGCATATACGTCATTGAGAATGGCACTATTGTCCAAGTGAGTCTGTCACAATTCAACCCCTTGGGCACCCGCCACACTTGATCCTCTTGATCCACTTGATCCACTTGATCCACTTGATCCACTTGATCCTGATCCACTTGATCCGATTCGTGCAAAACAGACGTCACTAATTTGTCATAAGGCGTCGCGTACAGCGTATCTGCCGTAACCATACAAAAGTCCTTTTTACCTACGCGGCGCCAAATGACAGACTGCTGTGTGTGCGCGTTTGGCTGCGTTCATACTGATTCCCTTGTTCTGGAACTGTTCCCGCACAGTTCCCGCACAGTGCGAGAACTGTGCGGGAACAGTTCCAGAACAAGGGAATCAGTATGAACGCAGCCTTTTGCACGCGTTTTGCAGGAAGCGGATCAAGCGGATCGAGCGGATCAAGTGGATCAAGTGGATCAAGAGGATCAAGTATGGTAGGTGCTTCTCCGAAATCCGCGTCGCTTTGCCACATACTGATTTATAGTGGACGAAAACTGAATTAAATGATAGAGTTCGTCTCAGCTCGGCGAGGCGCATCTCTCAACATATGGAAGTACTCTTTTGGATACGGTAAGCGTCAGATTTCACAAATTTTTGCAAATCCTTGCCTACAGAGGTAAATGGATGGAGGAACGAACACCTCAAATGGGTGCCGCTTCCGCGGACTAGTGGTCCTAACTCGATGCTCAACTGTAGGACGAAAAGACCAGCAGCCCGCGGAGGCAGTCCCTAATGAGGTGTTCGTTTCTCTACCCGAGGTAACTCAGTGTGCGATGAATAGACACGCCGAATAACCTACCGTAAGTAATTTTTTTTTGAAATCTGATCAGCTGCTATATACAAAAGGCGTTTCTATGTATTAGAAGATGCGCCTCGCCAAGCGACTCACTCTGTCTTGAATACAGGATCGTCCACTTTGAATCAATGTGGTGATGCAAAGCGATTTGGTTAATTCGGGCAGAGTCGGTGCTTTGACTAATCATTGGGTATTGTATCTGTTCGTCTAATTTTCCCAAAGGTCAGAGATGAGAGCAAAACATTGTGGGCTGCGTTATATCATTCACTGTGCAGGCAAAAGTATATGACAGCTCAAACCAATGCTAGAATTCTATAATTATATGAGGGAGAAGAAAGCGTTGATGTGCATTGTTCAAATTCTGACAAAGCCGTTCTTTCAGAGCGGGACGCACACGGAACTATTGCGGGATGTCAATGGCACATATTTTTCACTTGTCGCAAAACAAAGAAGCGACATCTGACAGAATGAGTATACCAGGAAGTGATGTATGGAAGCCGTTCAACAACAGAAGAGCTCAACTGAATCTTGCTCAATAAGTAAGGACTACGAATAAAGACGAACAATAACCAAACATATAATCCGAAGCACTTCATCGAGATCAAAATCCAATCAAAAACTTGAAAACCATTACTAACGAGCTGTCACCATATCAAAGCCTTTGTGGCTTCTGAATAATGAGGTCAGGTCAGGACCGGGTCACTAGATAAATATAAAAGTAATGCAGTACATTTGACATATGTGGTCTGCAATCACCAAAATCTATTATCTGTTAAGGTGAGCACTGGCTTAATCTTGTATTTTGCTTGATACTGTTGTTTTTCTAAAGGGTTGGGCTTTTTTCTGTGTGTGTTTGATCGGATAGTTCACTTATGTGTTTTCGACCTTTCAGACTCTGAAGAAGGCCTGTTTGGCCGAAACGTCAGTCTATATATCGTCGTCTCCCCGGTGTACGTTGGGCGGAGCTTTTGCAGACATTTTAACAGGTTGGTGAACTTGTTAACCCTCTACTACGAGGCATTGTTCTCTGTGATCTCTCGCTACCAACGCTGCCACGTGTAACAACAGCATATAAATGTGGCAGGTTAGAGAGTACAAAGAACCATGCTTTGAAGTAGAGGCTTGACAAGTTCATCAACGTGTTGAAATGTCCGCAAAAGCTCCGCCCAACGTACGCCGGGGAGACGACGATATCTACATGTGTATGACGCTGTACCTTTTTTTGTTAGGGTGTTTGTGGCTCGCAGACTCCTTTGTATGTGAACCGAAAAGGCTGAATTTTGTTTCCCCATAAATGAGACACAGCGCAAAAGATAGCTGCTTTTCGCGACTTTTCGCTGGGTCCTTCTATCGATTTATTGATTTGTTTAATTATATCTAAGAAAATGAAAGCAAAATAGTAAGGGACGGTAGAGATCATTTACAATTTGCGGTGAGGAAGATGCTGTTTCACGAAGCGAGGCGGTCAGGAAGGAAGGCAATTTCACCGCAGGTATCACAGAAGCGCTGCCATTCGAACATGGAGCTGAAGCAGGAAAAGAAGAGAAGATATGAATTGAAGGAAATGGAGGTGGTGAGCCATAAGACGATCTGGAGCAGACACTATGCCGGGCCATTTTGGACCCTCCGCCCGGGCGGGGCCGGAACGGCCGCTAGTTGCGGAATAAATATCTCTTCCAATCTTGAATGCTGCTAAAGAAATCAACCAGAAGATTCAAACTATGCCAAGATTTATGGATAGTTGAGCATGGATTCTGAAAAATTGAGAATCCATAAGGTTTACACGAGATGCAGACAAACTGCCTTTGAGTCGAGGAAAGCTTGTGCACTAGATATTAGGTTGCAACAGAATTAATGCAGGTTTTAAATTCCAACCGCAATAAGTCATACACTTCTCATTTCTAAGTAGGTTGCAAAATACCATTCGATAGAGCAAAGCAATCTCTACAAGGTGGCAATCTTGCTTTAGCAACAACTCTGATCCACCACGAGTTTCGAGGCAAAAACTAAAAAGATTCAACTACCTAAAAATTGAGAAAAATCGTAACTCAGTTCATAAAAAAACCTACAAAAGTTCTAACTTGCTTACGTAAACACAATCCACATAGGGCATCTATACACGCCGTTGCCGTATTTTTTTTTCTCTGTTAGAAATCAAGTAAACGGAAATTTTCGTGCATTTGCCAAAGTGTTGCTGTGCCGTTCCCACATAAGTAGTTGTATACTACAAAGCTGTAGAAGTACAAACGTAAATTTTCAGCTCTCTACAGGCTTTAGTTCTCGAGAAATTTGAGTTTTAGTTTGGACCACATGACTAGCGAAAACTGTATTCGATATTTTCCGAGAACTAAAGCTTGTAGAGAGCTGGAAACTCACGTTTATACTTCTACACGTTTGTAGTATACAACTACTTATGTGGGAACGGCACAGCATCACTTTGGCAAACGCACGAAAATTTCCGTTTTCTTGATTTCTAACAGAGAAAAAAATACGGCAAAGGCGTGTATAGATATCTATGTGAATAGTGTTTACGTGACAAGTTAGAATTTTTGTAGGTTTTCTATGAACTGAGTTACGATTTTTCTCAATTTTTCGGACAGTTGAATCTTTTTAGTTTTTGGCTCGAAACTCGTGGTGGATCAGAGTCGTTGCTAAAGCAAGATTGCCACCTTGTAGAGATTGGTTTGCTCTATCAAATGGTATTTTGCAACCTACTTAGAAATGAGAAGTGTATGGCTTATTGCGGTTGGAATTCAAAATCTGCATTAATTCCGTTACAACCTAATAGTACTTAACTTTACGTTGGGTTCATCCAGCACAAGGTTAAGTACTATCTGATGCATTTTCGTCGTTATAATGAGTAGATCGCATTTTGCGCAGCGTTGCCAAGGCTACTCCCTTCCATATTCCTTACGTCCCTTTCTACAACCATATATTCTTTTCAATTCTCTTAAGATGGTTCACATCTGATATTTGAACTTTCAACGAAGTTTAATCCAGGTAAAAGATACTAATTAGCACGCGTTCTATGATAAGATAAATGGAAAAAACTTAGCATGTATCTGTCCTACATCAAGCGTCAAGCCGATAACTAAGATGATAAAAACCATGTTTTATCAAATATCCAAATTTTCATTTTCAATGTTCATTATGACGGAAATTCTTCTTGTAAAGCAGTGTGTTCATCAAGCATCAACATTCTTCGTTATTCAGGATTATGTACGTCGTCGACATCCTCTTTCGAGGCTCGCGAGCTCAGTTGCGACAGTGGTTCAACTTTGAAATATTTGATTTTTAAGCACATAGTACTAACCACCAACACAACTGAAACAAACACAACGTAGTGAATCTTATTCAATGCGTTTTCGCCCAAAAATGAGTTAATGCCAGCAAGACACTCAAAACTTACGAGTCAAATGTCCGATTTTTACAGTGAATGCAACAATATATGTGATGCCTGCTAATATAGGGACGTTATCTGTATCTTGATTTATGCTATGATACGCTCTGATTATGGCTAGAAATAAAGAGAATGTACGAAAGTACCATCGGCTCTCAGATTCGTATAAAGACGGCTTGCTTCCCTGGTTGTAAGGATAGACTTGTTAGAACATAACTACAGCATTGTTTTTCGTACTCTCTCCTCAACTTTATCCTCATGATCAGGGAAAGTTCACAACCGCCACCATATGAATCTGGGAGCCGTTCATAAATATGACATAGGAAATATTTCTTCACCCTCTTCTCCCTTGTAACCAAAATATAGATCCATAAGGCGGATAATTCTGTAGATGAAGTACAATCCATAAATGATCTGAACGTTAAACTTTCCTCCGAAGAAGCTGGAGAATGTAAGATATTGCAGTGAGCTCTCACTCCGAAAATGCCAATAATTAGCAACTCATTGAGTTTTTTTCTATAGGCTGCCCAAATGGCGTAAAGCGGAACAACAATCTAAATATTAAATAAATTTGAGAGTTGTTTCTTTTATCATATCGCTAATACGATGATTAGGTAGTTTGCAAACTCCTGTCTAGTACGGAATATCTTCATTGAAGATTAGAAACATTTAAAATTTGAGCAACTTAGCATGATCAAACAGTGCCCTCGCCACCCGTACCAGGACCTAATCTCACGATCGAAGCAATCAGAGACTATACGACCGACTGACCAAATTGGCTATATGGCTATGACAAGCTATATGACTTACCCCAAACAAAGTGATGATTAGCTCAACATATGCTGCTGTGTACATTATGTATGAAGCAAAGATCAGTGCTCCAGACAATGATGTCATCATCAACAGAATTTCAAGAACAATCTGAAAAGGGATTTAATTTAGTAAAGTAGATAGTACTCGCTGATAATTGAGCCTACATTGAACTGACAACAGCAAAATATTGGTGCATCCTAGAAGTGCAGTAAATTTGACTTTGTTCAGACCCAAAATGTTGCCTACCTCCGGGATATCTTTACCAGCTCTTTGTGTACTGATTGATGAGGCCGTCGACACCTCTTCGCTGCTTGAATGGCTGATTCTGCAAGTATTTGTTACATCCGTAAAGCAGGGAAGCAGCGATGTACCGAAATCTAACTGATTTCGCCATGGACCTTTCAACCAGAGATTGCTAACAAAATGAACATCTACTCGAGTTTGACGGTTCTACAAATCAGTTGGTGTTGAGCTCAGCATGTTGTTTAAATAACACGTAAAATGAGTGGTCTTCAGAGTTTCTGTGGCCGTATTCATCATTGATACCTTGAGGTAAATTCCAATTCTATCTCCAGGTAGTTTTATCACTCATTATCAGCACTTGCGAATTTACCCCAAGGTACTTTGTAAATACGGGTATTTGCGATAATGAGTGATAAAACTACCTGGAGGTAGAATTTACCTCAAGGTATCAATGATGAATAAGGCCACTGGAAGTTTTTGCAAACAACTCAGACAATTATTGCGACCACCCGCGGAAGGGCCCCCGCCGACGTTTCATCCATGCCGCGGGTGGTAGAATAAACGCACGCTAAGCGGCCGAGAGTTACCCGCGGATGCGCCGGTAAGCGCTTGAACGACGCCCGCGGATGTCCAGACAAGCACCCGACAGATGCGCGATATGTATCCGCGGGTGGCCCGATGGGCGATTGCTAGACCAGTAATGTACATTTATTACATTTTTTGAACACCTGTTTCCATTTCCCTCGGCCTTGCACATGGGTCAGGATACGCGCCAAAATTTGTCTTCCGTCGTAAGGCCCAGGTTCTAGCTGTAAGGTAATCCTGGGAGAGGACCCTCAGCGGACCGTCTTTACTACTAGTCTAGCCACATACCGATGAGCGATAAGCAAGTACCTAAACATGAGGGTACCTCTATCTGCGCGGCGTATCTCACGCGAGTAAAGTTTTTGCTTACAGCATGTAAGAATTGCGGCGTCCGGCAAGGCCCGCGGCTCGCCAGACTGATTCTGTTGGGCCGTTGCCTAGAAGGGTCGGGGCCTGCCCGAAAATGATGTAGAAGGCGCCCATTAAGGCCCGCGGCATAACCGAGATCGATATGGGCGGTGTCCGACAAGGGCCGAGGCTTGCCCGGTGCAGAAACTATATTGAGACCCGCGGCTTGTCCGAAAATCAAATATGTAGTGCTTTCAATAAGGTCCGTGGCCCGCCCGAGTGTTTTTTTCCGGGCCGCGGGTGTCCCGGTAGAACAGTTAAAACCCGCGGCCTTTAACTAGCGAAAACATTGAGCCGCGGGTCGCCAAGCGAATGAATCAAGGGCCGCGGATGGTCAGTATGAAAATTCAACGCCCGCGCGCCAGCAAAAGGCACTGTTAAGGACCGCGGGTGCTCGTAATAATTGTCTGAGAACTCTACAACGAAAGCAAGACTTTGAAATATCCGGTTGTGAGACGATTACATGGACATGGGACTCACCTTCGACTTACTATACTTTTCTCAGAATTGGTCATTGCGAATGCAGTAAACTGTATTGCAATTGAAAAGTCCTTGGCAGCTCTAAGCATACCCAAAAATTATTGCAGCAACAACAAGAATTTTTTCCGAAGATTGCTAAAAGTTTATTTTGAAGCCCTACTTTGACAAACCATAGCATAAGCCGCACCATGATAGGACACAAACTCTGCTCATTGAGGGACCAACAGTCGGCTGGCCGTGCTAACCATGAAATTGACTAAGTCCTTTCACAAAAAGTTTTTGCAAGTAATCCGCAAATCTTATATATAAAGCTGAATGTCTGTTTGTCTGTATGTCTGTCTGTCTGTATGTATGTGTGTACGTATGTTCCGAATAGAAAATTCCATTTCTGAACCGATCCGGACCAAACTTGGCACACATACACTTCGGGCCCCGGCGGGTGTCATAGGCTACTTTTCGTCATCGATCGATATCGATTTTATCGATTTTTATCGATTTTTTTGCTGAGTTCACCTACGGGGCTGGGAGTTGGCACAGGGGGGTAATCGAGCATGGGGATTCCGAATACAATATTGGTTTTCAGGATTATCGATTACTTTTATCGATTTTATCGATTTTTTTGCAAAGTTTGAGCTACGGGGCTGGGAGTTCGCACAGGGGGGTAATCGAGCATGGGGATTCCGAATACAATATTGGTTTTCAGGATTATCGATTACTTTTATCGATTTTATCGATTTTTTTGCAAAGTTTGAGCTACGGGGCTGGGAGTTCGCACAGGGGGGTAATCGAGCATGGGGATTCCGAATACAATATTGGTTTTCGGGATTATCGATTACTTTTATCGATTTTATCGATTTTTTGCAAAGTTTGAGCTAGGGGGCTGGGAGTTCGCGCAGGGGGGTAATCGAGCATGCTGATCATCCCCAAGGGGGGTGATCAGCATGCTCGATTACACCCCTGTGCCAAATTTCAGCCCCCTAGCTCAAATTTTCAAAAAATCGATAAAATCGATAAAAGTAATGGACGATCTTGAAAACTAATATTGTATTCGTAATCTGCATGCTGATTACCCCCCTGTGCAAACTCCCAGCCCCGCAGGTCAAACTTTACAAAAAAATCGATAAAATCGATAAAAGTAATGGACGATCCTGAGAACTAATATTGTGTTCGTAATCAGCATGCTCGATTACCCCCCTGTGCAAAATCCCAGCCTCGCATGTCAAAATTTACAAAAAATCGATAAAATCAATAAAAGTAACCGATAATTCTGAAAACTAATATTGTATTCGGAATCCCCATGCTCACTTCCCCCTGTGCCAACTCCTAGCCCTGTAGGTGAACTCTGCGAAAAAATCGATAAAAATCGGTAAGATCGACATCGATCGATAACGAAAAGTGGACTGTGACACGCGCCGGGGCCCGAAGTGTATGTGTGCCAAGTTTGGTCCGGATACGGCGGAGCCGGGTAAGCCAGCTAGTATCTACTAAAATCGCTCTATCTAAAAAGATCAACTTCATTGAACTTCTTGTTTTTCGCATTTGAAAATTCAGAGTATTTTCAAATTCTCAACGTGGAATGTATTAAATCCTTTCTTGGTATGTAAAGCAAAAGTTTTGTAATCGCATTGCATTTGCAATCATCATACGACTCATAAGGAGTGCAACGACAGCCATGCTTATGCAGCGAATTTACAACTTCGATTTCAAAATCGTAGCCGATAGATAGCTGTGGCACAGGCTTCCAGTCAAACAATACACATATATAGAATCTTCTCTTTTGCTTCTGCAGATCTTGGAGGTAGAACAAAGATTCATTCACATGCTGTATGCTTTGCTGTCATTTCTAGGTGATTCCAGACCGAACAATGCTCCATAAAAAAGAGAGTTATATAGAAAAGGAAGAAATCACTAAAACATGGGCTTTCCTGAATAGCAAGTTGAAAAAGGGGTGCGAAAACGGATAAAACTTTTGAGCAACTCAGTATGTTTGTTTTGATGCTTAAAGGGTCCAGGCAAGATTTCGGATGGAATTTTTTATTCGCTTACCTGGGCTTATGCTTCCCCCTGATCCCGAAAAGGCAGCTCGGAGAGCACGAAAACGTCGAAAACGGGTTTTCCCAGAAGCTCTTAGTTTGAATTTTATCGCCTGCCGCCAAGGTTAAGACGCAGAGTCTTTGTGGGACCCTACGTCTTGACTTGCTCAGACACTCGCACCGGCCGGCGACCGTTCGACGACGGCCTTCCGGCTGGCGGCCGTTCCATCATTTTGGGCGAAGCCAAACGCCGGCCGGCCACCGGACGAGTAAATAATGCCGGCCGGCGGCCGTTCCACTGTGCTAAAGTTCGGAAAGAGCACAAGATTGCGCTTACAGAACGAAAATAATTTCAAACATTGGGCGCTTGTGTCTGCTATGCAGAAAACTTTTCTTTATTAATTTTCCTTTGTTATTATTGGGGTTTTCTACTTCGGTTGCGTCATTTCTTTGTCCGATGATAGTTGATGTAGCCCATTATCATGATTCCGTTCATTCCATCCACTCCTTTTCAGATTTGATCAAACTCCATGGTGTTCGTATCTCTTCTTTCTATATTATTGCTTATTTTGACTTGAATGGCCAGAGCGCGACGTGAATTCTAGGTAAGTGTCGCATCACCTTTTGGGTGCGAACTAATTAAGTACAAATTAGACGTCCATAAGTTTTTAGGAGACACCTGCAATACATTGTGTTTGATTCTTGTTTTTATGATGGAACTACAATGAATGGTTGACCGCTGTCAATACACTGTCATTCGTGAATACGAATATGGCTTTCAATGAATGCTCATTTATATAATTCTCAATGCTGCGAATTGTGGACTATTCCTGCTTTGCTGAGTATTCTTATTCATCTAGAGATCGTTGATCTGTTGGTTTCTGCTAAATCACTATGTGATATACTAGCGCATTTCTGCTAACCTGATGCTTACGGCTGCTCGAAGCACTCCAAAAGATGTAAGTTTCCCTGACTATCATTTGATTGGAATTACCTAGTGCTTTCTAGGGACCGATACGATCATCTGTTCTAACCATCTTCTGTGAACGCATATGTTTTTATATTGCTCTGCTAACAGACGTTATCGCTACCCTATCCATAGCTGTAAGTTCTAGTATAAGTTAAAAATTGTCAATAGTTTATTTCATTTACAGATTAGCGGATGCGGCTTATCAGTGGTTGAATGTGGCATTCAGAAGTACAAAACAAAATTATGTGAACTTCTAGCCAATCCGGAAAGGTTGTCCAACGATATGCGAACCAATTGCATCAAATGATATCGTATATATGGAAAGTCACTTGCTTCTTAGTTTTGAATGTATATATGGAAAGTCACCTACTTTTTAGTTTTGAATTTTTATGCATATGTGTACAATGTGTCAATGTTTGTTGTTTGTTTAGTGTCTCTTTGCATCGTACCTTTTGGCTGTAATAAATATGTTGTTATAGATTCGTACCACCCCATATTAAGGTTACAGAGCTGAACGAAAGCTAGATAGAGAGAAAGAATACTGTGGCCCAGTGCTATTTTGTTGCGCCACTGACGCATGGCCGGTAATCGAACGGCCGCCGTACCGGATTACCGGCTAGCGGCCGGCTGGCGATCGTTCCTGCCGAAATGCCGGTGACGGACCGGCCGGTCGTGGAACGGCCGCCGGCCGGTGCGAGTGTCTGAGTGTGCGGTATGCGCACTCTGACTTATCGAATTAACTCGTCCCCCGTCGCCGGGGCGTTCTGGTCGCCACTTTTGAAGCGATTTTCTCGCTTCGGAAGCAAGTTGGCGCATTGCCAGTTGGGCAACAGCCTTACTGGGCCGGGCGTCTCTGTACTCTAAATTTTCGTTTTTGCCCGGACACTGCCTTCAAGTTCAGCAACGGATACTCACTAAAAGGCCTCGGTGACCTTCTAGAAACCTTCCGTTGTTTAACTTTCATCTTATGTGCTTTGATCATAAATAAAAGTAAATCGTCATCTTTATTCACTTATGAATGATCATAACCATCTACGAATTCTGTGAGGCATGTGTCACTTTCCGCAGGCATTTCAGGTCATCGGTACACTTTATGCAATAGGCGCCATCTGAATCACTTGTTGAATCAACTCGATGACTTTTTTAGTACACAACTACAGTCGAATGCTTTCATATGATCATGTGTGTCACTGCATATATTGTCCACCTTTAGCGTCCTCATCCTGGTAGGAACAGACAACCCTTCTTTTGAGTGTTTCCGATGTTTTCTTCATGCTTTTTCTTCTTTTTAGGTACCAATCTTCACAAAGTGATGTAAGGCAGGTGCTATACTCCTCGAGGAGTATAGCATGGCGACGGGCGATCGCCAGTCGTAGCGACTGGCGATCGCCCGTCGTAGCGACTGGCGATCGCCCGTCGCCTAATCAATACGTATCAAACGTGTAGTCGCCGATATTGGCGATCATTACTCATTTCCCACTTCCATTTTGAAGTACTCACCAGCCGGTGAGGTTGCCCTAAAAAGAATGAACTGCAAGACCAGTTTTTCACATTCAACACTCAACGGTAACTTGTTTGGCGACTGGCGATCGCCCGTCGTAGCGACTGGCGATCGCCCGTCGTAGCGACTGGCGATCGCCCGTCGTAGCGACTGGCGATCGCCCGTCGTAGCGACTGGCGATCGCCAATATCGGCGACAAAAATCGCTGGTTTTGCACGTATTTGATGCATATCGATCGTCGCCATGCTATACTCCTCGAGGAGTATAGCACCTGCCTAAGCAATAACAATCGTTCGGTTTTTTGCGTTTTCGCAATTGTAATTCCGGGATGGGGACGCCAAAGGCGGGCAGTGTGTGTAATGACACACATGATCATATGAAATGATTCCACTGTAAGCATTTTATCGTTGTCTACGCAGTGGGTGTCGCGTATGCATATGTCTTATCGACCTGATACTTAGGAAGAAGCTTGTCTTAAAAAACAAATTTTCTATTTCTTGGCTTAGAAGGGAAATATGCACCCTTTGATCCAACGGAATTGGGCCCGACCCATCAGTGCCCACTATCTGCTCTTTTCTCGATCACCGATGAGCCGTGGGGGCTGAAAGCTAGCTTCCTAGAGCTCCATTAGCTCCAAATTGGCGGAAATATTATGTAGCCTCATCGTAAGCTCGCAGTGTTTAGAAATATGACGCACCAGTGGATCGTGTGGTTCCGGATGACAGTACAGACCCATAGGTGAGTCGTATTGTCGCAGTTCTATTGAAACTGGTACAAATCAGTTTCCATATAGACGACGTTCGTGGTCGATTGATGTCTGACAATGGAAGAAACCCTCCATCAAAGTGGGGTTTCCATACGTGATGCATAACATTCTGCTGGCCTCGGGGCACTAATACCAGGGCATGACACGAGGTGGCATACGAGAATTTTGCAAACGAAGTCCCCTTGACATTGCAGAAGATTACGGGATACCTTTTGAGGTGTTAGTAGAAATACAACTAATAACCTATGGCCAACGATGAGTGAATGGAAGTTAAGAGTAGACAAGGAAAATCGTAGATAAAACAGCAACACATGAAAAAAAGCGGTTTTTACAAAGCAGGGAAGACGAAATTTGGGCTAAGATAAATTTACATAGGTGTAGTTCGAAATAAAGAATTGATTTATTTATATATAAAAATAAAAAATTATGCGAAGAAGGGAGAAAATTATGACTTTGTTTGGCTCCGCGCAACCTTAGGGTGCTCCCAGGTTGCGCGGGAGCAACCTAAATTAGAAAAACACAACTCTTTTCATTCACATAATTTTTTTCATAATTTTTTATACTTTCCTTTTTATCGTGGTCGCCAAGCTACACATCAATTTTGGTGGCTCAATTTTGCCTGGTTGTAAACAAACTGATTATTTATTTTTTTGTGTGTAAAAATTGTGTTTTAACACCTTGGAATCGTGTGCACACAGGTCTGAGCACTTATCCTGTTTGTAATGTGTTAACCTACCTGTTACTTGTGAAATGACGTCAGAGAGTTGAAATAAGGGCTTACTAAAAGTTAGCTTTCGCCAGCCATTATTTGATCAGATTTTCGCGAATCTCCTGGAAACTTTACGAATTCCCTTTTGCTTTTCTCTAAGAAAACGACATCCAGCATGTGAAAGCGCCACCTCTGCTGAGCCCTAACTAATACCACATCCGCGTACATTAGGTACTCATTGATCTTCTAGGAAAAATCATGGGATGGTTTTCTCAGGATGAGCACGGCTTATAATTTTGCTGCGCCAAGCAATATTATGGACGGATAGCCGAGTGGATGGCTGCGGAGATTATGGAGCAGGTGGTGAAGATGCCGCTAAAGTTTTGCATCTGCAAGGCCTAGCACATCGGTGCAGTTCTAGACGGTATCAATCATTCCGTAGCTGTATGAATACAAGTGGCTGATTGAGAAGGTTCGCGAAATTTTCGAAAGTTGCAGGCATGAAGTATAAAATAGCACGGCGACTAGTTCAATTTTAGTTCATGCCGCGCCCGTTCGTTCGAATAAAATTTTCGCCGCGTTCCCAAAAAATTCCTCGGACGCTAAAGTACACTATTGTTGTGGTCTTTTGATGACTGAGATTTCGTTACATTCACCACCCCAATCACATCTGCGGTTCCCAAATGTTTATGCATATAATTGGTATACCATGTGATTCTGTAAGGCATACACAGCAAAATAATTGTAACTTAATTTTTTTCAAAGTTATTGTTTAGATATCAAGACACTTCAAAAACATCTTAAAATTTTCTATTAAACTGATTTGTAGTCCATTTCTTTTCTTCGAAAGTTTTGTGAAATTTGTAGAGTTTTCTTGCTGCGTAACTACAGTAGAAGAAAACTGGAAGGAATTGCATTTTAACTTGCTATGGTAAATGAATAAAAAACTTACACATGGTTATGGTCATATCTACCACAAAAATGATACTTTCCACGATAAGTGAAACTGTAACAATTTCATAAATTATTCTGCATGTTTTGGGATCACACATTGATGGACTAATAAAAATAAGTTTTCAGTATTGATTGCCGCGAATAAGACGCGCACGATCATTTCAGTACAAACAAAGTATTAGGTCGGTCCGAAAGTTGTGTCGTTTCATCTTCAAACATTTGTAACTTTCGCTTGTAATGGATTTACTTGCTGGTAATTTTATTAGAAAGAAAAAGTCTTTCGCTTTCAAACACTTCCTTGTAAAGCTTCTGTTTCACACTGAATGCGAAGATATGAATGGAAAAATAAGACCATATAAGCTTTGATCATTTCAAGTTATGTCGTCAAAAATCTGAAACGCTGCAGAAAAACCCGTAACCATCAGTACATGAATCTTTTGGCCTACATGCAACTGCAAAAAGTTGTTATTTCTACGTTTTTGTGAAGAGTTATAATTTTCGAGAAAAGTGACAAATTAATTAATTTTGGCGTTTTTTGTAGTACTCGAAATCCATAACTTTTCACAGAGGCTTCACAGAGCTTTTACAGCTGGAAAGGATAGGCGAAAAAGCTCATGTACTGACGATTTCAGGCTTTTCTGCAGCGTTCCAGATTTTTGACGATCCAATTTGAAATGATCAAAGCTTATGGTCTTAATTTTCCATTTATATCTTCGCATTCAGTGTGAAACAGAAGCTCTACAAGAAAGTATTTGAAAGCGATAGACCTACTCTTTTCAATAAAGTTACAAGCAAGCAAAGCCGTTGAAACAGCGCTAAGTTACGAATTCGTGAAGATGAAGCGACAAAACTTTCGGATCGACCCAATGTTTAGGGCTAGTTTAAGAGAATGAAAGGCATATTCAATCATCCATCATCCATACCTGTCTTTCTTTCTCTGTTCACATTCAATATGAGTCTTGTGATACAATGAAATAGTGAATAGAGACCGACAACAAGCTGAAAAATCCATCTAACAAGGAGTGTTTTCAGCCATAGTAGCCTTTAAAGGCAGTGGCGCGGCAGAATGAGACTCATGGCGAAACAAGATCACAGAGTAGGAGCCCCCATAATGGAACTATGGGTCAAAGTCAAAGTTTCTCTGCCACTTCTAACCCCGAGAATTCGACGCGAAAGCAGCGCTTCCATCTCCCACTCATCTCCGACCCCGCCCACCTTGCGATTTCCCTTCCACTGTCAGAGCACCCGGGAAGTGGAGGGTGGGGCAGATACATGACTCGATGCCACAAGTGAAATTCTGTAAAAGCTAGTAAGAACGATTTTATAGTGCTTGCATTTTAGGCGCATTGTCGCCTTCCGCGTGCCCCCCATGCCGCAATGCTATAAGCATAAGGGTCCCGCAACGACTCTGAGCCTTCGCCATGGCGAGCTTTGCGTCCACTCGTCCATGTTTGAAATTAGATGGCGGGGTCGGAGGGGAGGAGAGATGTGCGCGCTTTCACGCTGGAATTTCGGGGGTTAGAAGTAACAGAGAAAGATCGACTTCGGCTCATAGGTCCCATTATGGGGGGCTACTATGTGATCTTGTTTTGCCACGGCTCTCGTTCTGCCAAGCCACTACTTTCTAGCATGAGATCGTCAAAAGCAGCATAAAACGCTGATTTATTCTTACACAGCTCAAAATGAGGTTGGCTAGGGATTCGGTCAATTTGATTGCCATCATTGTGGAGAGTATATTCTGGTGTCATGACTTATAATAAAGCGCTAAGCGTCTGTCTGTCTGTGTGTGTATGTCTGTCTTTCACGAAATTCACAGAGTGAGTTGCAGCCAGCGTCTTGATCTAGAATTTTGGTCATAGCACCCAGTCAGCGTGTAGGTAAATTGTGCAAAGCCACAAGCCACTCCAGTAAGTGGAACCATCGAAAACTGTGCGCCAAACGGAACCATGCGACTTTTGGCCTGCCAAATGGGTCGGTAATTGGACTTTTTGCAAAGTCTTCGATATGTTTAGCAAGTGAATCCAAAAAACATTGACTTCAGCTCAAAAAGTAAGCAAAAAGTCTATTTTTACACGAAATTGGCGCCAAAAAGATGTAACTGAGCAAATTGTCGATTTGTCAAGTTTTTACTATAAAAAATGAGAGGATTTTTAAGTAGATATGTAGCCCAGGGTGGTCTTTATCCTTATGGCGACTATAAAGCCAAAATTAATTCAGTAACTCATTCAAAATCGCATTTGTTTTTCTGCGGGAAAATTTTTTCTCCCAAAATTACCGATCTCACATGGAAAAGCTCTAAAAATGAATGGTTGTTTACAGTTCATTCGTGATGTTCAGCATCGCGCGGTGAGTTTCAAAGTCATTATTATGCGATCACGAAGAATGCATGGATAGTAGAGCCAGTGCGAACCTCTGCGAAGCAGGGTGACGCACTGTGGCCGTATTCATCATTGATGCCTTGAGGTAAATTCTACCTCCAGGTAGTTTTATCACTCATTATCAGCAAATACCCGTATTCACAAAAGTACCTTGAGGTAAATTTTCAAGGTAAATTTTACCTTGAGAATTTACCTCAAGGTGTTTAGTACTGAATAAAATTACCTTGAGGTAAATTTTACCTCAAGGTACTATTATCACTCAAAATCGGTATTCATCAAACGGACTGCTTTTACCTTAAGGTAAATTCTCAATGCAACTTCTAACCTTGGCTGGGGGCAAGGTTAGACGGATACCTTTAGAGATCTATAGACTTTTAAGCTGGTTTTTTGCATGATCAATCCAGTAACGTAGTTTAGGTCACTGTAGCAATTTTGCGAAATTTGGTTGAAATCGATGACAGTTTTAGGGGTTGAACGAACTTAGCACAAACTTTCTGTCTATACTCTTACGAACTCCACGGATTTTAGTAAACGCCCGAAATTTTGATTCTGTTGAGCTGAAGGTAGTCATACACAGCATTTATACCCTTTCGCAGCATTATGAACTCAGTAGCACTGTTGAAATCACAAAGTCGAAGTTTCTATTTAGAACCACTTCGTTCGCAGTCTTCAAATCTGTATGCTAATCCTCGATATTGATACTTCTTAACCGCTAATCTTGTATTTCAGATACTAAATTTTGTTGCCTAAGATAAAATCGGGCGAGGTCTTCAGCGCGACGAAAGAGTTGGCCTTTGAATGCAACAAATAACTGTTGCTGGCTCACCAAATTCTTGACACCTTTGCTCTTCCTTTTCTATCAACATACATGTGAGCTTAAGCAGCATGTAATACTGGGAAGTTTATTCTAAAAGCAGAAAACTGTATATTATAGCTCAATCTGTCATCACAAGCTTATGTTTGGTATAAAAAGCTCTACAAACATTTTCCAAATATCAATTCGGAGAGACGCCAAAGTATGAGGCGAAAATAATTAAACTCTTGCGCACCCCCAGAATCGATGTTCCGTCATTAAAAAGCAGGTAAAAATTTCCCACCTTGGCTGAGAAATCAAAATAATATGTCAAAAATCAGGAACCAATTGTCACGATATTGCTAGGCGACTGAACAAGGAAAAACATCTTCAGACAGGCAGATTTTATTATTGGAGAATGAATGCTACGGATCTAAAATAAAACGTAAAAACAATTAATTCGTCAGATTAAAACCCTTAGAGGTAGACAAAACCGTTTCGAAATTAGTAACTGCAGCGTTTTGAACTCTAAAGGCAAAAAGTTTCTTGTGCAAATATCACGCGGATACATAAAATTCATCGCAAGCACGTCATGCCATGCCCCTGATATACGTCAGTCCTTATCATGCTGGCACAGGTAAATCTAACCTTCAGAGAAAAACTTTGATGAATTTGAAAATTATACCTTGAGGTAAATTCTACCTTGAGGTACATCTCAAGGTGAGTGGCATTGCAGTGAGGTTCATTCTGAAAACATCGTTCTAGTTGGAAGCAGGGGAGGATGTGTGAATAAAATCAGTTCTTTTTCTAAAGGACGGCCAAATTTGCCGAAATGAACTCCGAATTGTCCAGAAGCGCCGAAAAGCATTGAAAGCGGGCAAAAGCGCCACGCGCCAGCCACAAGCTCCTGAAAAATCACTGAGGTCTGCAAGCTTAAAGTTATTGGCACAGTCAAGGCCTCTTTTTATTTTTTTTCGAAACAATTATCGTTTCAGACTTTGAAAGGGGCCAAGTAACGGGTAAATAATGCAAAACCAAACAGGGTAAGAACCTTTCAAACTCAAAAACTAAACTTATATAAATGTTTTGAGCACAATAAAAAACAGTGATTATAATGTGACCGGCGTGATTATCCAACGATGTTTTGGTAAAAAATGCAATCTCACAACCGAAATCTGCCACTTAAAGTGATTGGTATTACATTTCAGCTTTTTCGGACTTCCGCATCCGAAAAGTTTTTCCTTTCCAGTGGCAGGACCATTCCAAGAATTTATGTTTTAATTCTACAATTCTTCAATGAAGAGAAACCGGTGTTTTGTGCACGATAGGAGTACCAATTTTTTTTAAAGTAATGTCATCTTTACGGCAGACCCACTTGCAAACTTTGGTTCAAATGCAAAGGATTCAACAAAGTTACACTGTTACAAAGTTAGGCTGAAAGACTTTGCGACACTCTCTACATATTTCTTCGAGGCCACTGGAACTTGCTATCCTCCGCTTATAAGTTTCAAAAATGAGGTGCGAACTCATGTTTTGTCAAAATATGTATTAGGTGGGTCCAAAAGTTCGTTCGCCGGATTTTCAGAAAATCATAACTTCCTTACTTCTCGGTGGAAATTCTAATTAATCTTCGTTCGAAAGAGGAAACCTTTCTCTTTACAGAAGTATCTTTGCTACGAAATAACGTGAGAAAGTTCGAGAGTTAGAAGCAATTGAATAAAATTAGTCAAGATGGACATTTTTCAAGCTGGATCACGAAAATTTTGGAAATATTTTTGTTTGATAGAGAAAATTTTGTACATTACAGTGGTACCTTTTTCATGAATTAAAACGAACTAGATCGAGAGTTAGTAGCAAATTAAGCGAATTTCTTCACTTTTGCAATTTTTGAGCATGCTCAAAAAAGCTTGAAAACGTCACAGAAAAGGCAAAAAAGTCATAAACATGGGTTTTGTGACTTTCCCTTTCTAGCTGAGCAAAAAAGGTGCAATTCGGAAGGAAGTTATGATTTTTTGAAAATCCGGCGAACGAACTTTTGGACCCACCTAATAGTTTGAACAAAGAAAATGGCCACAAATTCCCTATGATCTTTTAAGACCTGAGACATTCTCATTTTATCGTGTTCAGACATGTAAGGGTACTTCGAACCGGCTCCCTGTCAAAACATGTCATTTCGGGCGGGAGACGGTCTTTTCGCACGGGCGGTTTCCAGCGCTACCCTGATCTTGACTTGTCTTAACACGTCACGCACGCCGCAAATCTTTCTTCCCCCTGCTTTGCTCAGGCAAAAGCCGCCGCAGGGTGTATCGCGCGCGACAGCGGTCCTGTGTGGAAAGCAGTACGGTCGTGCGAATCATCCTACACCCATTTCGGGCCCGATGGACACAATTAGCAACAAATTTTGTCCTAGTAAAAGTTTTGTTGGCAATAAAAAACTTGATGCACCGCTTAGACTCACAGTGTGGTCGGAATAAACGTCACTGTATAGCAGACTGGCAAAGGTAGAATTTATCTCAAGGTACATTGATGAATACGAATCGCTCAAGGTACAATATACCTTGAGGTAAAATTTACCTCAAGGTAGAATTTACCTTAGGTTCAATGATGAATACGGCCTCTGGTTCCGTAACCATCGAAATCGTTCGGATACTTGTTGAAAACAGCAAATAACATTAGCAAAGAATTACAATAACTTCAAATCCCGTGTGCCGATATATTCGGCACTATATTTCGGTCCGAATCGAATAGGAATTTGATCATGCGAATAAAACATTCGAATATATTCGTATTCGAAATTCGATATTCGGAGTTCTTCCATTTTCAAATAA